TTTCGCTTTAGGGTGTGCAGTGAACATCCTTTGATGCTCAAGTAATTAGCTCACCTACACCCAACCCCCTGTGGCGCACAAAATCATATTGACTACAGTCAACTTAAAAGTAAGAGATTAATTACGTTGACTCCTATTTGTCGCATATTAGGTTAGCTTTTACGTGTGAATAACTTCAAGTTGTTATCTGTATTTAATCTTGTTATTATATATAGTTAAAGGTTTTTATCACCGTTGCTTTTTTGAATAGTCATTTGCTCGTTTTTGCCGATTTGTGCTTCCAAATAGCTTCTAAATTAGTTCTTCTAAAGTAGTATAGTTGTAGAGTACCTAGGTTTGATGTTATACTTCCATGAGGTATGTAGACCTATGAGAGGTACCATAGGCGCCACATAAAGACTATGTCCTTAGTGCTGTTAAATATGTAAAATATAGTTGACATTTTCCATCAGGTTAGCCATCAGTGTTATGTCAGTATTAGTTATATAAAAAACTAAACTGATAATGTATTTTTAAAAATTTCCCTAACATAGTCTTCGCTTGCTAGCATAGTCTGCTTGAGTTTGACTGATATCTATCTCTATCACAAATACTACATGTGTCCCAATTTTATAATGATTGGATGAGCCGTTAAAAAGTCAAAAGTATCATAGAGAGAAATGACACATAGAGAATGAGTTAATGTACCTAATAACTTCTAATTTTGTAATACATAATCATTAGTAGGGTCATAGTTCTGGTTCTATGTTAAGATGTATACTATGATGGACGGATTCTTTTTATAAGAGTAACTTATAACGTATTTTTGTATCGTAAATTTCCAAACACATATAGTTTGGTAGTTAAATAAAAAGTGCTGAATATATGACATATAACGCATTATTTTTTTTGTAATTATTTAATATTAATACAAAATATAGATCATAATGGACTATTAAAAGCTGCTAACTGTTAGAATTTGTAATGTATACACATTATGTAGGTACACAATATCACACCGACACAAGAACACACGCCGGAAACAGTAAACGGAAGGTGGACATTGTTTCTGACCAACCGCCATACCTACCTACGTACAGACTTAATTATAAGTTTTAGCTATCATTTGACTATTCACAGAGATCTATAATTGTATAAGGCACCGTTATACGTTTTTTTAGAAGCTAAGTATGTATGTGGCGTCATGAAAACACATAAAATATTTATGTAATTAAATAAAATCGAAGTGCCTCTGAAATATATCGGTATTTGCAGCAATAAAATAGCTAAAAAAATTGACTGTCTGTCTATTTGCTCTTGTTAATTTCTGAAACGGCTGGACTGATTTGTTTATTATTTACTTTTATTTATTTTAACAAAAATAAGTTTAATTCCACACGGACGATGTCATTACCCGCTAACGGCTAGTTCCTCAATAAATGGAATTCACATTTTTCAAATTGCCGGCATTTTCTAAAAAGGATACAAGAATATACCGCTCCAGTTTCTATGAAATGACACGAAATTAAATAAAATTCAATGAATTATATTGTTATTATATAAGCTAACACGAGTTTAAAACGCATGTAATTGTTGTAATGTTAGATGTTAATTATTTTATTGTTTTTATTATATTAAAAAAAATCTTATATTCAAATACGTTCATTTAAAAGTTTATTTAGATAAAGAATTTTCTATTCTATTTTATATCTAATACCGAAATGAATTAAATGTCGCACGAGTCCGATAGAAAGTTGTCGATAAAACGTTATAGAAAAATGAAAACGGGAGCATGTAACAATGAAATAAATTAAATACACTTTTCCGTTCCCCAACTTTTCGTGTTCGTCGCAGACAAACCGCTAACATGCAGCGTGACTCTTTGTCACGAAAACGTGTGAAAATTTTAGACACCGTGCATAATGCACGTTTTGTGGGAAAATGGGTAATACTTGTTTAGAACAACTTGTGTATTTCGACTTTAATCTATATAAATACGGGTAATAAGTAAGGACTGTAAAAGCTTAAAATTAAGGTGAATATATTCTCTCGTGAATTGGCTATTATATTTTGACATATTATTATTATTATTATTATAAACGTGAAAGTTCGCGAGTATGGATTGATGTTTATTACTCTTTCATGCAAAAACTACTGAATGGGTTTTGATGAAACTTTACAGTAATATAGCTTACACATCGGAATAACATATAGGCTATAAATTACACGCGGGTGACACCGAAGGCACAGCTAGTTAAGAATAAAAATTACGAATGCGTATTTAATAATCTAAAGTATGTAATATAGTAGTAAACTGAAAGAAAGAATTTAACCAAAGCGGCCTGAAAATTCTTTTGCAATAATAATAATACGCTTATAATCTAAGATCGTCTTTATTAAACTTTATAAAAAACCAGCTCAAGTTTTGCATCTAATATAAAATGTAAGAAATAAATAATCTTAGGCTTTTTTATTACTTGTGAAATGTTAATTAAATTCTTTTTCAACTGTCTGCTATTAGTCTAAGGCTTCCATCAATTGGATGTTTTTTTCTTAAGGCAATCGTTAACAGATATTACCATAAATTGAAATAATCATTTCAAATTAATTTGTTGTGTCTTTGACTTTATTCTTTGGTTTATATTATAACAATATTCAGTCACCAAATAGAAATAACATAATCTGGTTATTATGGATTTTATTAACGATACACGTTGTATGATTCAAATAGTAAAATGGCATGTCTAAGTAATCCCATCTTTGATATAACTTTATTAATCCATTTGGAATTGAAACAAAGTACTTACATTTTCTTTTATTTCTGGATTATGGCTGTGGATGTGGACGGAGAATTTGTAATATACCTACATTATGAAATCCTATGTGAATATTTGGGTGGTTTGGATGGGTTGGATGAATTGTTAAAGAAAACATACATAAATATAAATTTAAAATAAAACATCAGTATTTATAAATACATTATAATTATAAAAACTATAATATGTACAAATAATAACTTATCGAATTAAACGCATTTCAGTTTGCATGCATTGAGTATCATTTGTGGTCTGTTATTCGTTAAAGAACGTATTTAGTTAACAGCCCTTTAATTCAAATGACGGTGTTTAATTTAAATAATAAAATTTGTTTTATTAATCTCAGAACTGGGATTTAAATGTGTATTTTAGTTTTAGGGTTTTTAACATTCAATATTTTGTGGTTTACCAGCAAAAAAGTAATATGTAGCTGCGTATAAAGGGTTAATAAATAGATTTATGTAAGCGTGTAAATAACAAATCAATCGTTGATGATCAAAATGATAGAAATTTGTAAAGTCTTTTATGCAGTTGTAATCCTATACTAAACTGCGAAACACAAAGAGGGTTCTATTAATATATTAATAATAATCATACCAACCCATTAGCGTACCACTCCAGGACAGGGGTCCCAATCCATAACAGGGGATATTAGACTATACCTACCAAGCTGACCGAGCCGTAGGGTACCTCGGCTTAGTACTTTTTATTTCGAGTGACGTGCTTTGTTCCCCTAGACGGGTTTAACGATATCCTAGGGATAAAAACGAGTGTATACACAGATGCACTAGTATTATTACATCGAGGGGAATTCATTATATTGATGCTTTTAATTAAAATGCACTATACAAAATTTTAAGCTTATTGCACCTTTAACTAATATGTGTGCATTAAATTCCTTAAATTCTCACGGGGATGGAAATGTTGAGTTCCCGCATACAAAGCTCCAGGAAATTAGTACATGTATAAAAGCGTATATACCCCGTTTGTGATCATTAGACGCTGCATGTAATCAGAACCAAATATATAATTGAGATGCACTGTGAATAGGTGCATTTATCTGTTTATTTAACTTTACATGTAGCATATTCTGTATTGAGTTTATTCGAATATAACGGATTTAACATCGAAATGTATTTCTCTACTAAATAAATATATGGGCAAACAGATGAAGGGGCTGTGAACGAATGAATTACAAACTGTTTTTTGTTCCTATTTTGCAACACTTATATGAATATTATTTTCCAATCTCTAATTGTTTATTTAATATCTTAATTTTTATGATTTTATGCCGTTTGGTAATTTGTATCTACACAAAATTATAAACATGTAAAATTGTACAAGTTTTGTTTGAAAAGAGCAAGTCGAGTTTCTGAGCAAGTTGTTTGTTCTTCTTGTCTGAAACTGTTTTTATCGCGGAAAATAAGCTTTCAAGAGTGCTTGAAATTAAATTTATTTGAATAAAGATTATGTTCCTTATGAAAAATATTTATTTTCCTTATTCGTCGTTTATTTCAATTCAGGCGTTTTCTTCCAATAGGTATTCAAATTAATTGCCCTGTTCGAAAGAATTCACTTCACCTTCCTAAAACACTTATAATAACAATAACAAAAAATACTTCGTTTCATAAAAAATCCCGTCTATAAAATATTTCTTTGTTATATTTCTTAAATACCTACTTAATGATCCCATCCCATTATATAGCGTTTATAATAAAAAAATATTTTTTATATAGACTATTATCATTTAAACAATTCCGTTTTTTTTATCAAAAGTTATAGATTTTTAAATAGTAACGCGATAGGGTTTAATATAGAAAAAAAATGTATTCTTGTGTGATTGTCTTTTGTTCCGTTTTTATATTGCGTATATTACTTACTCAAAAGACACTAAAGGTCTTTTTTTATATATTCTATATCTTTTTACATAGTTACACAAACTAAATCCAATAAACATCCAGAAGGAAAGATCAAATTATTGTAACGTATACATTTTTATCTCAAAAACTGATAAAGAAGATTTCATGTGAACACAAAGAATGGTTTTAAATATTGATTACTATAAATATTTAAAACAATATAGTTACTCTACAGACGTGCATCGAATTGAATATGTGTACTTTAAGATAATATTTATTTAAGACATTTTAACTTTATATAAATCCGGCAGTACAACAAGATGTAATGACATGTCTATATTTGCAGCGCAATGCATCGCCCCGCTCGGCATGGAAAGTGGTCTGATCCCAGACAAGGACCTAAGTGCCAGCTCTTCGTTCAACGACGGAAACGTGGGACCACAGAATGGACGGTAATATATGTTATACATTAGTTTCTATCGATTGTTTGTTTAGGTTTTCACACATTACAGCTAGCACACATGGGAGATGTGTAGCCGCCGCGGCCGAACCAATTTTGGTCTGGATCAAAAAGCACTTGGCCGCTTTTATGTAAAACTATATTATTAGTGGATGTTCAATCGAACAGTCCCAATTACAGGCTATTGTAGTGGGACGTCACTAGGCAGACTACAGGCTACATTTTGAGCGATTTCGCTAATAGAAATGTTCAAATGGAAATTCGCTTTAGTTTTTTTACGTATGTCTTTGGATTAAAATTACTAGATTTAATAGACTAATGATTTCTACATAGAAACAATAATAATAAATCAAAAAGCTCCATTGTATAATTCGAATAAGCTGTATAAAAAACTTCAACATTTTAAAATTATGCTACGTGTCCATCAATACTCATTTCAAACAAATTGATATTGACAGTTTTGTAGATATATATATTATACATATAGAAACGGAGTAGTATAGTTTGCAAATGGAACCACCAAATGGTTTATACTTATGAAAGGATTCGCGCATATTCGGAGATCTATTAATTTCAATGAAAATAAAATAACGTTTCTTAATATAGTAATGATGAAAAATGTATTACATGATCAATGCCCTATAGGTCTTGAATCTAGTTTTGAGGTAAAAGTTGTCTCCCGATTTAGAGAGTACTATGACAAAAGTTCTACATATGGATAGAACTTGGTTCTCGATCCTATTGTAAAGAAAGGAGGTAGAGTAACTTGTAATATAAAAGTACTTAAAATATGTAAATATTTGTTACCGAACCGATACACATATGGTGTTATTTTCGTTAGCCATAGATAAACAGTTACGTAGAAACAAAAGAATGGAACACACCCGTCTTTTACGAGTATCGGAAATGAAGTAAAAGAGATGACAGGAGGTGTGGAAATTGCGAATGTAAATCTAGACGAGAGATTTTTGTGAACACACGTACTAGTTTTGCATTCAATTCGCAGTGTATTTATTTTGAAATTGCATCGTATGTTTATTCTATGTATCTATGTTTATTCTACGAATGTTCTCGTCTACGGATATTTTCAGGATAAACTATCTTTGTTTGCTTTATTGACAATTCTCTATTTCCCTATTTCTTACTGCCACATAAGGGAATAAACTATGCAAATATTACGTATTATATTTATATTGGATGAACTCAAAAACTACGGGACCGATTTTATCAATTATTTCACTTATCGAAATCTACATTTTCAACAAGTAACTGCACTATGGGTATTTATTCGTCATGAGTTACAGTTAGTCTTAAATAAAATGAATTTACATTGAGCTTACATTTTAAAATAATAAGAAAAAAATTGTCTTTAATGGAATAGTTCTCATAATAAGTTGCGCTTCATTACTTATTTGTATTTATAATACTTGTTTTGTGTCGAGAAATATAATGACAGATTGACTAGATGAATCTTAGAAAACAGGGTTTGCGTTAATACTGAAAGCGATTAACTTGTATAATTAACTATGTGTTATATGTATGTATACCCCGAGCTTAAATGTTGTACAATACAGTTCCATATTACATCAATTGATACGATCGTATGCAGTGGTATTGATATCGTTGCTCCAGTGGCGTCAATAAGCCTAACAGGACATCTTGTCTGATTGGCCAGGCCGATTACTGCACAACATGACACATGATAAGTGAATGCGTTAATAACAGACCTCCATTATTAACTCTGATTGGTCTGAATGGAGAAAGTATGAGGTTTATGATGTTCTTTAAATGGTCTTATGGCTTATTAATGTACTCGGTGATATTCAAATATACGATTTACATGATTCAAAAACGTTTCATTTCCTATAATCCATTTATGAAACTGTATTAGTTAACGTACGTCTAGAGCGAGCGATGCTTAATACACTCGGCTGGGTATGCGAAATTAAACGTATTATGGTACGAATGCATCTAAAATGGAATCTTAACTCACGAAATGACAATATTTCGTATTAACTCTTAATGTCTTTAACTACGTCTTTGTCTTTACATGATGTACAAATTCAACAGATTGAATCAAGAGCTAAAAGGGGGTGCTTGGTGTCCTAAGCCTCAAATCACTACGGAATCGTCAGAATGGCTTGAGATCGACCTCCATAATATCCACGTCATCACCGCCACAGGCAGTCAAGGGCGCTTTGGTAACGGACAGGGCCAGGAGTACGCGGAGGCTTACGTCCTCGAGTACTGGCGGCCAAAGCTAGCCAAGTGGGTGCGCTACAGGTCAGCCGACGGTCAAGAGGTACGTTTGTTAGTTTTCAATTGCAGTCTGCAATTTGTCTTCACCATTTCTTGTTAAATCACGTGTAGATAATAATATCAAGACAATCTGCTACATCTTAGGCGCAAATAAATCGTACTAACTTAAATGTTGGTACCTCATATAACTCTGTTTGCGACATATTGTTTTATATAAAAAATATGTTTCAAACTTCTTTTATGCATTTGGAATGGGAAAGAAGCTGACGGCCCACCTAATGACAAATGGCGAGCGTTACTTATATTTAAATTGCTATTCATCACGAATATCACGTCATCATGGTACGCCCGGGGTACTCTTCATGCGTTGCCGTTTCAGAGGACTAAGATGTTAGGCCTTCGATTGGATTACATCTTACGCTTCGACCGAAATACAGCTAACAAAACAAGCCGCTTGGTGGCTGAAAGAATATACAGCAAACGTTTGTCTACATATATAGATCATAACTAGCACATGACAACGTCGTGAAATGGTACTTTATGGATATGACCTAAACCATCCTCTATGCAATCAACTACAAACCAGTGGTCAGCCAGCGACATTTATATGATGAGCATTTAGTGATTCTAATATGTTGTTACACAACACTAGGAAGAAGAGGGGTTCAACAATATTTGTTTAAATAAAAACGAATAAATTAATATAAACAAAGTCTATCTCAGTAACTGACACGGGTATAGATACAATAAAAATGACTGGCAATGCGAACGTGACACACTTGGTGTTTCAGGCGTATAGGTTACCATAAGATGGGCCCTATGATTGTTTGCCACCTACGTAGTATAAAAAATAAAAGAAATAACAGTTCAATTCCTTTTCAGATACTCCCTGGCAACACTAACACGTATTTAGAGAAGAAAAACCACCTGGAGCCTCCAATATGGGCCTCCAAGATCCGATTCATCCCGCATAGTTCACACCTGCGCACTGTCTGCATGAGGGTCGAACTGTACGGGTGCTATTGGAGTGGTAAGATTACTTACTTATACATATATCAAAAACAATTTAAATGTATATAACAATAATAATATACCTGAACATTCACATAGCGCTATCTTAGCAAGCAGTGTTATGGGTACGAGACAACTGAAATAAATAGAAATGTTTGTAGCGTGCGAGAATCGAAACCGCGACCACCGGAAAAGCGGTGTGCTAACCGTTTATTTATTTATAATCCTTTATAACACTAACATTAGAAGCAGTTACATTGAAAAATATAACAATAAATTAAAGGAAGAATCTACAGAAGGCGGTTTTATCCCTAACGCAATGTCTTTTAGGCAATATTAGAAAAGAGTGAATACATGCAGCACATATGTGCCGATTGTAATTGCCATAAATGTGGTACATACAATTAGTGGTAGTGTTATTAATATATAATACATTTTTTAAAATATACATCATAATAAATATTACTATAAAATCCAATTTACGTATCTAACAGTCTATTGTTGCAATTTGATTTGGCAAGTCTGTATTAACTAAGTACGGTGCAGGGGTTTAACATACTGCTTATAATTGAGGGATCGATCCACGCTCACTACACATAATTTTATATGTACATATGTCCATGTGCGCGTCCATTTTTAATTGATCTCCATAGGTGGGTAAGTATAATTATAGGAAATGGAAGAAATGCATGTATTTAAATATTCATTCAACAGCCTTTGTTAGTTCTCATGGGTATGAACGTCCTAGTTTTTAATTAGATGGTTGTATGTGAATGGTCGGCGTTTATGTATCGATTTTATTAATGCACCACATTGGCAGTCAACTTAGAATAGTTAACTGTCTGAAATATTAAACGGATTCCCATTCGATGTTTCAATATAATATAAAATATTAATTTTTAATTTAATCAATAAATAATATAAAAAATGTTGTATACGACTATTCAGTAGTCGTGATATACTCTCTAAATGTCAAATTTCATTAACAACCGTTACCCATTTATTTATTCGTGAAAAGATAACATAAAACGCCGGGACAATATTTCATTTGCACACATCTCACTAGTTAATACCTCAGAAATATAAATTACAAAAAGTTTATATCTATCATATTCGTACTTAGGTTCTTTATGCCAAAGTCTGGGAGTACTAAACCACTAAGTCCACAGTACTCAGATAGTTCGCTTAAATCTTATATTTTAATACGACAGTACGTATTTCGTAACACCCACTTGTAGCTTCATAGACTGCTTGGGGTCTAGCGAGATTGAGTAATCTCATTGAGCCCCAAGCAGCCTGAGGGATTATTGCGTCGTAGTAAACCTAACTAGAGATACAAAGACTTATATAAGAGTAAACATACCAAAATATATATTTACAAACACACAAATGAATCAACAAATTACTATGACATTTGTCACTTAATATAATATTATAATAAATGCAAATGTAAGTCGTTTGTTAGTTGAATAAATACTACTAAATTTTGATGCGCAAAATATTTTAGGCTTAAAATTAAAAAAATTTTTGCATAATTAAAAATTATAACATTTAAAACATATAAATTTATATCCGTTTATCTCATCTAGTCTCAAGTTAAATCGACGTCGTGTTATGGGTACTAGACGTATTAAATACATTTTGTTTGTAAATACATTTATAATATACATAGAAAACACCGATACTAATACAACACAATCATATTCATGAATACATATATTTGCACCGTGCGAGTAATCGATACCGCTACCATCTGAAGTAAGACGGTATTCTATACTGCACCTACCGAGGCAGTCCAAGTGGTTAAATGTCCTACATTAATAAATGATTTTGAATTATTTGAATAATGTCACGGACTGATGTTAGTACTGAATTCATATAAAAAATTACTACGCATACATATGTTAAGAGTTAGTGAGATAATTATAATAAATGTCAGCATTATATAAAACTTTATTTATTTAATTTTAATCAAAATTACACGGAACGTTATTAACAAACTTACTAAACGCTTACTAAATATAAATGAAAGTTCCCTGTGCCCAAAGTATCATTCCGAAAAAGTAAATACATCTTTTGTGTTTCGCTTGTATAATAGTACGTTTGTTTTTCATTAAAATTTTCAATAAGTTCCCAAGGATATATTGGAAATAATTTTGATGTAATTAAAAGTTTCATTAACGAAACATTTGCTTATTAAAAAAACTTATATACTCTAAACAGTGACTTACAAAGAATGGTGCTCGAGATTAGTATTTTTTAATCTCTAATCGACATATAGAAATGGCAAATGAGGTGGTATGAACGGCACAACGGACATCACGTTATCATTTGACACCCGTGATTACTACCACTGCGTTGCTATTTCCGAGGACTAAAATCTTATGCCTCTTATCCTATACAATTACTACTTTATTCAACACAGCTTATAAAGCAAGCTGCTTAGCGGCTGTAATACATAGATAAGGATACCAGCACAGACAACTTTTAACAAACTCTGTTTAAAAAATGAAACGAATTCTAACGATGAATTCAATAATCAATTGTAAACTGATTAAAATTTAAAATATTATTATAATTCAGACAAAAGAAGTTCATAAGTTAATCTCAAATTTGTTATAAAAAGACCTGTTTTATTTTCAACTACATATTATAGGTAAATTGGACAAATCAGACAGCGCTATATAGTCTTAAATTTAATAGAGCTAACACATTGAGTATTGTAAAACAATTTACAATAATAATAGTCATACCAAAGCAGATAGATATTAATACAAATGTCTGTTGAGTATTAAAACCCATGACCATAACGTCGTCGTCACTAAGGAAACCTAGTTCTCTTTATAATAATGTTATACTTAATGAATAGATAATAAAAAAACATTACACATACTATCCTGCGTTGACTACACACCAACACATGAGTATATGCACTTAGCCGTTGCAATGGACCCTCAATTATTAAATTTTAATTATGAAATAATTATTACTGAAATTCGACCACTGGGCATCCACTAGTATTAATTAAGGCTCAAATAATATTATAACATGTATATTACTAAAATATAATATTAACATGGAACCGAGCCTAATGACGTGCCGAGTAATATTGTACTTGTATTTACGCAATACTAAATCAAAATAGAAATTCTACATGGAACATGTGTCGAACAAATGTTACTAATTGGTATTACATACGTTTATAATAAATAGTACCACTATACGATTAAACAAATAAGCCAATTTTTTAAATAGAATTGTAGCACGCTTATTTTTGCATCTATTCGTGTCATGATATTCTATTATAACTGATATCAATATGCCTAAGTGAGTTTGTTTGTTTATTATGCTTTCAGTCCATTAAGAGTAAACCGATGATTTTAAAATTTGGCATGTACGTAGCATTTGAAATGGAAATGGTATTGGTTATTTTTACCAATTTTTTTTTTAAAGAATCCCAATCAATCAACGTTACGTGGAGGAATTCTCGCGAAAAAAATAGAAATAATCCTTATTCAAATACACTTAATGTAAGCACTTTTGAATATTCATTTTTTTTATTCTACCACTCAATCGGAATTTAGATTCAGCAGAATGTTCAAGAAACGTGCCTGTTGCTTTTACAAACAAATATTGTACCACTTTACATTTTTCAGATTTTATTCTAATACAAACAAATATACAACATAATAGCTTTGCACTCGGTTTCACCCGCATTTAAAGTCTATATGTTATTCTGGTGTATAATATATATTACAGTAAACTTTCATCAATATCCATTCAATAGTTTTTGCGTGAAAGAGTCACAAACATCTATCCGTACTCACAAACTTTCGCGTTTATAATATTAAGATATAGCACGAATTTATAGTAGTAAAATATTAAATATGGTTCATTGGGTAACTTCTTAATTATATTTCGTGCTGATAGATACTTCTCAGGAAACTGTGTCGTGTGGAACTGTACGAGTAAAGTTGGTTGTCGATAATGGACGTATACGCTGTAAATTGATTGATTATTTCCCAACTGAACTCATAAAGCAAACCGAGAGAAAGTTTAATAACAAAATGATTTCATATTACTTCCCGTGCTGTTAAGAGAACAAGGAAAAAGTTTCGCAATGTATTGTTTAAAAATCTTTAGTAATTACGCTTCAACAAAGAAACCATATGGTCCTCGTATTGGATCTCGAAAGTTTATGTAAGCAACTTTTGTTTCCACACAGAAGCAAAACATGTCGCACTGTGAAAGAAAACAGTAGCTACAGGTGCGCTGCGTAATAATGTGCACTGAATATAAATAAAACTCTATGCATTTGACTTACGTCTTATATAAGTTAAATTTATTAGTAATAGTGATTTTATTATTCACTATGTGGTTATATGGGACGTTTGTTGCATAGACAAGCGAATGCGGTTTCAGACAGACAGACAGACAATTGCCGACATTTATTTTTATACATTTTTTTAATATAACTTTAGCTATGCAGCCATACATAGTAGTGATAGAAGGACGCAATTAGGAATATCTATAAATAATATATACTTTCTTAATTGCATATTTCTAACAATCTTTCGAATAAAATGCGGAATAGTAAAATTAAATAGAAAGCAACAGTTAAAAGAATATAAACAAAACTATAGTAGGTACCTAATATACAAAAAGAAATATTCAAAATGAGTCGTTCGAGCAACAAAATATTTATCCTTTTTTACCATCTATTAATAATTATTCTATTGCCGAACCTCTTACTTTACTTGTAAGATTTCCGAAAAACATTTAAAGAATTTCTATGTCACGCGAGAAAGGTTAAGGCTTCGTACAATACGAGCTGGGCGTAACGGCAACGATATACCAACGTGACACTCGTGGTTGTTATCTAATGAGAGACGTCACGTGCTATTTAGGCGGCCAACGTGACGCTACCGGCAGTCCAGCCTGAAGTATCACATATACTGGTTAGGGGTTCTCAGATTACGTCATACTTTTAAGGGGCGAGGGTCCACAGACACTGAGAAGGTCGGAGGGGTCCTAAATTCCCATCATATTTCAAAATCTACGCATTGAATACAAAATTAGAATTTTTAAGTTCAGATTTCAAAATGTGTGACGTCACAAAGGCGAAGGAGGACTGTCATAAATGTAACTAACTATTATAATAATAATATCTCAGGACAATTCACACAGCGCCATCTAGTCCCAAGCTAAGCAGAGCTTGTGTTATGGGAACTAGAAAATTGATATAAATACATGGATACATTTTCTTTTTGGAAATAAATACTTATTATATATAGAAAACACCCAGACCGATACAAACAATCATACTCATGAATACGAATGTTTGTATCCTGCGAGGAATCTAACCCGCGACCATCGGATAGTAAAGCGGTATGGTAAACCATTAGACCACCGAGGCTGTCTATGACAACGATGGATGGGTCGAAATCACGAAATTAGTGGTAATTCTTTTTTTTTTATAAGGCAATAATGCACCCAGACGGTTTACGCTAGGATACACCACCAAGAGGATGATTAGATAAGCATGAGGTCAGCCCAGTCAAGCTCTAAAATAATTTTGTGATAAAATCACCAGGAATTTATCAGGTTGGTTTCCAGGGGTAATGGAGGAGCATGAGCAGGTCAACCTGTCTTGACCAGGTTATAAAATAAGTCCATATTAATAACAATCTTCTTCCCCCCCCCCCCCAGGCGTAATTTATATGTAGATGGGCCCTTATAGTTTAGTACATTACAACTGTTAACACTGGCATTATGCTGTCGTCACAGTTTGCTCGCAATATGTTTTTGTTTGGCTATCTGTATACATAAGTACCATAAAAAACGTTCTTTTAAAATAAATTCAAAGTGTGAAAATCAGTTAGTACCTCGCTGTTTTAGGTAGTTTATAATATCTGTATCCATGTGAACCCGTCTCAAGATAAGTTATAAATTGACTGTGTTCACAATCATAAATTTTTCACTGAAAATAAATTTCCCTGTAGAAATCACGTATTACAAGCACAGTAACACAATAAGCTTGCCTACATTGCAATTGTACACGAAGCATCTGCTATTCTGACAGATAAGGATATTCTTACCAATAAAAATAAGGGTTACGCCTTTATATGTTCTGAGTCTAGGATTTACATTTGCTCATCAATATATATTGTTCACAGTCGGCGTCGTCTCATATTCAATGCCTAAAGGCGACAAGAGGAGCAACGGTATGGAGTTGACAGATATGATATACGATGGTCAATGGGGGGATGACTTAAGGGGCGGGATGGGGCAACTTGTGGATGGTCAGTTCGGGGGCGACGAGATCCGGGAAGCCGCCAAGAACTCCGCCTGGGTCGGATGGAGGAATGATTCGAGGCCAACACCCCCAGTCATCACATTCGAATTCGACAAAGTGCGGGAGTTCAGCGCTGTTCACATTTTTTGTAATAACAAGTTCATGAGAGATGTACAGGTAAGTTTTTGTTTAAGCTAATGTAATAAATCAGTTCAATTTACACAGCTCCATTTAGTTCCAAACTAAGTACAGCTTGTATTATGGGTACCAGATTCTGATCTGATATACGAATATTCTCTCTGCTCTTTTGCTCACTTTGTATAGAATTAAGTTTATTACTGTATTTTAAAGTGTAATAAAGAATATACATATAACTAAATACATAATACATATATATATATATAGAGAAAACACCCAAACCAATACAAACAATCATATTCATTAACAGAAATGTTTGTACGTGTGTATATGTTTATATATTTAAATAGTTTCGATGACTGTTAAAATATATAATATGATAAAAATATTCGAAATTTTGTTCGACATGTAATAACCTAAAAATTACTCAAACTTTATATTCATTTCATTTTTACATTAACGTAAAATGTAATTAAAAATTTAACATACCTACAGTATTAGGGACCGATCGCTAGGGTGTTGCTAGAACAATATAATGCCAATTACAGTATGTGACATTCTAAATCAATATGTAATTAATAACACGGGAAGAGAGGACCGCAGACTAGAGGACCGTGGTCGCTAATGAGGTAGTCTGTGGTTACACATATTGCCTGCATTTAACTTCTGGTCATCAACATATATATTTTGTGAGTTGATGTTAGATATTGCATTTATATTTTGTTTTAATACTCTAACTCGAGGTGAACTGGATGCCTAATGACCAAGTATTTTGAGTCACAGTACTTAATTAAAAGTAAATATTTTTTTACTGAACTGATTATTCAATATTTGATGGAGATATTCAGTGGCCATACAACAGTAAATATAATTTAATCTGGTTTCATCACAGTTGCACGTTAGTTAGCAAAAAAGACTAATTTTATGTGATGCGTTATATATACTTTTTATTCTAAAATCACTGTACCTAACATGTACAGTGCTGAAATCTCGATAAACTCGTAATGCCTTTGATCTATATATGTATATATATGTGTGTGTGTGCAATCTATTTCTCTTTATGTTTAATCATATCCAGTCTTATTACGCTGCAAAACATACAACCCTACAGAAACTATCGTGACTGAAGCGAAATATGGAAACCGTTATCAAATCCACTGACAAATTATGTTAATACCAGTGATTGCTCGCACTTTGTGGAACAGTAAATTCGTACTGATTGCACGGTAAATGCAATGCAATGCACATTACGATAAATAAACCTGTGATTATTTGTTTCATTGTATGAAGTATATAAGGACGAAACCCTCACAACAGCTGTCGTTACAAGCCCATTTGTAAAGCTGATACATTATACTACAAACTTCATGTAAAATTGTTTAATTTTTGATGTAGTTTGTAGTTTGTAGTTTAATGGATGGATAATTCACAATGAGGGCCTTGGTGGTCTATCGGTTTAGTACACCGCCTTACTGTCGCATTTTCTTATGGTCGCGGGTTCGATTCCTCGCACTATTGCAACACTTGTTTGTAATATAATAACTCATGAGTGTGATTGTCAGTATTGGTGCATAAGTGCATTCTGTGTAGTTATGTATGTATTTCAACATTTCTATCAGTTGTTTAGATTTATAAAAATCCCTGCTTAACTAGATGGCGCCGTGTGAGTTTTACTGCGTTATTAATGAATATTTATTTTAAACCTTCATATAAATTTCAGTCACGTCATGGTTTTAGTATGAAAACTTGAAAATTTATTTTGATACACACTGTATTTAGTGGTAAAAATGGTTCACATTAATAAATTATCTTTACGTATAATAAAAAATTAATAACAGTAATATAATGTTCTCATATGTAACGACATTTTTTCAAATTGTCCGTTACTACCTAATAATAAAAATGTCGTTGGTAAATTTAAATACACTTAAGAAAGTAAAAAACCTGTCGCTTCTATACAATTCCGAGATACGAGACCGCGATTCGAGACAAGGGACCGCGAAACATGTCTTTTTGTTCTCATTTGTATGAAGAATTTGAGGCAGTGTTTTGCTCTTTTAAGGGTGAAACTTAGCTTTGAGAATTTTGTGTTGCCGCGGCGCATATACAGATTACGGTTTATTGCTCATTCATTTGTTTTTTCGTTTATATGTATTTTGTTTTATGGAGCGGAGATGCAAGTTAATCGTTTATCTATGCATGAAGTATGTATACATACTATGAAACAAAGATCTGCCGTCGCGTGTATGTATGTTTGCGGTAATCTCAAAAACTTCTGAATGGATTTTCATAAGATTTTTATGCAAAAATAGTATTATTTCTGAGCCATTAAGGTTGAATAATCGAAACTGAGAACAATTCACAGCGCCAATTAGTCCCAAACTAAGCAGAGCTTGTACTTTAGGTATTGCATCAAATCTAGAAATAATAGAATGCAGAAATTTGTAAACATTAATTTATAACCCTTCTTCAGAATTGGAGTAAAAATATCTAAATAACTATTAATAAATAATAGTAAAAGACTATTAACGACTATGTATATATATACAAAGTATGTTATCGTCAGATACAGTATACAGTCTGTCATGCACACAGAGGCAGATTACTTACTCTTTGATAATAGTTAATTGGAAACAATACGGAATGGAAAAATATTTACTCTGCATTTAACTGTACTGTTTACAACAAATATTTAACTTAATCTGTACCAACAATTAAAATGTATGATCGCTCTCTGCACGTGGACGATATATGAGAAAAACGATTGTTTGAGAACTTTGTCCTGGACATGTTTTGTGCAGATTTGCATTCTCTACAACTTTTAATTTCATGTTTTTTACTGATGTCAAGTTATTTCGAAAAAAGGCCTTTAAAGAAAAAAAGTTATTTAAAGCTTGAAGCTTTTAAAATTCTTTCTGAATATTCACATATTTTTATATATTTCGCCAAACTGGTCACATCATGTTTATTTTATTTTACTGGACTCGATTCAGGAATGGTTTTCATAAATGTGTAGTAGTGAATTTCACTTAAAATTTTGTGTTTGTTTTATTCAAATTTCCAAGTAGTCGCGTTTTGATACATTTACATTCAAAAGTTATCGTGCACTCTTTGATTTAAATATCTCGAAAACTTGAATTTATGCATCACCGAGTCTGTATGTAGGTCAACAGAGGCTTTCAGCGAAAACACAAGGCGCTGCATTGACAGTTTTTACTCAAGAAAATAGCAGATTTAAAAGTCTAACGCTCCACATATTGGAATTTGACTTGTATATTTCTCTGTTTAAGAATCGAATATAAGTAACCACTACTTGTTTGTGATTCATGTTGAATGTGATTAGCCCATTTTGCAAAGTACGCTGTTTTCTCTTACTAGAGTTTTCTTTTCTGCTCTTATTTTCATATATTTTGTCTAACTTTATAAGCAGTAGAAATATTAAATATTGTTTTATTTCTAAGTGTCCTGAATTGACATTTGTATTATAAAATGATATGGGAAGCTTTAAAAATGTAATAGAAATTATCTACATTCAAATAAGTTGTAGGTAAGTAATAACAACTATTTATTTAAACGGCAGGTTTATTCAACAACTACTTTGAAATCATAACAAATTTTAATAACTGTCCAAAAGCCTTACCTTTTGCAGAAGTCGCTCTTTAACCTCCCTACTCCCTCGCCCCGAGGGTGTTCTCGTTGGTAGAATAAATATATAATCTTTCTTTAAAAACTAATTAGAAATAAGTTTATTTCCAATAACTGGATATCTTTTCAATCCGCTGCCTCATATGATTTGATCTTAACGATACCATAAATTGAAAAGAAGTATTAAGCACAATGTTCTGAAATCACTACAATATTGTATCAGTAAGACGGATTACCGTCATATAAACGCCACTACTCATACGAGTATTAAATTAAAAATTTAAAAGGCTCCCAACACAATAAACTTATTTCTATCAAACATTTCTAAGGTTGCAGTGAAAAGATTGCTATTCCACATTACTTGTTCCTCTTACATATGCCTTCCGTCAGTAATTTCTTATATGTCGTGGGAACTTGTATAACAAATGAGGAAGTTTATATATAAGCATGCAAGTACAAAAAACGCATCGGAACTAAGGTTTGCGTCTTCATGTGGGTTACGTTCCGGGTTTTTTTACTATAATTTATTTATTATCTTTAGATAAAGATAATTAATTTTTTGCTATTAAAATATTCATTAATAAGATATTATTTCTCATATATTAAGACATTAATGAATTAGCAGCAAGTCGCGGCTCTATTTTCGAAATACTAGTTATATTTTTCGTATAATGTTTTGCCTTTTCATCCATAGACATACATAGATATTATATTCTCAAAGTTTTTTTAGTAGGAATCCTAATTTTCTTCTCGTATATCGCCTATCTGATTATGTAAAACTATAGCTGTGATCATTATTGAAGTCGAATAATTGTAATAGGTGTATAAAAAAAGTATCTCGGTATTAAATCGGTGCAATTAGTTAACTTTAACTTTATTAGTTTCAGTAGTACAAATTTTTCCTCTTTATAATATGACAATAGATATATACCTGTTTTGTCTAAATACAATAAATAATTCAAAGTCTATCTACGTCAGACACAAGTGTAATCTCAGCTTAAATAAGCTACGTTCAGATTAATGATATAACTCGTCATTAATTAAACGAGCGGAACGTCGACATTCTGTTGTAAATAAACTAGATTAGCAAATATACATTTCATTGACGAATGAAATTTAATCTACACTGAAGGAATAAACAGGTCGATCGTAATCTGCGATGCAGTAATTGGACTTAAAAAATCTCACTTTCATACGCAATTACACCAGCTAGGCCGCCATTTATTTAGTACTAGTTATGAGCCGCGATTTCGTCAGCACCCATATTTCACTACTTTCCAGATTTTCATATTCGTAATACCGTCTGTCGTCATATCAAATTTCATTAAAATCCGATCAGCCGTTAAGTCACGAAGAGATAACTTTCAAATTTATAACATTAATATGGACTTTGGATAATCATACCAAACCATAGTATTCTTTTACAACATACATAAAATGAGTTTATAGTTGTTTCTAGTTTGTTAGATTTATGGAAAACAAGAAATATTATGAAAAATAAAGAATACGCTAAGAGGTAAGGAACTAAAATCACAATTATAATATCTAGTTTCAGGATCCATACAGTACATTCTGGACAGATAAAATCAGAGGCATGCTCATTTGTATATTAAAAGTACTTAAGATCATGCTTTACTGATGTTTGTGTTCTAGAATAATACACATACATACATATATGTATATTTACTACCATTATAACAACTACTTACTTGATCTAGCAGTTTAGCACACTGCTTTACTACCGATGGTTGCGGGGTCGATTCCTCACACGGTACAAACGTGTTTATAAGTATGATTGTTTGTATCCGCCTGGGTGTTTTCTATGTATATTATATGTATATGTATGTATTTATGAAAAAAAATTTATCCATCTATATATAATATGTCAGTTGTCTCGTACAACGCATAATACAAGCTGCTTAGCTTGGGAATAGATACTGCTGTGTGAATAGTCCTAGGATATGTTTATATTATTACTATTATAAGTAGTTATTATAAATTTTACTGTGTTTTATCACGGCATTGAAGAGATTTATATTCATAAATTAATGTACTTAATTAACATAACTATGGGGTTTCCAATATCGTTTTCATTCCGGCATTCAGTTTCAGATCTACTCGTATTCGTTGCGAAATTGAATAATTATGGGAAGAATTTATAGGTATTTAATCATACAATATTGTTTTAATCTGAAAACATACTAGATCGCTTGCCGATTAATGAGAATATTATACCGGATGAGTTTACCGTGCGAGAAAACATGCAAATACGTTCTCGTAATTCGATTGATATTGTACTCTTTCAATATTTGTGTTTATGTACTTTTAGTAACGGAAAGCTATTTTATTATTTTACTAGCGACCTGTTCTGGCTTTGCACAGATGTATTACAAATATTTGAATTTCTCGTCTTGTTCTATACAATATAGAATACTACACTTTACATACACGCATGTATTGTATAATATTATATGTAACCGTCCTTATAAATTACTCTAACTATTGCTGAAATTGCTTTAAAATCCGTTGCGCAATTTAAAAGATATAAGCGAACAGTCAGCGGCGGCGTCTTTGTTTATGTAAAGATAAGTAATATTTTTATATCATCAGCTTCTTGTTTGTCCCATTCATGGATCTACGTAATAAGTTTTTCTCCATTTATTTCTGTTCGCAATCGACTCGACAGTCCATGCATCTCTTTTTCGGTCTTGCCCCTGGAAACCATCAATATAAATTCCTGCTGATATTGTCAAGATGAGATTACCCACTGACCTAACTTCATGCTCATCTTATCCTCCACTAGCCCCTTGCTAGTGCAGACGGGTGTTTTCCATTTTCATTAATTTAAAAAAAAACATCTACATTCGTATATAACAGTTTTTTTTAAATCCTCTTCAATAGTATTTATTTGTATTAAACAAAAATGTAATACTGTTCCTTGTTTAATCCATAGTCACCCCTCTCGTACGGTAACAAAAGCCTCTTTATAGTTAGTTATATGCATATTGCACGGAGTAGGGAGACCTACGTACCTAGATACCTACGTATGCAATGCTATACAAATCATGAAGGGTGGAACTTTAGTGTTCAGACAAAATTCAAACTGCGTAGTTGTTTTTGATTTCTTGTTGGCAGATTGTGATTTTAATTTGTTTAAATATACTGTGCACTCCTTTTAGTTTCTTAATATTTTGTTAAATAAATACTTATATTTTGTTTGTGAAATGATTGGAATAAAAAAATCACAATTAGTTATGGAAATAAATAAATAAAAATGCATCCAAAATCTGAGAATAGCGTGCACAAACGAACAGGAAAATGGTAAAACTGTTTTTTTTTGACATCGTTTAATATACATGTACCATTTTTTTAGCAACGTGACCATTTTTTTTATATTTAACGTTATTTTACGTGCAAACACGGCACTTTTATGATTTTTTTATTTCTGATTTATTTGACAAAAAATAGCGTATAGTTATTCATTAAATAAATCTATCTGCGATACAATGATTTGTGTGTAATATATCAATTATTTTCAGGTATTTTCCGAAGCGATAATATCGTTCTCGATCGGCGGCCGCCATTTTCAAAACGAACCCATCCGATACACTTACGTGCAGGACAGCATTTTTGAGAACTCCCGTAATGTGAGCATAAAATTACACCACAGAATTGGAAAATGGGTCCGAATAGAACTGCATTTCTCAGCCAGGTGGATACTTATTAGTGAGATCGTCTTTGATTCCGGTGAGTTCATTCTTATGTATTTAAACATTACACGAATTATCTCAGGAAAATTAAGGCGTGGCGTCCATTTTGATGTTGTATAGTTTCCGTACTTTTAAATGACAAGTCAATTTGTTTTAATGTTTTATTTTGAATAATAACGATTATGCAAGAGGCCATGTGTCGGGTTAGGCAATTTATTTACAGAACTACTTATTTTTTATATTATACTAGCTTATCTCAGGAAATTAAGGCGTGGCGTCCATTTTGAAGTTGTTTAGTTTTCGTACTTTTAAGTGACAAGTCAATATGTTTTAATGTTTTATTTTCAATAATAGCGATTATGCAAGAGAACATTTGTCGGGTTAGGCAATTTATTTATTTAACTACTTATTTTATTATATTATACTAGCTTATCTCAGGAAATAAGGCGTGGCGTCCAATTTGAAGTTGTATAATTTTCGTATTTTTAAGTGACAAGTCAATATGTTTTAATGTTTTATTTTGAATAATAACGATTATGGAAGAGGACATTTGTCGGGTTAGGCAATTTATTTATTTAACTACTTATTTTATTATATTATACTAGCTTATCTCAGGAAATAAGGCGTGGCGTCCAATTTGAAGTTATATAGTTTTCGTACTTTTAAGTGACAAGTCAATATGTTTTATTTTGAATAATAACGATTATGGAAGAGTACATTTGTCGGGTTAGCAATTTATTTACTTAACTACTTATTTTATTTTATTATACTAGCTTATCTCAGGAAATTAGGCGTGGCGTCCATTTTAAAGTTGTATAAATTTCGTAGTTTTAAGTTAATTTATTATTAATTCTTAAAGTTTAAAAGACTGGAAAGGTGTGCACTTTTTCATTGCGTTTTTAAATTAAACACTCATTTTCAGATGTTGCTCAAGGAAATTATACGCCAGAAAGTTTAAAACCACAGGGTGGGAAGGACAAAGCCAAGATACCCGCTACCAAGGAAGTACCAATATCCACCGCCCACCAAGAGGACCCCTTGTACATGGCTATAGTGGTTGGAGTTCTGACCGCCTTAGTAATACTGTTAGCTGTCGCTGTGTTCCTGATAGTTCATAGACACAGACACAGAAAATGCTTCGCATCCCCATTGGCCAAGACTACAGTATCCCAAAAGCGTACCTGCGAAAATTACAGTGGATGCGGCACTTCAATGTTACCAGATAATAAAATGATCATAGATTGCGGTTTAGATGTTAAGTCGGATGAATATCAAGAGCCGTATCAAGCTCTTAAATGCGCCCCGTATTTCAGTTACAGCACTGTTCTGCTCGAGATGAAAGACTTTGTAAAGGATTCCAACACTGCGCTCTCAGGTATGTAATTAGTTAATAGATTACGTAATGTATAGTATTATTAATATTTTTTTAAGTGATAGATTGTTTTTTAACTAATGAAAAGATTAATATAAAACCAGAACAAATAACCTATCGTGCCGAATTCACCGGAAATAGTAATAACAACCTCATCACTGAGAACCCAATCATAAATTACAATGCCATATCTGCAGATATGGCATTGTAATTTATGATTTGGTTAAAAAAAAAATATTTTTTTCGTAATCCAAAAAACGGAAAGATGAAGGAATAGTAATATAAAAGCACAAATTACTTAATTATTAATTTTACACCTTATTAGATATTACCCAATTTCTTAGACCTAAACGACATGTGAAATCGCGGAATTAGCTAGTGGTATATGTATGAAAGTGGCAATTTGGTTGGCATTCCCTTATGTTAGTTAGAACATGTTTGTTGAACGAAAACTTTTGCATGTATATGCACCCAGGTTAGGTTTCGTCGCTTCTAACTATTTGCGCGGTGCTGCTTTAACATGTGTTTTGTTTCGGCGTGGAGTGTAGGAAAACTCGCGAAGTGTACGAAAACTCGTGGAGTGTACTAAAACTCGTGGAGTCTCACAGATGCGTTACAAGTTGGTGTTTTTGATAACTTAGTTACAGTCTTGTGCAGTGTAGACGACGCTCTCTAATTAGTATACCACTTCAGTTCTCGCTTCCAATATCGTATAGACTTTGTTAGGTATAAAACTTTTACAAGCAGAAATAGTACAGATAGAAATAACTAAGCACTAATAAATAAGCACTTTTAAATACTCATGTTTTTTTTTTAATTCTACCACTTATTCGGAACGCAGACTCATCACAAGAAGAATGACCAAGAAACTTGCGTTACGTCTTTTAAGTTATGTTCACATATTATATGTGCATTTTTTTATGAAATATAGTCTACGACTTTTATCTTGTTACGAACTATCTTCAGGTTCACTTTTATTGAATATCGTAGTTATTTAGTCGTGACAGTTAACAAACAAACCGACAGACACTTTAGCGTTTATAATATTAATATGGATATCCGAAAACCCGTAATTTCAGACAGAGATAGAGCAGATAGTGATATTATAAACTCTCGATATCGTGGTAAAATAATTAGTCATGTCAATGTTTAACCGATATTTGAAAACAAAATGGCAGGGCGTGAAGTTACCTCCATCTTTCGAATCAATTATTAATTTAAATTTCAAATCACGACAGTTAGTCGCAAATTAAAATTGACACGCGGTCACTACCTAAGTGGTATCTAAATTAGGATAGTAATCCATTAGATCACCAATTATAATGTGTAATATATATATTTATTTGTATCTACTGTCTCAGCAGATAGTTCAAACTACGACTACGCAGTGCCGGAACTGAGCTCGGCGCCACTGTTAACGAAACGGCGTCTCACGGATAGTTTGTCGGATAGAGCAACGGAACTTATGAGTGAACACATGGACAAGATGGCAGAACTCGAGGCGCGGCGGTCAGCAGCCGGCTCAATAAGATCCAAGCACAGTACTAGGGTACGTTGGGACCATCGACAAGGAATACCACGCATTTGATTCCCTACGCACCTTGTTCTATATTTTAAAAAAATACCATAATTTTTATTGTTTTTACTCAAGAAGCAAAAACTATACTCCGTTATAGGAAAATTGCGCAGACGGTGGAATATGAAATATTGCCAGATTCCTTTCAAATAAAAAATGCTACTATTGTAACTTGTCTAGCTCAGTGTATATAAAAATGTATATTTATTTGTGTTTTAACAAATATTATCACAGAAAATCTTCGGTAAATATCAGCTTTAAATGCTACTTTAATAGAGGACGCTATAACAGTTTCTTTTAATCGTTGTATTATTTTCTTTTCTACATTCACAAAGAAACATTATATCATCAAGTTTATTCAATTATAGATTCCTTAGAGATTATTTGGACTAAAAATAATCTCGCATAATTACTTAGTTACAAAATCTGTGGGAGAATTATCAAATTCCATTCAGATTGATATCTTGTCGCATACAAATATGGTCAGATGGAAAACATTTAACCACGCTATTACGTATCCTGTTCTACTAGAAATTTATATTAAGTATAAATAATTGTATTAATTAAACACACCATGTTTGTACATTTGCAAATTAATTAAAACAAGCTTCAAAAGTTAGCTGAAATATGTTGCAATTATTGTCAAACAAGTTTCTACCGAACAAATAATTAACTACGATATATTTTAGGTTTCATTACATTGCTTTAATGCTACCGACTCAATATCGCGATATTGGTAACATCAAGACAACTATATCTTATATATATATATATATATATATATATATATATATATATTGGTTATGGACCATACATTTTCGATACCAAAGACTTGTGATATCGTGTTTCTTGTGTCCCTTAATTTCGAAAATAGGTGCATATTTTGATTTGTATTTTGATGGAGGTGCATAAATAAAACTATAGTTTGTAATTAAGGTTTCAATTACGGTATCTGCAGTTTTTTATTTACAATAATTATGAATATTTATTTTAAAATCTATAATCTTGGTACATAAGAGATAAGAAACAACAATTTTTCAAAATGGAACGGAAAATTGTGCTTCTTAGCTGTTTTGTTTTAGTACATGAAACCTTGTTAGAGTATTATAAACAAAAGCTATAACATGTATATGCTATGTGTTTGCAGTCGCCCAGTCAGCAGGAGGTATTGATAGACCTACAACGCCGTTTGGAAACTACCAACGTCATCGAATTTCCACGTCACCGACTTCGAATGATCTCCAAATTGGCTGAAGGTGCTTTTGGCACTGTGAGTACATGATTGCCTTTGTTTAAGGCAACCAGCGTTTTCCATTTATGACAGACTTTATAAAGAAGCAGTTTATTGATTTCATACAAAATATATAATCAGTTGAGTTTCTTACCAGTTCTTCTCAATTGAAGTAGCCAGCATACTGGACGGCAGGGTGAAAATGTTGTCATAAAATTAACTATATGATTTTGATTTTGACCTTTTTATGTATGTTAAACGACATCTTCCTTAGTTTTTAAGTTATATTCAACCTACTTTTTAATGGAATCATATTTATAATTTTTTTAATATAAATGTCGTCACAGGAATCCCATAATATTAGTGGTAACTTTATACCATGAGTTTAACCTTATTATCAAGATTTACAGCCAAATTTCTGGCCACTTTTGGATGAAACTACATTTGAATTAACGGTGGATTTGACTTACCATATGTATCTCTAATAGTCCTACACGGATTTGATTTGATTAGGTTTACGTGGCCGAAGCGGACGGTGTACCAGAGTATAGCGGTACCATCACATCTGAGAAGCGCCTGGTGGCCGTGAAATTCTTGTGTCACGATGCCACCGTTAAGGAGAGGTATATCATGTATGACATATCATTTTAGATGATTACTGTTGTCAACCTCACACTCATTGTTTTCATCTAGTAAATCGATTCTTTAAGTTGCCATATATAATGTATATCCTCATTTTTAATAATTATTTTCTTAGCCTAATTCCATTTAAAGTCAGCACAATAATTATCATGTTTATTTTATAATTCGTAGTCATTTAAGTTTTCTGTATATTCAATATGCAATATAAATTCAAACTTTATGTTCTGATACTTCGTTAGGTATATAGTTTTTTTTTCTATATTGCTGCTTTTTGTGTTTACTTCCTAGAACATAGAAAGAGAGTGCTATGTACAGCAAAAGTAATTTGTTATGAAAATAGTTTAGTTTGATTTTTTATTGTACGTAGCGCTCTCTTATATATTTGTTTTTAATATTAATGTTTTAAATAACGTGTATAAAAGCTTTCTTAATTAAGAAAAATATGAATATTATAGCTTGCTATATGGTACCATGATTTATTGTGTCACCAATTGTTGACCAATATTGGTGACCAGTAAGTCATATCCCATATTAACCGTATATTAAAGGTATGTTCTTTTACAGGGAGGAATTTGAACGGGATGTCCGCATACTAGCAGCGTTGTCTTCTCCACACCTGGCTAGGGTGTTGGGTGCGTGTAGGTCACCACCATTGGCGGTGGTGCTGGAATATCTGGAATTAGGGGATCTATGCGCATTCCTTCGTGCCGCTGCACCCCAATCGACCCCCACTTTGTTACACATAGCCACGCAGATCGCAGGAGGGATGCAATATCTCGAGTCGCTCAATTTTGTACACAGAGATTTAGCTGCCAGGTATATACTTTTTTTTTCTTAAATATAAGTTAAGATGAACATGAAGTCAGATCAATTAGCCCATCTTGAAAAATTAACCAGGTATTTATCGAACGAAGGTTATTGAAGTGGTACCATTGCTAGCAATTGGATCTTTATTAGTACACATTACTAACCATCCCTTTCCCCTTATATACAATTTTACTTAATATTTTCATTCAGTCTTGACACGTTAGTGACGGACTAATTCTAAAGCAGGCCCTCGGCAACATTTTATTATTCTTCAGTCAAGAAACAAATTTGCGTTTGTACTTTAGCCATAAGCATCTCTCGGTTGTCTACGGCTTAGTCCGCCCCTGGGCACGATAAATCTCTTGAACCATATCTTTCTTTTCCAGAAACTGTCTCGTCGGCAAAAACTATCAAGTGAAGATCAGTGATTTTGGTACGGATAACGAAACATACGCGTGTGATTACTACAAAGTGGACGGGCGTATTCCGCTGCCGCTGCGGTGGGCCGCCTGGGAATCAGTGCTGAGGGGGAAGTACACCACCAAGAGTGATGTTTGGGCATTCGCTGTCACCTTACACGAGATATTCACTATGTGCCGGCGACGTCCCTACGAGCATATGACTGAAAATGAGGTGAGTCATACAATCCAACACTTGTCTACTGACTGATTTTCTTATATATAGAAACATATAAGAAAACAGAATTTATTATTATTATTCTAGAATTTACAACATATAGTTGGTAGATTTAATGTTCCCTCACATTATATTATTATTATATTTGGAGACAGTGATAATGGAATGCCAAAATGTACCAAATAAAAGACATGACCGTGAGTTATAAGATCTAACCTAGCCAATTTGAAAAACTTTTTGCAGGAATTAAAGTTTTCTTCCGATAGCATTTATAATAAAACATTAAATTTACTTGAGACGCGATTATATAGATTGTAGATCTGCCCTCTTAGCACGCCGTATTCAATTATTCTTAGCTGAATGTGGATATATCCATTTTACGTCATTACAATAATTTTCGTCCTTCTTAACGCGCCGTATTTAATTATAATTTTTTCGTCACTATAAAAACTGTTGAAAATGTGGCTTCATGTCCCATGAAGATATAAATTCAACAATATTACATTTTTATTTAGTATTTACCAACAACATGGATTCAATCGCATTTTTTGCAAACTTTCAAAATATAACATGAATATGAATGAAGAAATTAATTTAGGTATATATCACTTCCAAGTTATGACATAAAAATATTAATATGAGATTATTCCTTTTGTTTAGGTGCTAGAGAACCTGTCTCACCTGCAAGCCAATGACGGTATATTCGAGTGTATAGAACGCGCGGCGGGCTGCCCGCGAGATCTCTACGAGCTGATGTGTGAATGTTGGCGGCGCGACGAACTTGAAAGGCCTACGTTCGCTGAAATCAACCTTTTCCTGCAAAGGAAGAGTCTTAATTATGCGACCACGTGATCCTGGCATACGCCTTGCTCGAACATGTTCTCGAGCTACTAACCAACGGCTCGGAGCAAAAGTTGAGGGTGCGTCTGCACGCGGGATGTATCTGAGTGTGAACAGGTCACTAGGTTTTAAGGAATATGGTAGTTTTGTATAAAATCCAGATGTATATACGTATATATATACTCTGTGATTTATCATTGATGCGTAATCTTATGGTGGAAAGTATCCTACAATTTAAGAGCGTTTTTTAATCATATCATATATTTTAATTGCATAGTTACAGCTTAGATATTCGAAGTTTAAAAATGCCTCACTAACAGAACTTAATTATAATAAAAATATATTTGTAATTTTCAAAACTTCATTTTTTTTATTGTGTATGTTTACTACAGTCACAAATTAGCAACATGTAATTTATTTATACATTTTTAGAAATTACTGATATTCAATATTTATGGATCATTATAGGAAGTGGTATGGTGTTTTATCAATGAGCTATGAATATTTTATGGGAATGGATGACTATTTCTTTTAATTATATATAAATGTTGAATTTCGCTTGTTTCTAAAAGTGTACAAATAAATTTGATGTTTCTAATATTAAATATAATACTACCACCATGAGAGTATCATCAATAAGACTTCCATATCGTCATTACAATCATTACTATTAGTCATCGATTTACTTTCTGCTGATATAGATATTGATTATGCAGGAATCTATTGATTTATCAATATTACCTCAATGGACTTTATTCCAAATTATATATATACAATAGACGAGGTTATTTTTATGCATTTTCAAATCAAATCAAAAATTGTTTAAGAATAATTAACATTCTTAAACAATTTTTGATTTGATTTTTTATCCGAATATTTTTTCCCTACCCCCTGCAGTTTAGTATAGATACTTTTTTTAAGCCAGTTTTTTTACTTTGTTTATACATGTATGCAATTGGTGGTATACATGTATTTGAAAACGATAACTTAATACATTCAAAGAAAGTAAATCTGTTGCTAATAGATGACCTGTATTATTGAATTAAATTACGTGTAATAATTGTGGTTCATTAATTTATTAATTAAGTTTATAGAAGAGAAAACGTAATTCATTGCAGTCTCTTGTCTCTCAAAGACAGAAAATTACATTACAAATTACTTTCAATAAATTTTACATTAATTTTAAATTTTATAATAAATCCGTTTTAAAATTTAAAATTAATGTAAAATTGATAAATAAGTTCTTGATACATTTTACTACGCTTCAAGGATACGATGCCACGTAGCCTTGTCTTATCTATGCATTAACAAATGTCATATTTATTCTATTACGTAATAAAGTTCAATTTTCTTTAACTTAATACAATTATTACACGTAACGTAATTGGGATAGCTTAGTATGTGAAGGAGTCATAGGAGTTGGTAGAGAACAACTCTAATTTTGTAGTTTCAAGAGCTGAGTGTAAGTGTTGTTTCTTCGTTTTTCTATCGTAATTAAGTACCAGTGGATAATTTTTATTATCGATAAAGTAATGAGATATGGAAATTATCTTCGTTTAATTAGTCGCGAGAAATTAACGAAGATATTGGAAGTGAACTAGTGAAATGGTAACATCAAACTAAAAATTTGGAGTTGTTCAGCTTTCTACCTAGTTACAGACTCAACATTTGCTCCGACGTCTTTGTGTCATGCACAATCGCAGTTCCGTACGTGTCAGCTAGTTTGTAATGAAATGTCTTGTACAACTTTAAACTTTTGTAATGTCTTTTATATATGTGCTATCAGTAGATGGCAGAATTCACCATGAAATCATATTTATAGACATAGCGTAGAATATTACTAATATTTCGATTCATATAAATAACCCCGGGCACCACAGTCTAGTCCCAAACTATGCAGAGCTTCTGCTATGCGTCCAGAACCCAAACTAAGATCATGATACTGCTATAAAAAACTTGTATACATTTTCTGTAAATACACGCTCATAAATTACAAATGTTTGTGTTGTGCAGGGAGTGAACCTGCAAACATTTGAAGTAGGAATGTTAAAAACGCTAGACCAGCAAGGTCGTAAGACAATGATTTTCAAATTCGATTAGATAATAACAGTACTTACTATAATAGGTGTATTCTTTCGCGTTTGAAGCCAATATGGCGACGTTATTTGTAATATTTGATCGGTGCGTACGAAACTGTGTATTGTTGTATAATAAGTCTCGTTTGTCGTAGCGTGATATTCTACCTTCACTGTTATACTGATTTTCATTTTAATTGTAAACTATATATTAACATAAAAATATGACTGATTGTATCGGAATGGCTATGTACTCTGAATAATGTATAAGACTGATATCTGTAATGGATTATTTTGTGATCGCATCATTGTCATATTTTCACGTGTCATTCGCATCTTTTTATATCAAACTAAACCTTAATCCATTGGTATAAGCTTTATTTTACCACATCTGAATTGTCAAGATTAATTTTAGGTTATCTAAACATTGTACAGTGAAGATATTTTGTACTTACATTATTTTTGTGTCAAAATTCGTCTTAATAGGACGTCATGCTACGATGCCTAGATTTATAAGATCTTAGTTGTAAGTATTGTACTTTAACAAGTGAGCTACGATGAATAGACATATACAACCAGTTCTTCCTTCACACCTTGAGGCTGAGTATAGAGAGTATTTCTAGTACACCCACCGCGCCTTCAACGTGTTTATAATTGTGAGATCCCTGACTGACGAAACATGTGGTATGTGTAGAATCATTGTGATATGATTGGATTGGATGAAACGCTTTAGAACTTCATCCGTATGTATTTGTATGATGTTTTTGTCATGTCGTGGGCGTAGGAACTCTGTAAAAATTGCACTAGAATGACGGTAATTGAGTATTGAATTTTTGTCAATCAGCATTTTTCATTTGATAGAGCGAATTATTAATGTATAGGTCTTATATAACGGCATGTCCACTCGCATCCGTCGTGGAGGCGACTATTTGTGGACGAAGCCTAACGTTATTAATTTAGCGTTTTGCATGATTAATGTTTTGTTGGCTATATTGCAGTAGTAGTAGCGGAGTAGTGTACAATGTAGGACGCGGTTTTTACAAGAGCCCTATATAACATCAGTTTATAATCGTTAACGCACTCGAGTCTCGAGTAAGCAAAATTTCCTCGTATTCTTATGCATACAGAGAATTATATACAATATCTATAATATATAACAAGTAAAATTTGTCAATATTACCATAAACGTAGAAATATATTGATTTGAAATCTATATTTGTGATTTGCACCATCATGTACGTCGCGAAAAAATGTATATTCGTCATGTTTTAGCCGTTAATACTGAATCAATATATTAGTACTAATATTTACCCAATATGTTCATATCTAAAATACGTCACAAAATTTTTCAATTTATATTCTAAAATGGCAGATATTGTGTAAGAGATTATAATTAGTTCGCCTTTCATAAAGCACAATATCAAATAATTATATTAATCTCTTGTATTCTCAAAGCAATTCAATACGAATATGTCTGCGTAACAACCGGTCCAAATGAACATTTTGTAAAGCGTTTGCAAAGACTTAGGATTGTATGGAATGAATGGCACGAAATGTTTATTTAGATCCACTGTGAAGCGTTAACGATTGTTGAAGTAGAATTAGAAGGAATGCAACTTGTTTGTATGTATGGAACCGACGCGATGAAGGCAGCGGCCCGGTGTACGTTTAGGTGAAGTCATGAACTATATAGACATTTATTTTCATATAGACCATTTCATACTGGAGTATATTAGCATTAATATAAAAAACTGTTCTTTCATATTTAAAATATTTTGGAAATAATGTTGGTATGTCTTTTTGTCGAATTTATAACGAGACAATGAAAAATATATGGAAATATTTATGATTTTTCTTATAAACTAATTCAGCTATTGTAAAATTGGTTACTAAATATGCTAAATATAAATAAAACAGAATATAGTCATTAGAGATAGTAGCGTCTGGATTGAATAAATTTTATTAGATATACCTATATATATATATATATATAAAGAGTTATAGATACCAGTTGTCTATTTTCCGTAGTTTGCTGTGTCGAAGTTAGTGGAAATAGTTATTCTGACAATATATCACGGAACGCGGTCGAAGTCAGTTTTCACTGCGAGATATAAAATATGCATATTCCGAGATAATCCCTCACTGCTCTTGTCAGCGTCTAATGTGAGTGATGTTAAATTATATCTCGGAGTATATATATTCATCTCCCACTAAAAAATGAACTTTGATACGTGTCTCTTTGCGTGTAGTGTTGCGTATAGGCGTGTAATATAGTCGACGCGTGTCGATGTGCGTGCTGAGTTAGATAGTGCACGTGCAATGAGCGCCTGAGTTAAGATGCGTGAACGAGATTTTGTATGAAGTGAAGCTAGTGAGCAAAAGTACAGCGCTCAAATCAAGAGCCATTAGATTTTATTTGCATTTTGTAATCGGCAGTTGTATTATGTTATATTTGTTTATTAAATGGCATATTATGTGTTGGCATAACTTTGTACTTTATAAGGCTCCAGTCATCATGCTGCTTGCGAATGTGATGACGTATATGATTGGTGATTTAATTTGAATGGAGTCCTTCATTAACTGCGGGCTATCCTTATCTTAGGAAGCCTTTTTATATTCTATTTTCCCATTGTACGGTACTACCACATTTAAAGTGATATCAAAATCTAATAAATCAAAAAAATGTAAAGTTGTTCAAGTAATCAACAGTATTTTTTTTTATTAATTATCAATATACTTTTTTCCAAATAAAATTTGGTTCTAATCTAAAATCACCAATCGAAAATTGTATTAACGTATAAATGCGGTGGTACTTTAACGTACAATGTTATTTAAGCGATATTGTGATGTGTTTACGTATAATCAGATTTAAATTCAAATTTATTTTCTAAATATACATGTGTGTGTGTATATTTTTAATCTTAAACTTTGACAATATATCCTCATGGGCAACTAAATTATATGTGTGTACATAATTTTACGGTATATGTACTTGTTACTTCAAGCATTACAAATTTCCTTATGCTTTATACATATTTATATTTATAAAGATTTGAACACAACGAGTTGATAATCTCCTATAAATTTATACTAGAGATATATTTTAATTTTTAAAGGGATCTTCTATAATTTTACCGAAGAAATTATTTATTTTGTTATATAAAACTTTTCGGCAACTCTCACGGCCATGTTAATCGTTTATTTATATAATAAGTATAATTATGACCAACGTGCATATCTGCACGTACTCTTAGAAAGCCGGAGGATCACATTATCTCTTTGTTCGGTGAACGGTAGCTTATATTGGTCTGGTCTCACCACTTGGCCCAATAGAGACACTAACGGCAAAATAGATTATCTTCATATAAAAGTAGTAGGCCGTTATTAATCTTAGGTAGAATTAAATTTCTTGCCATATCTAAAAGCCATAAAATATTCATACGAATGTGGTAGAAATCTAAAGGACTTTGAAATTTCTAATAAGGCGTTTTTATATATGTATAAAGTTTAAATTATAAATATCCCATTGTAGTGCGATCCTTCGACATTCTGATAGTAAGCTTGTAGTGTATCACTAGTTCTTATGTTTCCTATCGTGGACCGAAACTTACGGCTTAAATTCAAGAGTCTAATTAAGTAAGCACTTAGTATTAAGAGCGTTTAGTTTGCAATGTAGTACTTATAAAAAATAAGTATTATTATAGCGTGAACATCAGTCCGGCTGCATTATAAATATTTTGAAACATCTTTAGGCATTTTAGGCATACTTTGGAACACTGATCAGATCTATTCGGGCTACATATTTTATATTTACAATATATCTAGATTTTACTAAATTGTTGGACCACTGTATTTTGAGTCCACGTGCACTTCGCTAAAATTAACATGAAATATCAGCAAACTTTCTTGTCTTTGATTTCTTTTACCCATATTTGACCCGATCCTTACTATCTTAACTACACTGTGGTCAATGGGTGTATCTAGTATAGTTATTATAGTATGCAGGATTAAAGAAAAAGTCTTATAAAAAACATTATAAAATAAGTTAGAGAAGGTACAATGTATTGATTTTCCATAAATCTATAAACTGAAATTCAATTACTTGGAAATTATTAGACGTTTCATTGATATAAAATTACCCCTGTTAACCCGTGTCTACATCAGTTATTGATATTATTCACTAGACCCCACCTATTTTACATAATAATAACCTGCAATTAACTCCCCAAAGGCACGAATACACGCGCGTGATAGCCACGAATAATTGTCAACGTATTCATATTTAATGCTTATGTGTTATGCAGTAGCCAGATAATTGATACGGCCTATAATATCGGTGCGACATTATGCATAATTTACATATAATTTATTCATATTAATGTATTAGTTATAAAGGAAAATTAAAGAAACTAAATTTGAGTTATAATTTCAACAATCTGGTAAAATACATTTGTTCATTAATAGATGTAATTCCTTGTGTAATCTCTTTCATATTTTACCCACAATAAATATACTAACACCGAGTTTATTTGTATATTTCGTTTTATATCAACATTTCTCATGGCAGCTCAGCTTCAATTGGTAGCGTTATGGTATAACTATCCTTAAAAAATAAATAAAAGAATTAAACACTATAGATTCCTTTTTTTTGTTAACACAAGTAATGTGTCGTATTATATTTTGCTTAATTTTTCTAAAATCTCAAATTAGAAACAAATATAAAATAGCAGCCCTAATTTTAAGATCCTTTATGATTTTGCGAACTCAAGGATGTATTCATTTAATTTCGCTAAACAGCTACCGTATAATACAAAAGCGTACATTGCTGTAGTTCACGCTATAGTAGTGACTATCATATGCAGACAAGTACCAATGTTTATTAGGTTAATCGAATAAATAGAGGTCTAATTATTTCCTAAGTAAGTAGCGACCATTCTAATGATAAGTATGCATTTACTTTCATAAATCTGGCCTTATTTCCTTCGTTAATTATTATTGTCTAGCTGATAGTGTATAGGTGAAGCGGGTCAGGGGTCGTCTTGTGACAATTCGACGATGCCAACTGCCCAAGCTACTGTATCGTTAGTGATAATGTTAGACACTAATAATAATGTACAATAACACCCTCTCTGCCTTAGTGATGCTATTCTTACCCCTAATGCTATGACGAAATATCATGTTAGAACGAAATTTATATGTATCTTGTAAATACGAATTCTTATTGCTGATGTATTATAACGAGCACTATGGAAAACTTAAAATTCCTAACAATGGTCCAAACTTCACTTGCTTTTTGATTTTTACTATACGATTATACAATTTCTATATAGATAAAGAAATAATAATTAATCTAGAAATAAAAACTTTAATGCTTTAATTTTATTTTTAATAGATGTAAAACTTGTATTTGTCGGAATGCTTAATTTTCATAATTCAAAGTTTTGTGGAAAAGGTTGATACCAAATGCAGTATTTTTATTTTGTACTCTACATCTTTGTACCCGAATAAAAGCAATAATCCAAATGATGTTTGTTTTATTATTACCCTTTCCCCAAAAAAATAACAGAAATAAACGCTTTCAAATCTACCAATCTAACGCAGGAAACACTGCGTGTGTAGTTCTTTTGTTTTCTTCAGCCTTTCCGAATGTTTACAAACTATGAGCTTATCAGTTCTTTATTTACCACAACATCCTCAACGGCAAAGACCCGTTGAACTAGGAGTTCTCAACGAGCACACATCAAAATGGGCTCTTTCTGGCAACTCGTGTTAGCTGCCTCCGTGGTACAAATGTATGTAGTAGCAGTTAAGGTCAAAGTTGTTATGCACTCGGAACAGGACGACTCGAAGCTAGAAGACGAGGAAATATCCCGCACCGAGTTTTGGCCACATAAGAAACATTCAGAACAACAGCACGTAACAGTATTGCCATTCTTGAAAAAGTCCAAAAAACACGTCGAAAAGAAAATTGAGTACGAAGAGGAAACACCGGCGACTGAAAAGCCACGACAGCAGCACCCTAATGAGTTGATATTTCCATTAATATATAAGCAGAAACATATAAACAGTATGTTCAAGTTTGCAGGGAATTGGTACACTTGGTCCACTGAAAAGAGGACAGATGGATCAAAGGCGACACATTATTACATTTGTTATGATGAGCCTAAAAGATGCGATGATATTGGATGGGTAAGACTATACTAGTTAAATTCGTGCGTAGCTATTTGCGGAACTTTCCCACTCTCAAAACAATTTGTTTATATACTTCTAAACAAATTGTTTTTAGAGTGGGAAAGTTGGCATACACATTATTTCTGCCATTGTCTTAACCGATTAACACATGGTCTCATTAAAAAACAAATACATGAACTTGATAGATTTCATTGGCAGTAGACCAATGGAATTCAATGAAATAGAATAATAGAATAGAACTTTCGTATTAATATTATCTGAGTCCAGACAAAGTAAATTTTAAGTGTGTTTCCACCTGTAAATTGAGTTATGGGACCACCCTTACCGCATTCCCTCAACTATATTATGATACTTACATTCTTTACATCACATTCTCCCTGTATTAGCAACATTCTTTATTTCAGTTCTGCTCCTGTTCGTACAGCGTGGTATTATATAGCCTTATATCAGTAGTACGGGAGTACCACGTACATTCAAACTACCTTTTTATAATATTAGTAAAAATACAATGTTATTTTTTTCTACAGGAACGAATTGACAATATCCCCACATGTGCATTTCAAATAGACTCTTTAATGCCGGATGATCGAGCATGTATTAACAGCTTTGGAGTCGGACCCCACTCCCACGGTGTATGCGACGGAGGCGCACAAATGAAGGTTAATATACGACACACTATATAATATATATAAATTATAAAACAAATGTAGTACGAATATACATCTACCATTATACTACTTAAAAGAAATGGTAATAATAGGTAAATAATGGTTTAAATCGGTTGAATATTTTTTAAGGTATATAATTCCATATTTTCTCTTACCAACCTATCTTTTTCAAGAACGGTCAATTCTTTTGGTTTCTATCTTAATATATAATATAATTATTCAGCATTGTTTAGCACTTGTTTGTGACATACTCCCTCTAAACTGCTGGACCAATTTGGATACAATTATATATAATAGACAAAACTATTCAAATACGCAAATTTATTAAGTCCCTGGTTGGATCCGATAGTTTCTTAGTAATAAATAAATAATTCTTTAGGTCAGCGAAATGATACGTTCCTGTGGGCCACGCATCCGTTCTCTGTGGCGATTCTTCAGAGTGAGTCGTCGACCAGCCAATGTCCCCAAACCAGCGGATGTAAATTCATTAATATGCGAGGACGAAGAGGAGTGCTATATCACCATTGAATACAGGGTAAAGTACAGGGATTTTCCCCGTCAATTCACACAGCGTCATCTAGACCCAAGTTAAGCTAACAAAAGCTTGTATTATGGGAACTAGATAACTGATACAAATACATAGATATTTTTTTTCCGTAAATACATAATATACATAATAAACACCCAGACCGATACAAACTATCATACTCATGAATACAATTGTCTGTGCCGTGCGGGGAATCGAACCCGGCACCCGTCGGAAGTAAGGCGGTATGCTAAACCGCTAGACTACCGAGGCCGTCAATTATATTTGTAGAATGCACCATTTCAACACCATAATACCGACGACCACTGTTTCGGCTACTTCAGCCGCCAAGCAAGGTTGCAAACCTGTGTTTCGGATTGAAAGAGATATGATAGTAAAATTAAAGGATACAGAAGCATGAGATCTTAATACTCCGAAATAGTAATACATCAATAGAATATTAGTGTACCACGGTCTAATGATAGCGTTATGTCGTATGTTATTCCTATATAGAGGCGACGGCAGCCACTTACCTTCATGGAGACCGTTACTCTGCCATACCAATGTTTATGTTATATTAAAAAAAAACTTATATTTGTGTTGTACGAAGCTTTGTATGTTTGCATTGACTAAAAAATATAAAATAGATTTTGGATGGAGTCAGTTTCCCAAATCTTTGTGGTTAAGCTATGTTTGTGATTTCGGTTTGAGTAATGGATATGGTAGTGTGTTATTTCAATTAGTGGTTACGGAGGCATATTGTCTTAATCCTCATATACCAATAGATACAAAACTTATTCAATTTCCTAAGCAATAGTCAAAAGTAATTTCATTATTTACGTAGAAAAGTAATTTATATATGTTCAAATGTACTTTAAAGATTGTATTTTGCTTTAGATCCATCATGATAGAATAACATTTTCTCTACATGAGCCAAGTCGAGGCCAAACGTTTAAAAGTGCGCTAAAACGTGAAATACAGAATGAGGAGGAAAATAAGGTTGCAGCAGTAACAGAAAGCCACCCCAGGGTACATAGAGGCAAAAAGGAAGAGGAGTCTAGAAAGAAAATACACAACAGATCAAGAGCCAAAGCCATAGAAGGCAAAGGAGTTATAAAGGAAAGGAATGATTCCGGTTATACTAACCGTAGAGTCGTGAAAAACAAGATAAAAATAAGAGAAGACATGTCGGAAGATATTTCAGAGTAAATTACTTCGTTAATAATAACAACCTACGATTATAAACACATACAAGGCTACAATGCAGCAAGCGATCTGTCATATAAAATACAGTATGCTGTAAGAACAATACTTGTTACATACATGTTATGTATTTTGCAATAGTAGCCGTTACGTTATGATAAAAACAGCATTTTGAACCTGAGCGTAACTATACAAATATTGTTAAATATATTACACGTCAAATAATTTTGACAGATCAAGTGCTTGTAGGAAAATTCTGATCCTACGGAATACTTATATTGATTCGATTCGGTATTGCTACTCCGTAGTATAATTACATAAGTAATATACCATTTTAATTAGACTGTTTCTTTAATTCGTATTTTCCATTTTATCCTTTCTATCTACTTTACAGAGGCTATCATTTCTACTATATTTCATTGTTAAAATCCTGTGCAACAAATGAATATTAATCACCAATAAATTATTTAGTAAAATTCTTTGGAAACTGGAATACTAAGGTAACATGGGTTTTAGTTAAGGGATCGTTAGTAATGTGAACTAATAAACTATTAATGCACCTTGTTTCCCATTAGCCATCCTCCATTGTTGACCGAATGATTATATGAAAATGAATGAATAAAGGAATAAATGAATGGTTTATTTTAAGCACACATTGGTTACATTGTTAGCACAATTTAGTGTTGAGCCGTGATATGGCAAGCAAAGCTTTACAAAATAAACAATGCCTTAAAACATAAGTAAGCTACAAAAGTGGTAATTAAAAAAAACAAATCATGTAAGCCATTATTAGGCAGGTACACATAGAAGGTACAATAATATCAGGAAAGATAAAGTTGTACTAACTTACATCTTTCAAAATAAAATTTTTAACACAAATGGTTTCGATTATGATTGACATACACACTTATACATAGTAGATAATGTTATATATCTTTACGATATAGTTATGTCAGTAACTATCTAGGAGTCAACGAGATTTAATGATCACTTAGAATGTCTAATCAGAGAGTCTAGTGAAAAACAAATGTTAAATAAAAATATGTTTACCTAACTTTATAAATCGGGGTTCTTTTGTAAGTAATATATGTTTAGGAGATATCAGTTATATCCTGACAGTGTATCATTACAGTTTACCCAAGAAAACTGTTAAATGTCACCAAAACACGCAGCCAGAATCTATCAAAAAGAACTAATATTTCCTAAATTTAAAACTACATTCAAAAGAAACCCGATTTGATACCCTGTTCTAAAAATAACCAGTCAATTTGAATAATCAACTAAATAATAAGTGCCCGTTACATTTATTCTTTCGAACACGTACATAGAAATAATTTGGCAACAATGCACATATTTTTAATATGTACATTGTGGATAAACTTAATATACTTAATATCTTGAAAACCCACAATATTCTAATGGACCGGCTTCACAAACAGTATGTGTACATTTCTTACGAAAATATACTTATAACGAAATGACGACTTATAAATAAAAGATCGAGTCTTTGACCCTCATATAGTTAGCCATACAAAGAAATAAAACAACAGCAAAAAAGAGATATAAACGGATTATTTATAATACGTATAGTTTCGCTTATTATATAAATGTATCAATGTAAAAAAGTTTACTTTTCCGTTCTAAATTTTATTTTAGGATTCACTTTCCTTGTGTCGTTGTCGGTATAAAATTTCCTGTAATTTACGTTCTTGTAATTTACATTTGGTGCTTGATTATTCTTGCCTTCTGCCTTCTTGTTTTCTTCAGATTCTTTCTTGAGATCTACACGGCCAGCTTGCCCCTTTCGTTCCGTTTTATCGGCTGACATTTTCCGCTTGCGCTGGCTCTTCGTTTCTTGAACGTCGTCTTCGATAACAATCGTTTCGGGAACTTCAGCCGCGTCATTATTTGTTTCTTGTTCGATTTTCGCTTTTGCTTGCTGCAACTGAGCAAGCACTTCTGTTTTCATCTGTTCGTTTTCTTTCAATATTGCCGTAATTTTTGCTTCCTTAATTTTGTATTCTTTTATTTCCTCCACCTGTAAGCATATTTATCCATTTTAATTCTCACATTATTGATAGTGATTAACCAAAGTGAGAATACTAAAGATCATATAGGAATATACTAATAATAATCTTTATTCACTCACAATGATGCTTATAATTTCTAATTGCACTTTAAAATAACTAAAATATTAGTTATTTTTGTGAGAGGGTGAAGTCGGAACTAGTTAAAACCTGTACTACAGATCTCCAGGCTCTCACAGGACATTACAGTACAATATAAAATATCTTAAACTATATTAAATATTTGTTTTCTAAAGTATATTTATACAAATTATTGGTTTGAAGCGCAAGTAAGTATTTCTACGTGTTATGTAGGGATATAAAAACTTTGTAGCAATTTAATATACATTTACATCAATCAAATATTAATCCAGAAGTGCACTGGCTATGTGGTGACTGTATACAAAATACACTGGCTCTTATTACCTCTTCTGAGATAACATTTGGGAAAATTATTATTTTTATTATTCCTTTAAAGAAAATCATTCCATCATCGTCCGTTATAAATATATTTATTCATTCTAATAAATTACAATACATTTGCATTCGGACTATTATTATATACTCATATATTCTGGTATCTTACTATAAAATCTAACATGATTAAAATTACCGTCGCTAAAACCGATTAGTCGTTATAAGCGAAATTGTTATATATAAATTCTAATGTAGATAATACATAAAAATAAACACTGGTATGGTTTATTGACTCGTAACCTAGACAACAATGAATAGCCAATATTAAAAATATTTACCTGAGCTAACGTTCGGTATTTCTTATAACGGTCGTATGGTGGAATAAATAACTTTGCGTCAACGTTCAAGCCCGATACCTGTAAAGAAGTACATATATTTTATACGTTAGTAAGACTAGGTTTAGTTCGCGGTTTCGTAGTAAGTATTCAATCGTACTGTAATTCATTTTTCTATTCTATTTATATTATTACATACTAGCTGACCCGCGCAACTACGACTACTTCACACTCACTTAACATATTAATTTTTAATGCGGTGCTATTTTTTTTTCGGACTACACTAATCCTTTTTGCCGCAGCTGGCCTTTACAGCTTCACTGGACAATAGGGGGCGAGTGCAGATGGCACTCCAAACCCGCAGAAGGACTTATGGAGTGGGTAAACGCCAACTCCCGCCTGACGGATACGACTTTAGTCTGACTCTGACTACATTACTAGGGGGTTCGAACCTCGGCTCAGGCCGTCGTAATTTCGATCCCCGTTTGAATAGGACGAGGGACCGATCAGAGGGGTTCTCCCTGTACATCTTATGCGGTGTCATTTTGGAGGACAAACATTTTATACCTCTGTACCCTGTAGTTTCACTGCTATATCTCACCATTCAGCCGAAACACCTGACAAAGCGTGTTTGACGTTTGAAAAATGTATGGCAGTGGTACCATTGGAGACGTCTTTATGTTTCTAGTACTATTAATAAATTTCCTTGGTAGTCTAGTGCGATTTAGCACACCGCTTTACTTCCGATGGTCGCGGGTTCGATTCCTCTATTACTTGTTTTCATGAGTCTGATGGCTATGTATATTATGATTTTGCTATGTATATTATGTATGTATTTACAAGAAACAAGTATGTATGTATTTATTAGCAGTTGTCTAATACCCATAACAGAACCTCTGCTTACCGTGGGACTAGATGGCGCTGGGTCATTGTCCAAAAATAAATTACTTTGGACAATTAAATTTAATTATTTAATTTAATTTAATTAATGAAATCTAATACTTACAATGCCAACTTTCTTGTCAGGAATTTCTTCAAAAGCCTCTTCAGTAATTTCTTCGAAAGCCTGTATAGTGGGCTTACAAAGTCCTGTATAGTCTGCTGCCAATAGTGCAGCACCATCCACGGACATTGGTAGGTCTTCACTGTAAAATAAATATAATGCTTTCTGTCAATATATATATTCATAAACTAACGTAAAATTAATGACTTGGGCCGTGTTGCAACTGCCCTAATAACATCAATAGGGTTATTAATGTGATATTGATGATCATTATTGTGTGGGATGAGTGGGTACTCATCCCACACAAGCATAATAGAAACGGTAATAATTTCACTAGCTAGCTATTTAGCTGGGCTTAATTACCACTATCGTCGAATAAAAAACAAATACATTATATATATTATTTCCTATAAACCTTTACATGTTTTTGTGTACAAGAAGAACCATAACAGTGATAAACTAGATATTCTAGCTTTAGACTAAAAATTAAATACTAATTTATACATTGCCTTAATGATTGGTAGATATTCGAATATTATAATATAATTTGGAGTCTAAGAATTCAATATATGTAGCCATCAAATGTTATTTTCAAACCGTAATATAAAATTGAGGGAATTTAATTATTTCAAAAGCAGATAAGATTTATAATAATTAAAATTTCCATTGTAAATGAACCCCGATTTTGAATATTTAATCTGGCTTCCTGAATATGCTTTCGTTGCTTTTGATTTTATTAATCTAGTAAAATTTTAAATTAAACCATGATGTGACCAGTTTTGGCGCAATATATAACATTAAGTCTGAAAATATGTAAATAATAATATTGTGAAAGAATATTTTATTTAAGTTAATGGGAAATTATTATGTTTAATAAAAAGGGTTGAAAACGTCTTTTTTTTTTCAAAATAATTCGATAATGGTATGAAATATGAAAAAATATTTCAGATAAAACACAGGTTCTCATCATACTTTCATAAAATATCTTACATGAATAAATGATTTTTGAATTTGAATAAATCTAAAACATTATATATATATATAATTTATTTATACTTCATACACGGTTTTATTTACATTACAGTGTGTCACAATTGTACATACCTCATATCTGGAAAGTACGTGAGATCGTGGACGTTGTACAAGATTGGGTGATGCATGGTATTCACCATGTTTCTAATGCTGGCCGGCATATGATAAAGTTGGGGCTCCACAGGCAACTGGCGGCACTGGTGGGACAATTCATAAATTAATTAGGATTTTTTAAAATTAAGTACGTAGCCACACGATGAAAGGTAACATTATAATATTATAACAATATGGTAACCAAATAAACATGAACAGCTAAGGAATGTGGTCAGGGATATCACAGGATCATATGGTGTCACGTTATCCTGTGACACCCATGATACGACTAAAGTTGCATAAGAGTCTAATAGGTCCGCATGAATAGACCAAATAGATAAAGCTATTTGAAAAAGTCTTGATCGTTTGACCAGTACAGCATTCCAGAGATATAAGGTGTCATATTATATGACTTATTTTCTTAGTTGTATATTGAATGTTTTTTCTATTTTATTATTTCATTGAATTAGTGCTAATCGGTGGTTTGTATTCACACACTTAAACTTAAATTGTAAGTAAGAATAAATTATTTAAAAGAGCAACACACAAGTTTCTTGCTTGTTCTTCTTGTGATGAGACAGCATTCCGAATGAGCGGTAGATTAAAAAAAAATGTTATGACTATTCAAAAGTGCTTCAATGTAAGTTTATTTGAATAAATGATTTTCTATTCTATTCTATTATGTTGATATGCACTAAAACTGTCAAATTTATAACCGAAACAGGGGCGGAAGGGAAGAAAATAAAACTAGTATAAAAATCATTGTAGATAAAATCCGCCTCTACTAGAATCATGTAATGTTTACAATATCTGGGATTAAGGTGATGGTACATTGTGTGGGCAGCGTTCGGGAAGCTCCGACATATCTTTTCGTCCAAATTACCGCAGTGTCTCAAGACGAAGGTTTATGACCATTGTGCTGCCAGTGTTGACTTACGACAGAGACGTGGTGGTAAACTATGGGCCTCATGAATAAACTTAGAGTCCCTCTGAGGGCAATGGAGACTCCTATGCTCGTAGTTTATCTGCGTGATCGTATCAGAAATGAGGAGATCCGCAGAAGAACCAGAGTGACCGACATAGCTTGAAAAATTGCGAAACTGAACTGGCAATGGCTAGGGCACATTGCTCGTAGGACAGATGGACGATGGGGCAGTAAAGTCCTCGAGTGGTGACCGCGGACCGGAAGACGCAGCGTGGGAAGTCGTCCGTTAAGGTAGACAGACGATCTGGTCAAGATCGCTGGAAGACTTTGGATGCGAGCAGCGCAGGACCGATCATCGTGGAGATCTTTGTTCAGTAGTGGATGTCTTCCGGGCTAAAATGATTATGATGATATTATGTGGAAGCATAGATAAAAAATTCATACCGATAACACCATTTTGTGTATGGTGTTTAAGTGTTGTTTCACGAAGGGTGGCATTGGATGGCAGCAAGCGTTGACGCCCTGCATCTCTCTCGGCAAGGTCTCCGCGAGTAATAGCAACATGTGGTTCGGTAGGAGATATCTGTAACCAATTATGTATATTAGGTGATACTTAGACTTTTGTGTTTTTATATACATTATTTATGTTGCTATAATTAGGTCTTAACAGTCAGCTCGCACCATGGCTAGTGTAACCTAGTCGAATCGTCGAAAGTTAATACTTTATTCACTATAAAATTATTCGTGTTAAAATAAGATTAAGAACATAAACATGTATGTCAGGGTTGCGATAAAATATTGTATACTTTAATTGAATTAAATTATTTAATAAATAATCAAAGTCGAAATATTATAATATATGACATTTATGGTTGTGTTTAATGTTGCGTTTGCGTGTTGTTTTATTTTTAATGTGTTTTTATGGATATTTAAAGAAATATTAGTATTCTCTTCTCTTTTTCAATAAAAATTATAAGATCTTGAAATTACATAATTTAAAAAAAAATTGTAAAATGATTTAACTGTTGTATTAATAGTCAAACCATTCATTATCTAGGACAGGATTCCTTCGAATATTTAGTGAAATAACCTGATTATGAACAAAAATTTAAAAAAATTAACTGTTAGTATTAAAATTTGGATAATCACCGTTTCTAGATGTTTTAGATATCGCATATCATCAGCAAAACATTAAAATGAAGAGATCGACTTACGTAGTACTTTCATCGTGTAACCTCGCTTGTGCATCACGCCACTTGTAAATCATCTTCAAAGCGGCCATCTGTTGTGAATTGAAATTTTTCTTGGAACTCAAATACAGAGGCACATGACTGTCCTCATGTAAGACTGTCTTGTTGTATGTCTGCAATAAAATCATATTTATGTTGTACACATAAAATAAGGAATGAAGAAGTGCTTGAAAGGGTTAAGAACCAGATCATAGATATTATTGATATTCTCAAAAAATACGGGGAAAAATGTTAGGGCACTTGATACGACACGACGAACTAACTAATAACATTATCAAAGGAAAAATAGATGGAAAGAGAGGAAGAGGAAGACCAAGACACAGCTACATCAAACAAGTTGAAGAAAAAGTTGGAGTCGTGTAGTAGCAACAGCTAAATAGGCTGATAGAAGATCGTGGAAGGTGGCGGGAGCTCCATCGACAAGAGCGCAGCTCAGAAATTATGTATGAATGAATTAACATCTCTATCACAAAAGAAGATTGTAGCATACTAATATTGGCTGAAAGGGTTGTTAGTAACGGGGAATAGTGGCTCTATTACTAGCGTGAAAGTGTTCTGGGCACATAACCTGAAAATAAAACACATTGGTAGCAATAGCAAGACTGGTGTCTCATTTACTGTTGTACGGCCCAGATAATTGTACTAATAGTTTAAACTACTATACTATGAGACAGATGGCGTTAGTTGTCTCTAAAACGAGAATGTTTTTATATAAAATCTATCAAGGGCTGTCATTAATTCCCAGGTAATTTATCATGAAAAGTAACTGACCTGATCTCATGCTCATGCAATTGTCATCCACTGGTGCCCTGCCAATTATTCAGAATAAGACTCATTACACAAAACCGGATAATTATAAGTGTGGCTTATACAATTTTTTTACTCATTCTTATTATCTGTAACCGTATTCTCAATGTATGGTTGATTGATATTAATGTCTTATAGACTTACGTTGTTACAAATGTGTCTGCTATTTTCGAATACGGAGAGCAACAGTTTTGGATGTCCAGCAGACGCCTCCAATAATTCTTGCTTCATCTGTCTCCATATATAAAGCAGATAGTGCGTGTCCAGTCGAGCGTAATGTATGAGCTCTTCTGGTAATGGCCGAATACGCCAGTCTGCCAGCTGGTATCTAAAATTATAGAAAATAAATCATATATAACAAACATTTTTTTTGTTTTTTTTACTGATATCGCATCATAGAAGTTCTTAGTAGCAGGGGGCACAGTGACATAAAGAAAGATAATATAAAAGCTGGTAGATTGAGTTGTGTGACTATAAATAATTATTTACATCCACCGTCCCCTCCAATCAAACATGTTTTAACGAAACATTATTCTACAATTACAAGCATAAATAAAATGTCAATACATATAAATCCCACAAATTATAAGCGAAACTCGGGGGAGTCACTACTAATTTTTAATCTGGATACTGTTGAATATTTAAAATAAATATTGTATTATTAATTTAGATCTACTCAAATTTATTGTTGAGAAGTCTTCATCGGATATAGATATTTTATTCATGAAATAGAATTTGCAAACTGTTTATCTGCTGTAACAGATAATACAAATACGATTTGGTACGTCTACCTAGTTTTCGAATTAAATAAAAAAAATTCTAACTTTTTATCAGTGTTTACATTGCAATAGTGCAAAAGTAAATTCTTCAAAGCCAGTCCGGAGAACTGCAGTGCTCTGGCAGCTTGGTGCGTATCAAACAACCCAACGAGGTAAACACCAAAATCCCTTTGTAGCCAAATCACGTCGCTTTCAGCACCGTGGAAGACCTTAAAATAGAAAAAAAAGACTAAACTCGAGGTACATAGACACAAAAAAGAATAAATAAGGATCCAAGATTCGAGGGATCCAATAGTTCTACATTTTGAAGTACGTTTATAAATATATATATTTATATAATGTAATATTAAACTGTGTCCCATATTTATAATGTAATATTAAATTGTATTAAAAAAGGTAATAAACATAGAGATGTTTGTCACATTTTCTAACACAGTTAAATGGCGGAATCGATCTTAATAAAATCAGAGGTGAATATTGCTTGCATCTGTAGAAATAACATAGACCCTTATCTAAAGAAATAGTTGTAGTCGCGGAAAATGCTTATTATTCTATATATTTAAACAAGTAATTATCTAATGGCGTATACACTGTAGTTAAATTATCATAATATAAAAAAACAACACTTAAATTCTATCACGTATCAAATACCTTATTTATAGGTAATAGGAGGTACAAGTATACGGGGCCCACTCATCAAAAACGCAAGAGAAAAAATCAAAATCGGCCGAGCTGCTTAGGAGTTCCGAATACTGTCTACAAAGTACAATGAACTTAATAAACACAAGTCATGACTTGTTACATACAAGTCATGAAATTTTGTTTATCTCAATAATTGTACAAATCCTAATATCAATAAATACCTTTATAAATTTGTCAACATGATTATCTTTGCCTTTGTTTTAGATGATATGTTTATATTTATAATTAATAAAAAACTAAAAGCACTCATTACTCTTTACACTTTTTTTACAAAAATCATCTAAATACCCAAAAATCCTCCTATTTTGTAATTTGACACAGTCATAGATTACATGTAAGAAGGTAGAAAATAATATTTTTTAAATACATTAAATTTATAAAAATCACTGTAGACACTACTATGCATTGGTGGGAAAGTGGATTGTTAGTAATGTGGACTCATGACCCCATTACTAGCAATGTACAATATCAGGTTGACCTTCACTCGGTTCCCCCTGGAAACCATCATGATAAATTCCTGATGAATTTGTCACGATGAACTAACTGGCCTGACCTCATTTACAGCTCATCATCCTCCACTGGTGCCCCGCCAGCGTAAACCGTTAGCGCAGGCAAGCACATCATTCCATTAACGTCCATAAAAAAAAACTACTATGCATTTGTAATGTTAATAATGGTCAAATTTGGCCACTGGATAACCACTTGTTATGAGTATTATAACAATACTCACTTTTAACTTTTTCGGATTCGTGAAAACCAAATTCAGCTTGTGTATATGTTCGCGTAATGCCAACGCGTCGATTAAAAAATCGCCACCTTCGTTCGTTGTTATTTGAATTAGGCAAGTTATACCTGAAAACAATATTTTTAATGTTACTATGTGATAAATATTGAAGGATTTGAGACGAAGGAACGTTATTAAGATATGTAATAATACATTTTTTTTTCGGACTACTCTAATGCTGTTGGCCGTAGCTGGCCTTTACAGCTTCACCGGACGATAGGGGGCGAGTGTAGATGGACTCCAAACCCGCGGAAGGACTTGTGGAGTGGTTGAAGGCCAACTCCCGCCTGACGGATACTACTTTAGTCTGAGCGCACCACTAGGAGTTCGAACCTCGGCTCAGGCCGTAATATCGATCCCCGTTTGAATTGGACGGGGAATCGATCGAAGGGGTAATAGACATATATAAAGAAATTAAATTAAATTAATAGACATTTAAAAAGAAACACTATGTTTTATAAGAGTTATGACATCCCAATGAGGATAGCACTAATATAAACTTACAAGCTTCTAAAAAGAAACTTTGCGTAGTTTTACAATTGAGGCATTTGATTATAAAGACAAAAACTTATAAAAGAATATGCTTGAAAATATGACTTGTTTCGTTATTAAAAAATGTTAGACAGATTTAACAATACATTATTTTGTTCACGAGCGAGGTAAGTGACATATGACAGTAACAGTTGCAAATGGATATTCGTAATAAAAATGTATGAAATAATGAATGAGAATAGATCGTCAGTTATCACCACAGTTGTCTGTATAACTCGTTATAAATGTACTCAATGTTATAATGTTTTAAGACGGCATTAATTTATTATATATAAGATAGTCATATATAAAGTCATAATCTATACATATAAATAAAATTGGAGTGTCTGTTTGTAATACCTTTTACAATTTTTGTCTGTATGTCCGTCGGTCTGTTTGTTTCGGCTCTCTGAAATGGCTGGACCGATTTTAACGGCACTTTTTTGGCAGGCAGCTGATGTAATAACGAGTAACATAGGCTACATTTATTTTATAAAAATAAAGTTATATTCCACGCGGACGAAGTCGCGGGAACAGCTAGTATAAAATAAAGTAGCTGTCTGTCACTTTGTATGCTTAAATCTTAAAACTACGCAACGGATTTTGAAGCTGTTTTCTTTAATAGATAGAGTGATTCACAAGGAAGATTTATATATATAATACATGTACACCCGCGCGAAGCCGGGGCGAGAAGCTAGTAAGATATAAAACTATCTGTAATGGCTGAATCTAAACTATTCTAAAAGAATAAGAATACTTTCAAATAAGTTTTCTGTATTAGCTACGGCTATAGTATAAGACTTGTTTTTACTCGCCCGAGGCGGAACCCCAGCTGCGCGGCAATCCTGCCCAATTAGGCGACATCTCGCTAATTTACAAATCTAGTACGCGTATAATTGAAACCATCCGAAATTAACAGATAATATTCACAATATCCCTGGATACTATATAAATAATCGGACAGTCTTGGTGGTCTAGTGGTTTAGCATACCGCTTTAATATCCGATGGTAGCGGGTTCGATTCCTCGCACGGTCCAAACATTTGTATTCATAAGTACGATTGTCTGTATCAATCTTGGTGTTTTATATGTATAATATGTTATTTAATGACAAAAAATTGTATCCCTATATTTATATCAGTTGTCTAGTAACCATAACAGAAGCTCTATATATTGTGTCCCACATATATAACTTTCTACAACGTACATACGTCGATAAACGTTCTATACTGAACGAACCTCTTGGGGTATTCTGCAATATAATGTATTCAATGATATATTTACTTACCCTGGTATGTTCTGTAAGAGTGATGCTCAACATCAACCGCCAGCTCCTTTACCGTGTCCAGGTGTTTGACAAGCTCATCTATTTGGGACTCTGTGTCAATATATGTAAGGTTCGTTTCTTCCAATGAAGGAGGAAACGAATTAGTGTCCGGATCAGGGTCAATAAACTCAGAGGGAGGGTGATACAAATCCAACTCCACTTTATAAGGATGTTCATATCTGTTGACAATTGAATTGATAAAGAAATTAATATGTGCGAAATTAAATAAGTGAACCATAGCTGCACGGCGAGCGTTGGTTTGTCTGGTTTAAATCCGGTCAGGTCTCAATAGAATCACACTACGCTTTCATTGCAACTTGGCTCATTTGATAAAATTATTCATTTCATACTAGCTGTGCCCGCGGTTTCACCCGCATGATATTTATAGCCTATATGTTATTCCGATCTGATATATCAGCTATATAACTGTAAATTTACATCAAAATCCGTGGAGTAGTTTTTGCGTTAAAGAGTAACAAACATCCACATTCTTTCGCGATTGTAATATTACTAAGATAAGACACTAATCTAACATATATATACTATACAAAACATGAAAGTTAAAGCGTGTCTGTTAGTCTTATTCTAGCCTAAATGTACGCATGTTAATCAAATTTGATACGAATACAGTTGGTATACAATTACACCGTTACAGTCCAGCTCAGTATATAGATCCAATTGAGAAGAACTGGCAAGTAACACAATTGAATTACTTTTTTTTAAAGCCAGTATATTTACAATGTATATTTATATAGGTGTCTATGTCTAACATTAAATGAAAATCCCTTGCATGAACACCTACTGCCAAGCACGCTCGTCATTATTATTTCGTAACCAAATATCGTTACTATATCTTAATAATAATTATTAGGACATAATAGATGTATTAAATTCTGTTTGTAACAAATTCGTGTTTATGCCGACTTACGTAATTTGATCTACAGCAGGCACTGCGTATGTGACATAGAAAATGTGTGTGAAATCGTAATATTTATATACATACATTCAATGTCATTCAACTCTTCTAATCAGCCTATTGATGTTCGTGAATAATATGCAAATTATTATTATCATCAATTACATCGATACGCTATCTCAATTTAGAATTACTGTCACTATGACATTGTAAACATATTCTGTTAATATGTTGTAAGTAATGTCAATTTACAATATCAATAGAATACTAGCTGTGCCCGCGACTGTGACTAAGTGGAAAAGTAATTTTAACTAAATAAAGAAAAAATAATTAATAAGCTAACCCAAAAAAATCCAAAGAAAAAAGTTTCATCATTCTAACTTAAAAAATGACAAATTTTCATTCAAATTCTCGAATGAAAATTTGTCATTTTTTAAGTTAGAATGATGAAACTTTTTTCTTTAATTGATGATAACTTTTAGCTTATTAATTATTTTTTTCTTTATTTAGTTAAAATTACTTTCTCAATCTCAATCTCTATTTTACCCTCTTAAGGGTAAGAATTTTACAAACTTAGAATTCCATATTTATTTATATTTAATCAACAGCCTAAAAAATAAGTTTTAAGCTTCTAGCTTTAAAAATGACGAACGATAATTATATACAACCTTGCATCACCCCTTTTAACACCTTACAATCCTTTTTTTACATTAAAAAGTACCTTATATGCTTCCTCGGGCTATAGACTATCAGGGTATATGTACCAAATTTCATTTAAATCGGTTAGACAGGTCAGACAAACTTACTTTAGCTTTTATAATATTAGTAAGGATGATTGTTACGTAAACCCAAGTCAATCGGGATCGTCGACCTATCAAGTCAAATTCTTTCTCTCTATCAGATACCTATTTCAGTTGTGAAAAACAAGAGCTGATACACTTTTTAATATTATTATTATTAATTTCAATCAGTTATAATCTAAAATAAAAAATATATATCGTATTAGCGTTGTAATAGTCTGTCTGACATGATTAAGGTACCGAAAATCAATTGTCTAAACAAACGCCAGACAAGGTCGTTTCCAAACCAATCGTTTAGGGTCTGCAAGTTTATATTCGTATCTATTGTAGTATAAAGGTTATTAACATCCCTATTTTCGAAAAAACAATCGTTTTTAGAGTATTCATGGAATACCTGCATATATATATTTTGCTATATCGTGAAGCTTCAGTGAGAGCACTTAAGGGTAGGAGCCTCGAGCCTTTGTACAGGCTGTGGGGGTGAACCACCCCCGTGTCGTTCATTTACTCCCTACAGAGGGCGAAGCCGGCTACAGCTCTGCAGCCGTCTAAGTAAAATAAAATAAAATGACAAGCGAGAGGCGCTGTCGGTTTCGGCCGTCGCCCTGGGGTAGCTAGTTACAAAGGGTATACCAATTCGAAATCCAGTAATAGTATTAAAGAGACAGGAGAACTTTTTCAAAGAAGCAAAATAATGAAAAGAAAGTATTTTGTATGAATACAAGTAGCGAGGTCAAGTGATCAATTCAGTATAAACGTTTAAAATGTACTTTCAATATTCATTGCACTTATTAGTGAAAGAGGGTTCATTTTCATGACTAGTCTATCTGGCTTCAATATCCTTTATTACTAAGCCTGCATTGTACTGCTTTGTTATTATTTTGAAAGTTGTGAGCATTTATTCATTTGAGCTGGAGTGAGTGGAAATACTGGTAGGGGATGCCCTAGACGGACATACGCCGACTTAATTACAAAAGGGTCAAACATAAAGCACCCCTAACCGGCGAGCTTGTATGAATAGACTCATGAATGTAAAGGAATCAATAGAGATATATATGAATCAGAACATTTGGCGTTGCATTGTCTCTGCCCACCTCAATGGAAGAGATTCTCGACGGTACACAGGAATACCACAGTATTTGTACGACAAGTCTGATTAGTGTAGTATGTACATACATACTTATATATACATATGTATATTGCGATATGAAGTATATTAGGTATTGCAAACGAAGCACCAAGTTGTAAATAATTAGCTGTTAATACGCAACGCTAGCAGTGTCAATACGTAAATACAAAAACGCTGTATTGTCAAACACGCGAAATTAAAACTGCTAATTTACTGCGCAATATTCTAAACGTTGCGTTCCATAAGATCCCTCTACGAAGTATTAGAAAACAATAAAAAATATATTAATAAAATCGATTAAGTCGTTCTGAAGTTGCGTGACTAAGAAGGAATTCATTTTTATATGTATAATTTTTTTCACTATTGTAGTTACTTATTGCTTACTATGACCTGCATATTCAGAGGATGTATTACATAATTTTAAAATAAATATTTGAGAGTGCGTATAATTATATTAATCTACCCGTTTCTATAAAATATTGGCCGACTAATCCAGACAGCGAGGTGCCGTAACGATGATTCCCTAACAGCGCTCGTACATACAGATTGAGTTTTAAACTTGGTTTTAACGTTTTATCCTTGTTTGTTATCCTATTGATTGTAAGTACATCCAACACGAATGACAAACCTGACGCATCCCAGACAGTAACATTCTAAAGGTCATTTCCTTATTGGTACAGTATCATATTGGTTTCGAAGCAGTGCACTGATTCTTTAATGGCGGTATACAACACAATAAGTGTTTCCTGCCTAGCGCACCGTATACTGCGCATCTGCCGCGATGTTACAAAGTAACGCATACTGTACCATTTAATTCGAAAACTGCCCAAGGACCTTAGACGAGACACAAACATCGACGTCTTTCTTATTCCTCAAAATACAGATTACTGTTGGAGTCGTAATTATAAATTAAACGATTATACATACATTTTAATACCTATCTACGTACGTGCCTACACATATTATATTACTTTAAATACTGGATGATTCTTATGATGTTCTTAGAAAATAAATGGTTATACTCGATACGAAGTAGAAGCACCATGCGTAGTCAATCTATAATAACAATCTATACTTAGCCTTGACACAGAAGCTTTGAATTATCCCTGAAAATAGAGTACAAAGGTGCACCCTCCAGTAGTAAAGTGTCGGAATAAAGTAGCAAAATGAACACAAATGCGCCATGCGTGCTTGTACCTTTTGTCGCATTTTTTAATCCGATAAACAAATTCATCCCATGAATACTCTTGATAGTTGACAGTCCAAATAATGGCAAATCCTTTTAATTGAGGACCGGACGATCGAGTCCCATTGTAGGACAACATTAAATTGTACACACAGTTTTGTCCTTCGCGGAGATAATAATGACATGTGAAGTGAATTACAATATACAAACACACTTAACACTCACCCAACGACCTCGCCGTCTTCATTGTAAAGAATATTCAAAGCAAGGGGTTTGATGTTATTTGGCTTGTCCGATATTTTTGGTACCCACAAGCTCTCGGAGTTATCAATAGTGTCTTTGAATGTCAACTGTGGTCGAGGTATATTCTTAGCTCCAATAAAGGTAGTGGAACCCATCTGAAAATAATTACACAAATATAGAACATGTAACAAAAAATATTCCATGAACGCATTTCGTTCAACATCATCCACTAAATCGATCATCCGTATAGAGTTCCTTTTGAAAATTTAGATGTTTATGGAAAAGAAATATTAAATACAAGTTTACAATGACATGGGTGAGCACCGTAGCATTATAAGCCGTATTGTTTAAAAACATAATCTTATATAGACCAGATATAATAAAAATTACATATACATTGTAGTTTGTAAATAAATAAAAAGAACAGACTGTATACTATAATTTAAATTCTGATGGCTACTTCTGGCGGTTTCAAATATGTAACATCGGTACATTTCTAACTAAAACATAAAAAAAATTGTATGTTATATCTCGATCCGCTTCTAAACCATTTATCCGATCTTGATAAAATAAGTGTTGTAATTGTATAAATAAATCACTCAGCATAAATAAATCGAAATATCTTTGTTCATGTAGGTCAATACAGATTCTTATAATATGTCAATTCTACCGTCAGTTCGGAGTGCCTATTGGCTCTTAACTTAATCTTTTAATTTTGGCGTATACATGTTTACAAAAAATACATATTGATTTTTAATTAATGTTACGGAGAATAGAGTGAGAAGTAAAAACCATATGCCACTGCAATTCTGTTAAAAGAAGAGAATCCAATCAGTGGCCATAACCCGAACAAACTAGTCCCTACAAGCGGCACACGGTTACGAGTATGATGGATGAGCCAACCATGAAGCATTTTCGAGGGAGGCACATAGAGCCGGCACACCACGCCGCCACAAATTTGAACTTTATAGCGAGCGTGATTGTTAATTGTCTCAAGTTACTCCACTACGTCATTTATAGTATTTAGAGCATAGGTTATATTAATCACAGTATTAACACATTACAACACAGTATTTAAATTACAATGTCATTTATAATTTTTTAACCAGTTACTCTATCATAACGAAATATTAAATATTGATAACTATGTCAATATGGGAAACATTTAATGTCCATTATTTGAGTTCTAACGCTCGGACATGATCCAATGAGTTTTGAGGACTTTCCAAATTGTTCTAGTCTGAGTAATAAAGTCTATGGTCGACGGCATCCAATGGCATCCTGTGAATCTTCCCAGACACTGATAATTAATAATAATAATAATAATATTTATTCTTGATACGCATTTACATTTTTAATTTACTGTAGTTCTACACTGGGCTCGCAGGCCTGTATTGTAGAAACTGGAGTGACTTATTATTGAGTACATTTTACATGTTTACCCTTCGTATTAATAGCTATTTGAAAAATGGAACTTGTATTAAGTTATGTCGGCATAAGTGAGAGATCGTCCTTTCGTAAATACGAGTCGCTGTAAATGTCTTTTCAGAAAACTTACTAAGTACTGCTTAAATTGAAATAGGCCTAAATGTCGTTATATTCTCATTATCAAAGACTTAAACAGATTTATTCAGATGAAATTTTGATCAGTGGATCAAGATATTTTCACAGTATTATTTTGAGCATTGCTCAAGTTGAATATTTGAGTTATATGTGAAGCAATTTAGTTAGTAGTTATATTTATAATAGACTAGCGACCCGCCCAAGCTTCACACGGGCCTAGTAGGTATAGGAGGTTCTTCTTTTATTAAAACTATTATGTGTCGTAACTGATGTAATGAAAACGAAAGTCATGAACGCAAGGATTTATAGCATTTTTATGAAATGAAATGAAATGAATTTTACTTGAAGAAAACAGTTAGACAATGGTTAGATAATGGTAAAAGAATTAGATAAAATCCAGGTCAATAATATTATTGGCAACTGTATAATTGTACCAACGTATGGGCATACAATTATTAATAAGTTACAATTAAAAAATAATATCTATATGTCAAATTAAAATAATTATTTCTTATTGACAATAATAATTATATATTAACAATAACATTTAAACAATATACAAATGTCGACAATCATCAACTATACATTCTCTAATCTAATATCATAAAAATACTTGTCCAATGACCAGTTAATATAATCAGACCTTAAAGAAATTGTAGTAAAGATGTTTCAAAAGATGATGAAAAGACAAACGTGCAAATATCGAGTACATACATGCAAAGCAACGGAAGAATAGCAAAGGTCTTAAATGATTCTCTACATCCAACATTGCAGTGTTCTAATACATTTTTAGATTTAAAAGCTCTATCTAAGTCACATGAGTTGCCTCAAAGCAATCCAGAGGGTACCAATGAAAAAAGACTTATGAAATGCACTGAACGCAAACTGCGTAAAGTGACTACTTGGCGGAGTTTGAATAATGCAAATACAATCAACAATTTTGTGGAGATGTTCCAGTTCAAGTTCTCATCTAGCGTAATTCCTAAGAAAATAGTAGAATCAGTAAATCTTTCTTGTTCCAACGTGCATTACATTTAAGTCAATATGGACTTGAGTATGTTTTGAATGAATGCACTTAGTTTTATGTAGATTAATTTCCAAGTTATTATTCTTTAACCATATTATAACTCTATCCAATATACCATTAATGCCATTTTAAACTTTGCTTTATTTATACACTTACATAGTAATGTACAGTCACCTGCAAACAGAATACACTTTTGGTAAATATAATCTGTCAAGTAGTTTATATACAGGAGGAAAAGTAATGGACTCAGAATACTTCCTTGTGGTACTCCATTTTTATTAAATTTAAACTGATAACATATTGATTGTCATGCATTTTTTTTTGCATATTCATTAATTCAGTACATAGCTTTCTTCTGTCTTGAAGGTGAAGCTGAAGCCTCCAAACCAATCCAATAGAATTCACCTGATACCTAAGGTGTCTAATTTTTAAATAATGCTTCATATTCTATACTATCGAAAGGTTTTATCAAGGAATAGTGCTACTGTCGGAATTCTATTATTGGTATTCTCACAGACATCTATTATTAAGTGGTAAAATGCAAGCCATGTAGATTTCCTCTCTGAAAACTAAATTGCATAAGTTTGACGATATTATTCTTTACAATAAAATTGTAGCCATAACTTTCTGTATTTTTTTACAAACTTGGATTTTTTTACCATGAATAAGTTAATCATACAAGTTAAAGGAATAGTCAGATGATGTGAACATAATTATCATTTTCGTCTTTATGTGATCATATTCTGTAGAGTTGGTACGACTTAGGGGCTCCAAAGATTTTGCGTTCTTCTTTTTTAAATACAGGAGCCAGAAATACGTAGTCTAACCTTAACTATATTAGAATTAAAAATAAACAAAATATTACATTTCAATTTTCATTGTTTTCTCATTTTCACGCCAATCATTTATCAAATATTTTTGTGATATTAAAACGTTCCGCGCTCCATCAAAGCTGAAGACCAGCCATCGTCTAGTCCCAATCTTAATCCACTGGATTCTGATTTATGTTCAGTTTTATAGAGTATAGCTTGTTCTAATCGCCATAATAATTCGGAGTCTCTAAAGCAATCGATAAGTTTGGCCGTGAAGAATTTTTCCATAGAAAGACTACGTGCTTCTATTGATAACTGGGCTCAATATTTAAAGGACCGTATTGCAGCCAACGGAGATCATTTAGAATAAGCTTCATATATTTTTAAACTGTGTGTTTGCAGTAATAAATGTTATATGCAATAATAAAAATAATTATTTTTCCTTGTAACAATATTTATGGCAAGCCTAGGTATTACATACATTTGATATTTTTAATTTGCTGTTTTCCAATTACTTTTACTATAAATATTATTCGAAATGTCAATGAAGTAGTCATTAAATATGTTCACAACGTTATTTATCTTGCCTATAGTCTTATTTTTATAAATTGTACTAATGTCATGTTTCAATATGGGTGAGTCAATATGTTTTCGCATGACTGTCGAAGAATTTATTTTAGCATTAAGCATTTAATATTTTTATAATATTGCACTTAGACTATATGACGACTTTAAACATTTAGTCGCTTCGAGAGGTATTGTTAAAAAGTAGTTATCAAAAGTAATATAACGTGATCGGAGTAGCTTGCAAAAACTAGTCTATATAGTTATGAGAGGCAATAATTGAACATTATACATTAATACAAGTGAAAACTTCTAGAAAATTAAATGAACAATTCACACAATGCCACCCAGTCCCAAGCTACGAAGAGATATACTAGACAACTGATATAAATACTTTGATATACATATCTAACTATTCAGATATACATACATACATACATACAGATATGTATGTATAAAATAAATAATCATATACGAGAAAATAACTATTTACCGAGGAATCCAACTCGCTACCATTGTAAATAAAGCAGTGTGCTAAACCACCAGAATGCCGAGGCAGTCCTGAAAGTACTGTAGTATACTTCCTAACCGTCTGATCAACATGGTAACAGTCGAGTTGACGAATTATCTAATGTTAATTTCTGTTATATTATTAAAAAAAATAGCACTAACCTGTATCTTCGCAATTACAGGCTTATTATTCCACGATGACACTTTCCCCATGGATTTTATGAAATTGTCACTTGGTGCATTAACACCACTTTTTGTGTCTAAGTTTATATTAACTCTGTCTAACGTAGAGTCATTCACATCAATAATTTTGTCCGTATTGTCTTGAATATCATCGCTGTTATAAAAATACGAGAAAATTAATATCATGTTACCTAGTATAAGGCTATCCAGAAATTACGTTACACCAAAGTTTAGTAATTTTTAACCCCCAAATTAAAATCTAAGATATCACAACATCACCAAATCTAAAAGCTCTCCCAGGAGGTTGAGAAGCTTCCTAGATTTCGTGATTTATTACGTAGACCTAATTTATGGATTGCCGTTGTCCTGTACGAGGAAATGCAGATGATTTTGTAGCATCTTATACATTAAGAAACTACATTCAAATAAGTAACTTACGAATAAATTTGATAGTCTTATTTTTATAGTTTGATTATTTTTAATCTATATTTTATATCTATAAAATCGCTGATACTGTCAGAAGCTTTCGCGAAGCTAAGTAAGCATGTCGTTTTATGCGATGAAATTAATTGCACGATAACAGAAATTTAATTATAGAGTACAACAGCCATTCTCATGTATATATCAACTATCAGGCACTTGCATTTACAAATCAAGTTGCACGGTCTTCACGGCAACGTGACAGAAGGGCCAATCAATCTCAAAGAAATAGATTTCGCGTATGTTCTATTAGACTAATTATATAAATAGTATACGTTCAATTATATATACAGCACAGCCAATAGAAAAAAACATAAATTGTATAAAAAAAAATAAAAAAAAATAAAACAATATACAGTATAATTGTAAACTCATTGTAGTTCTGGTATTAAAAGAGCAAAATATACTGAAATACTGAAATATCGCTATAAAAAATAGTTAATTCAGAAAAAAGTCAAAATTTTAAATTGTGGCAACCCTAAAAGTAATAGTTTCAAAGTTTTTACAATATTCTAAAATTTATATAATTTATTCTAAATAATAAAATAAAAATAAATGAGTGAAAGACATAATCAATTTCTTGTACTAGACAACACTAAATTATTCGCGATCTCGTTTGCACATAGTAGTGGTGTATTTTACAAGGTCAAATTAATTGGCATCAATTTTGTGCTCTCGATCTGATTTGTATTTGATATCAATTTCTAGATTTTGACCTTAGATTGGTCTACAAATTGAATCCTGTAGCTTATTAATTCATAAAAGCAGACAGTCTGTCTGCCGTTAATTGGCCACCGCTGACTATGATAAGTCTACAAGCTATTTAAATCAAATTAAGTTTTATAGTTAAATTAAGACATTTGTTGACTGGGAATCAGCTGAAATCTTAATTTAGCTGAACTGTTGTACATAGAGATGATAATGGCTTGAAGTAAATAAAGCCTATTCAGACATTGATAAATTTCGCGAAGCTTGTGACAGATTTCATAAATTGTTTAATAAACAAATTTGCATTTATAACTATTATATTAGTGCAAATATGTACGTTTTTAATTATTGTCATAACTACAAAAATAAGACTATACATATAAAAGCATACAACAATAGGTAGTTAATTAATAAAAACCATTTTAACATAACTACTATCAACGCTGAAAAGGATTTTTATTCAATTCTTCATTTTTTAATGAAATTTGACGTGAAGAGTGTTTCAAGAGAGACAATGTATTTGAAGAAAACATATTTTTAAATACAAATACATATAATGTAAACTGTAATTTGGACTGATACATAATACATATGTCGTAAGACGTAGATTGTGAATTAAATATTATAATATAGATTGAGGCGCGAATCTCAATCTGAACGCATACAACTAACGTACAAATAAATTATTCGCATTTGATTTGGACTCACCACCATTGATTTGGTGTTTATGTTGTAAACCACCACAGCTCACCTTATTATTATTAATATTATAAACGCGAAAGTTTGTGAGTATGGATGGATGTTTGTTACTCTTTCACAGAAAAACTACATCGGATTTTGATGAAACGTTACAAAAATATAACTATACATCAGAATAACATACAGGCTATAAATTTCACGCGCGTGAAACCGCGGGCACTGATAGTATGTATACCATTTTCATACATATATAAAATATACCATTATGACTTTTATAACAGATGGGGTAAGCTGAGGAATTGTGCATTCCCAATATTGTGATAGATTTCCGTGAGCCTACTGCCGTCTCAATAAAATAAAGTGAGTTTTTCGTCTATGTTTACTACACTGGAGAATCGATCCCAAGTATAATTTTACATACAAAGTTTTTTATTTGGTGTCAATCTATTTGAACTCACAACCTGTTTGTTATTATTTCTAATAGATAATTAGATTAAGTTCTACTTACTATTTCAGCTTCACAGAAGGCAGCTCGCTGGTAACTATTTTATTGGATTGTGCAACAACATTTACACTTAACTGGCCCTTAACAATGTTAAAATTTGTATATGTTTTGAACATATTATGAGAGGCACCTGTTGGCAGTTTATTTGACGTTCTGATTGTTTTGTTCATAGATGAGTATCCATCCTGAAAATTAAAAAAAACACTAAGAAATGCATACTTAAATAAATAATAATATTAATAGTAATAATAATAGCTTAGATAACTCTTATCTTTTAAGTTTACAATCGTTCCAAATATATATTTATTATATTCTGCAGTAACTGTGTTCCTTTTAGTTTATAGTTGATTGATTTTCATCTTCAGATGATCACGATGTGACATAGTCAAGTTCCTCCAAGTTTTTACATTAATTTGCTCTTTTAGTCAAACCTGCTGTCTTCCTAATATCATCTTCCCACATTTTAATATGTCTGACTATACTTCTTATGTATCCTCTTGGGTAACACAGTACTGTTTTCGTCCATATAGGTATGATTTCCCTAATCGTATGCCCTGTTCACCTCCACTTCATCTTCAAGAACTATTAAGTAGCTTTCAGCAATTTAGTGACATTAACAAGGCTTGATGCGTATCACTGAGTTGAGTTCGTGTTAAAACAGGCATATCTCAAAATTAATCATCTAGACACAAGATTGGAATTTCCGCAATATAACGCTATTAGTAAGTTAGATGAGGAGCTTATTATTGTTGTGTCTCCTTTTACTGCAGTTCCATGCAGCCATCCTCTTGTGATTAACCTAACTATTGACACTTCACCGTAATTAGGCAAACATAACAATAACATTTGGAGTTGAGTCATTATATATTTTTTAGAAATAAATTCATAGGACATTTTAGACGCTTACGAACGTAATTTTTTTTTATATTATAATTTTTCCCTACCATCCAGTTCACTATACAGATTCAATTGAGAAAAAGCGGCAAGATTTAAATAGAAATTAATTTTTAAAAGTTAATAAGTTAGGCTTAGAATATATTAAATAAGCGTTGCAAAAATGTTGAATTAGTGAAAAAAAAATAGTTTAAATAATTTATAATTGTATAATTATATTAATAAGTGCAATAATATGTTAGTGGAAAGCAAAAAGTTATATGGCATTAATACAAATTAACCAAGTTTAAAAATCAAGAGTTTAGAATACTCATGATATAAATGCAAAGTATATTATCTCACAAAAACAAATCACGGTGCACGTTTTAGTAATGGATGATGCTGACCGTTATTAGTCGTTGACTACGCATTTCATATGTCATCTTACAAATTTATCGAATAATAATTCAGTTTCAACTGTGCTGAAGTCTAGTTAAGGAAATTTGTGTCAACAACAGTAACCTTAAATGTAGCACAATAGTCAAAACATTACTAAAGGCTCGTGGTCTATAACTTATAAATTTTCACATGTATTCAAATATTTAATTTAAAAAATGAAGTAACTACTTCTGTAACTACTTCAACCGAGATATCCTCTGGGATATCTCGGTTGAAGTAGTTAGTTCATTCATAGATATTGTTGCTCGTTATCTAGCCACTATTTTCTATAAATGTGAAATAGTAGCTAGATAAAATAATGACGTTCTTCCACAACTATATAAATTTAGCAAATGAAGTTCACTATTTAAATTTGAGCTAGGCAACTACAGACCTATTCCTATTTTGCTAGTTCCAAGCTAAGGTATTTGAAAAGATTAAGTATATTTGTCCAATGTTAAAGTACTTCAGATATAACAGACTGCTTCACAGTCATACGCTTATTACACATATTCTAATCATGGGAGAAGTACCATGATATACTCAGGGTTTTTCTGACCTATCAAAGGCATTTGATTGCGTGGATCACAAAATACTTTTGTACAGGGTCAAACATTATGATATTAGAAATAATGATCTAAATTTAATGTAAACTTATCTAGAGCATAGGGTCCAAACTGTAGATATTGATGGTGTAAAATCTGAAGGAAAAGATGATAAGATGGAGGATCAAACTTAGGCCTACTCTTTTTAATTTACATAAATGACCTTCCTATATGGTATAAAAAAATTACAGATATATTGTTTGCGGATGCAACTTTGTTAGTTTTTAAAATTGAATCAATTAGATGATGTAAATTCAAAGTCACATATTCTGCTCTCTTTGCTATATTAAATTTATTTACATGTAATAATGTACTATTAAATTCCAACAAAGCAAAGTGTATTAAATTGACAGTTTCTAATGTAATAAATATGCACTTATTGCTTAATGATGAAATAATACATTTTGTTAATGATACAGTTTTTTTACAGTTGTGGGGTAAAGCAATCAATGTCATAGGCTGGGTCATTGGACTCCCAGAAATATGGTTGAGCGTAGTGATGGCTGGCTCCTCCGTCATACTCATCAACGAGTGCTGCTTTTGTAGAGACTAGTCTGCTCTAATCACTAGGACTAATTGAATCATATTATGTATTTAATATTAGGACTTTAAGTGCCAGTAGGTGGTAAGTCAATATATTCACTGTAGGTCACTATGCACAATATGGAATAATTATATGGGATTATATGGGAACTTTGAAGTTACTCTTTTAAGCAATAAATAAGTAGACAATCTGAATTACATAAGTAAAATCAATGCAAAGTTAATTACTTTACATATTAATGAATAAAAGTTATTACATATTAATTTTAATTAATAATCTGTACTAATATATTAATTAGGTTAACTTTGTATGTTTGGGGTAATCTCCGGTTCTGCTGATCTGATGTTAAGAATTCTTTCACTGTTAGAAAAGTATATTATCCACGAGCGTTAAAGGATATATAACATCACGCTACAGTCAATAGGATAGTCAGAGTATCAATGAAAAATGTTAAAATTATGCAAAATATCAGTTATACTGAATTAAAATGTCGGTGCCAATATCTATCTTTTATACACTATAAACATTTTTATGATCAGCAAATTTCTTCTAAATTAATGCATTATTTGTGAATGTGATTTTATAAACATGTAATTAATCTTTATACAAATGAATAGTTATATATTTTGAACAAAAGTGTCCTTTACATGATTTGATTTCTAGGATAACTTTAATAGATATGATAAATATCTTAGTTTCAATAAAAGAAGCACCTTACTGACTACCTGACATATTAACACAGTTTAGAAATCCTTATAAAAACAAATAGCTAAATCAAAATGGAAATTTCATGGAGATAAAGTTTCCTTTTTACAGCATGTTAGGGAGTCTATCAGAAGACAAAAATAAATTATAAAACTGTTCTTTTTAAAATCTTAGAATATTAGTGCATTACTTTCACACATGCTAAAATACCAGCCTTACTAAATGTGTTGAGCAGATTAAATATATTAGGCCCGTGCAAAGCCGAAACCAAAGAGTTGCTGTATATAATATATTACATACAAATTAATAAATGCATATTAGTTATAAGAATTAATTATTATTGTAACTAAAATCCCAGTTCCCACTCAGGCATTCTTTACTGGCAATATTGCATTGAATACTATTACATATCTTAATTTGTTTTAATACAAAACACTAGAAAAAATCATGCTACAGTTATTTGTATCAACCAGATTATATTCCATACCTTCCAAGGTCTATAGACAGGACAGTGTTTTGTAAGACCATGACATATTCTACATAATTTGATATTAACATACAATATAATAGATCGATTGATACAGTCCATATTATATATTTATAATACATATGAAAAGTCTGAATCTATGTTAATGCCAAATTATTATCAAGAATACATTTTGTTTAGACAAGTTTTATAGAATGAGGTCAAGTTAATATACATGAAATTATATTTGTTTAACCAATAATTTTTAATTGCCTTTCAGGATTTTACATAAGTATATTATAAGAGAGTAACATAGTCCGTATTTAACAAAGGCAGTACTGCAGAACTTGATAAATAAATTATATTAGATATATAAATATGTAACTTTTTTAAGTTAGGGATGGATTATTTACATCATTATGGTTTTACAAAATTTTGAAGCTATGGAATAATATTGTAGTGGTCTTTTATATTTTATATGTATGACTGTAAACATAGTCTGGACTGTTACAATTAAATTTACATTTGAATTTGGAATCAATCATTCTGTTATTGAATGTGTTTTCTCATTTCCATGTCAATCCGTTGTCAAATATTTTTGTGTTATTAAAATTGAGTGGAGTGACAAAGAGAATGGAATCACTGATTATTAATTATGAATGAGATTTTTTAACAATTTATCAATATTTTAACAAGCAGGATGACTGTGTTTGTTCTCAAAGCTCTAAAGAAGCTTCCTATTAGTCAACAAAGTACAACAACATAGATACATATTACTCCACTTCAGTGATGTTTTGGTGGGGTGTTAGCTATGAAAGATAAATAGATAATTTAAATATTTTTATGTAGTAGCAAAAACAAATATAAAACAGTTATGACTTAGATAAAATACAATTGTATTACAACAAAAAATTGTTAATCAAATAATGTTTCATTATTAAACAATAATTTTTAACCGAATTCCAATTAAAAGCACGTGCACCACGCTCTGTGCGTGTTGTACGTGCCTTTAACAAATTTTTCTCTGTCTCTCAGCATATGAAAGCAGGACAATGATCTAGATTTCTAGAAGTTCTTCATATTGCCTGCTCCGCGGGTACCTACGTAATCATGTGCTTATTTCATTGTTCATCAATAGAAATCCCAATATAATATAAACCGCCCTATTTATGCAATATTACCAGTAAAATAATATTCTGTTATTATAAACAGTAACAATAAATACTTTAATTCAATAATAATAAAAACAGAATATGTTATCCACGCGAACACATGCTTATTGTTGTGATTATACTCACTCCGTCTCTAAAACGCAAATCACGCACCTGTGTGACTGATGTCAAATGGGGATAAAATTCAGGTGCTTCGGGATTCAAAAGCGAATTCATTTTGTTAAAAAAACAATTCGAATCTACGAGCACAAATCAGGTATATTCAATTTACTTGTTGTTCAAAGCAAGTCTGGATAAATTGTGATGAAACTAAAATAAATGGCGAATGATACATTTCACAATCACAATACAGATAACTGCTAGTATTTGCAGCACAGAGAAATTAACCATCACTGACAACTGTCAGTCAAATGTCAGTCATTTTAATACAAGTAACTAGCTAAGAAAATCTTATAGAGAAAACTCTATGGAATGGTTATTTTATTAAGTTTACGTTTCCTACCGCCCGGGCGCCCCGCTCAGAAACGTCTAAGACCCTTAAAGATTTGGATTCCCATTTGCGACAGAGATTGACTTTAGACTTTTATAAGCAAGTAAAATGGTCTTATTTGTGTTAATAAACTAAATGTGCATTCTTTAATGTATGAGTAAGAATTAATCAGTTAATAAAATCGCAGTAAATTAATATATTTATTAGAAAAACTTAAATCACATGTTATCGGAAAAATTTTTATAACACCGTTTTGTGGCAAATTGACTGACAGCACATGTCGTATTTCAAAGTGCGGTTCTTTTAAAATTAAATAAATTGGCAAACCAAAACAAATTAAATTAAAAAATTCTTAAATAAACTACTTTTGAAGGACACTTTATCTACCTACTTCAACACACGACAAAAAAAAACCACCTGGAACCTGTGATTGTCAATTCTGAATATTTTTCTGTCAATGTTGACTCAAACTATGGTCAGTGTCAGTGTCGTTCATGGAAAAATGCGCGGAAATGCTTGAAAGACAGCGCGCTATTTAAATTTTTATTTTCCTTGGTGTAATAATTGCTCTTGTATATATTGTTGCCAAAATAAAATTTATAGCCCTAACCACGGGTAAGAGTAAAAAGTAAAATAAAAAAGCTTGCATCTCCAGACGATCTAGATAGTGAAGAATCTGACATCACATTCGAATTAGAAGAAGTGGAATCGGATCTGAAAGAATTGTATAATACTTATTTTTTCACGGAATATCACCGAAGTTACCCAGAGGTCTCCGGCGCAGCAAAATTTGTTGTCTTCATCTACCGATCCCAAATCTGTGTTGGGCTCTAAAGACTACTATCTCTATCATTTTGTTTAAAAAGATATTATAAAGGAGTCAAGTTTAAGCTTAAATGAGTATAAATTATGAGTTTATATTGAAAAACCTGGCTTCCAAATGCTTTCTTAAATAATTTAACTGTTTTTAAAGAATATCAATTTTTTTTTTTTTTTTCTCCGAGTACATTTGCGATCAGTCCCAGGACTATAAGCGAATATGTTCTGTGATGCTATCATGTAGAGCGGCTTCCCATTGGAAACCTTACTCATCTGCATCCCAGAGCTACTGCCGATCTTCTAGCTCCAGGATATGATGGCGTTTTAGTCGTCTCACATGCTGTACTATGGTGAGTTGTCGAGCAAGTTTGTTGGGGTGATGAATCAACCGTTCTTTATATTTGGCTGCCAAATTCCGAATTTCCTCCTTCACTGTTCTTATTTGAAGGTGATCATGGACTTCAGTGTTGGTTATGTACCATGGTATTTGTGCAATGGTTCTTAAGATTTTGTTTTGTTGGCGCTGGAGAATATTTATGTTGGTATCACTTGCGCTGCCCCATAGTTGCAGACCATACGTCCAAACAGGTTTCAAAATAACTTTATAAATGAGGAGTTTGTTGTCCATGGACAGTCTAGAGTTCCTTTCTAGCATCCAATATAGACTATTGTACTTTAGCTGTAGCTCTTGCTTTTTGCGATTGATGTGATATCTCCAGGTTAGTCTACGATCAATGTGGAAGCCAAGGTATCTTACATGGTCACTGTGAGGTAGAGTAGATTGGCCTAACTTAACAGGTGGGCAGTCTTCTTTTTTGAGAGTGAATGTCACCTGGACAGACTTTGCAGCGCTAACCATTATTTTCCATTTTTGGAGCCATTCATTCAACTTATTGAGGCCTTTCTGGAGGTTCTCCGATGCCAGTCTGGGATCTTTATTACTTGCCAGTATGGCGGTATCGTCTGCAAATGTAGCCGTGATTGTCCCAGGAGTAAGTGGTAGATCAGCAGTGTACAAAGTATAGAGCATTGGCCCAAGAACAGATCCTTGTGGTACCCCAGCATTGAGTTCTTTAAAATTAGAAGTGGCGTCACCTTCTTTCACATAAAATATTCGATCTTCTAGGTAAGATTTTAATAATGAGAAGTATGAGTGGGAAATACTCTGCTTGATCTTACATAGCAGGCCTTTGTGCCAGACCTTGTCAAACGCCTGCTGGATATCTAAGAACGCTGACGAACAGTATTCTCTTTGTTCCAGAGATGTTCTTATGGCGTCGCATACTCTGTGGGCTTGTTCTACTGTGCCATGCCGCTCTCTGAAGCCAAATTGGTGGTCTGGTATCACTTTGCCTTCTAAGAGGCTTGGCATAATTCTCCGTAGTAACATTTTCTCCAGTATCTTGGATAGTGTAGGTAACAGGCTGATAGGTCGGTATGATGTTTTGTCAGTTACTGGTTTTCCGGCCTTATAAATCATGATTACCTCCGAGACCTTCCACGCGCTTGGGAAATACCCTATTCGCAGCATAGAGTTAAAGATGGTAGTAATAAAAACAATAGCTTTTCTCGGTAGTTCTGATAGCACTTCTTTAGTTATGAGGTCGTATCCTGGTGCCTTTTTACTGTCTAGCCGGCTGATGGTTTTTATGACCTCCGCGGGCGATATAGATCTAGGGGGCAAGTCCAATTGAAGGTCTTGTTTCAGGATTGCGTCAACGTATTCTTCTGAAGTGTTGTCTGATGTTTCATTTGGTTTAAAGACGCTTGTTAGATGGTCTGCAAATAAATCCGCTTTATCTTGGCTTGTTCTGGCCCAGTCTACGTCCTTTTTTATTGGGAATTTTGGTACGTTAGGTCTGTCGCAGCATCGGGTGGCCTTCCAGAGCGAATAGTTTGTAGCTTTAGTGGCAGTTAGAGACTCCAACTTTGCTTGCAGTGTAAGATCATTGACATTCTTTATGGCTTCCTTTAATTCAACGATGGCTTTGTTAAGGATGGCCTTATCTTGTGGATGACGGCTCAGCTGCCAATTTCTTCGTAGTCTGCGTTTCTCTTGAATCATGATCTTTATATCCAATTGCACATTAGTAGGTTGATACCTACGTTCGGTAGAAGGTGTACATTTCCATGCAGCAACTTGGATGAGATTGGTAAATTGTATTACTGCTGATTCAATTTCCTCCGCTTCTTTGAGTCTAACATTTACATTGAGGTGTTCTTCTATGTATTCTCTGAAGGAGGACCAATCAGTACATTGATTGTACAATCTTGCAGGTGTCTCAAATTCAATTATAGTTGAGCTGATGGTTAGTAAGACCGGAGTATGGTCAGATGATCCATCAATACACGACTCAACTTTCATGTATTCTTTGGAGAGTCCTTTTGTTATGAAAAAGTCGAGTATGTCCGGGATCCGATTGTGATCAACAGGCCAGTAGGTTGGTTCTAGTGGTAAAATTGAGCTTAGCTTATTTTTGTCCATACACAGCTTTAATTATCTCCCTCTAGTCGTTATTAGTCTGGAGCCCCAATGAACATGTTTAGAGTTCCAATCACCTCCTGCTATAAAACGATTTCCTAGACTTGAGAAGAAGCGAGAGAACAAGTCGGTGTCCATACGATGTTTTGGTGGACAGTATACAGCAGAGACATTAAGGTATCCACATCTGTCCTGTATTGCGACTGTAGTAGCCTGGATCTGTTCAGTCTTATATTCAGGTAGTAGATCATGCTTTATAGTATTCCGAATAATTATAGCTGATCCTGCATGTCCCGTACCATCTGGGTGGTTTGTAGTATATATCTGGAAACCTTTGATTTTGACGTTAGTTTTGTCTGTGCAGTGTGCTTCAGATATTAGGACAGCATCTAGTTTGGGCTCGGCCATTAGTATCTCGAGCTCATCTTTATTTGGTGAAAGTCCGTTTATGTTCCAAGTCGCTAATCTTAGTCCAAGGCCTGTTACCCTTGTAGTTTGGTTATGAGTGTGGTCATGAGACTCATTAGAGTACCCATTTGTTGTAAGATTAAGTCGAATTTCTCGTTTTGTTTGGTGAGTAAAGTTTCTAGTACAGTTAGGTTTTTGTTTACATTAGGTGTGCTATTTTCTTTGGTCGCTGAAATCGGTTTCTGTTTATCTGATACGTTTCTAGTAGCTTGGGCGTAGGAGAGTGGTTCATTTTCTTTCTGCGTAGATGAAGATTGTTGGGCAGTATTTTTACAAGAATTTTGATCTTGGATCGCGAGACTTCTAACAGCTCTTCTGTGACCGTACTTGTTAGTTTTTCTGGCAAGTATTTCCTTGTACACCTCACAACCTTTGTAGTTTGCGGGATGGGACCCTTGGCACAGCGCACATTCGGCTGGTGTGTTTCTATCGCGTTTTGGACAGTCTGAGGTTTTATGCGCCTGTGCACATTTTACACAACGGTAAGGTCTCATGCAGTAATTCTTTGTGTGCCCATATTGCTGGCATCGTTGACACTGTACAATTGAACTTTTCTTCCTGGGATCCTCAATGATTACAGACTGGTGGTAGATATACTTGATTTCTTTAGCGGCTTTGTTGTTTACACTAGGCAAGAGATTCACAAAGAATGTTGACGTAGGTTTCTTCTCTGGACCATATCTGGAGTTAATGATTTCCCCAACAACACTGTTTCCAGTTTTTTCAATTTCTTCCTTTATCTCACTTTTGGGTGTTGTGTGATGAAGATTCCGAATGACAATACGACAGAGCCGTTCTTCCTTTTTGTTAAATGTATGACCAATTAGACCATTTTCACGAAATTTACTGATGATTTTTTTGTAAGCTTCCATATCCAGGGTGTTAATTCTTAGTTGGTTTCTGTTTGAAATCCGATATGTGAATGCATTTTTATTAGCAACAGATTCCACGAGTTCAGTTAATTTATTGACATCTTCTATACCATACAGTATTATCGGAGGAGGCTTGCTAGGTTTTGTTTTTGCGGGTTTCTCAATTGTAATGGGTTCTTCTGTTAAGTCGATTGGTAATTGGCTGAACATGTTGCTGGTGGCTAAGCTCTCTGGGGAATCACTGATTTTTTTCCGTTTCAGATTTCTAGTACCTGGTACTCTTTGCCATGAAGGTGGGCTTCGAGGGCTTGGCGATTCTCTTGGTGGTTCTTCCACGGTGTGTGAACATTCTGGAGATTTGCTTCCCAAAGAATGACTTCTAGGTCTGGTGATAAACAGACTGCGGTGAAAGGCCTGCTGAATAAGTTTTTTGCTGAAAGAATATCAATTTAAAGCAAGTATTTGTATACTATTGGTATATATCTGGCTGGTGCCAGGTCTACTAAAGTAATAGAAGTCTTTAGGTATGTCCCACTAAACCTATCTAATATGGAGATATATATCATGAGATCAAGCTATAAAAAATATGTTAAATGTCATAGTAACTTCCTTCTACATCCAACTCAGACCATAGCAATTACTTTTGCAGCCTTAGTTCCACCAGACTATGTGGACTTTGAATAATTTCTATATCGCACCATATATTGCCTCTGCGAAGCAGTGCTTCCATTGTTTGAGGTATGGTCATTTAGCGAAATACTGTAAAAATGTGGAGACATGCTCCATATGAAATGGAATCACATCTTTAAAATATTTGATATACCAGTAGAAAATGCCAAATGCCTCCATTGCTATGGTTATCATGTCAGTAGTTCCACTGAACATCCAATTAAATAAAAAAATATATTGTAAACAAAAACAAATTTCAACAATCTTCACATGGTTCTAAACAAATATAAAAAGAATAAACATCATAATGATTTGTCCTCCTCTTGGGCTCTTAGTAGAGTCCATAGTAAAATTGATTACATTACTTAAATAAAATTTCAGTAATAAAAACTTTGGTAGTTAGAATTCAGCTTAATTAATATAAAAATAGTTCAGTGGAAGCTGAATTCTGCTGAGTAATAGAAATTTACTCACACATTTTCTTCAGAGTAATAACATTCATATTGCACTTATATGTTAAACTTGGCTTCGGCTACATCATAAATTAAAAATGGATTTATTTATTATAGCATTAAACTTACACATAACACATAAATTTCTAAGATATGATAATTATATATTATTGGTTTATTGATGATGATGATTGGTTTATTTTTACTTTCTGTGTTTTTTTCTTTGTTTTGTGGCCCCTTCAGGTAAAGGCCTCCTTCATCTACCGTCAACCCTCTCAATCCTTCAAATCATCCAAAATATAAATTTGTTAACTTTGTAAATAACACTCCTAAAACTGGTGATTTTAATGCACATCACACTATTTGGGGTTGTGATTTGATTAAACCCAGAGGTAGAGACATTTTAGAAGCACTAGATGAATGTAACCTTGTTTTAATAAACGAGAGTCATGTTACCACTGTAAGTAGTTATATATGAAGGGGATAAAGTGATTATTAATAATATGAACTGCCGACCCCATTGCTAGCAAAGTAGAATGTTAGGTTTTTTATGGGTGATAATGGAATGATGTACCCAAAGATAATAAGATGAGCATGAGGTTGGGATAGCCCATCATGACAAATTCACCAAGAATTGATCATGATGATTTTCAGGGGGAACTATGTGGAGGCAAACTAAGATGGTACATTGCTAGCAATGAGATCATCAGTCCACATTACTAATCACCTTTCCCCTCTGCCATGTTAGGTTGACCTCCATGCGGATCGCCCTAGAAACCATCTTGATAAATCCCCAGTGAATTTGTCACAATGGGTTAACTGACCTGACCTCATGCTCATCCTATCATCCTTCACTGGTCCTCCAGCGTAAACCGGTAAAAAAAAAGTCACATTTGGAAGCCAAATGCTTTGGACCTTATTCCTTTTCTGTAACTGTTATGTTTACAACAAACATTTGTCAACACTAACACAATTAAATTAACAATACTCCATTCTTTCTTGGAACTAGTACAAATACAGTAAAATCGGTAAATCCAACCTACAAGGTTTTTCTGTTGATGAGAGCGATCCGTCTCCAACAAATGAAGTTTTCCGTAATATTATTTTAAATTTTATCGATATTGTCCTAAATGAGAGTTCATCTGGACATCGAAAACTTTATATATTATTGTACTACATATTGTATTAGGTTAAGACCTGTAAAAACAGCTGCAATTGTGGAAATAAAATAAAATAATTCTATTTTTTAGCAATAGTGAACAATCAAAATATAACATTCGGCAGTATCATAGTAAACAGTAAATGTACAACAGCTGTTAGTAAAAGTAAACAAGCATATAGATCAAAGAATATACTACTTGAACACGATGCTACCACAGATAACTAAAGTTTAAAAGATTGCAAGCGTAAAAAAATATTACTACTAAAAACGTTTTAAAAGTAACTGCTCAAATTTACAGAGTATCCCTCCTATATCTAATGTTTAGGCCAATGTTTGAAAATTTAATATGAAATATATGATTTGTGAAGACAATTACCTGAAAGAAATATAATGTGACAATACAACCGAGGACAATAGCTGTATGGGATGAGTCCCTGAAACGGACAAAGCTGATCCGAAAAAAGTTTCTTGACATTTCTGTTTACGTTTACGAGAAATTGAAACCTTGAAAAGAAATGTGGGGGTGTATGGAGTAGATAGGGGGTGAGTGCTTAGGGTGTGAAAACTCGTCGCTGTTGCATCGAGTCGTTTAGAGTGGCAGTAAACGTTGTGCGATTGCGCGTATTACGCATCTCGTGCAGCCTGTATTTCCAGTGAGTTAGCAAAGGACGGAGAATCTTGCTCATCGAACTGCCTATATACAGGGTAGGTAATCATGTCGATATTTTGTGGGATAGGCCAGGGTTTGTCTGGAGACTCCTGTGTATTTTATCCGTTTACGAGTATATCCGCGTCAGTTAAAACCGTCGTCACATGAGTCAGCTTGTGCTAAAACATTGTTATTCTTGTTTGACATGACTTTAGAAGATCCGTTTTACGTCGTCAAAGAGTAAGTAGTTTTCATTTCTGCATTGTATATAGTCTGGAAGCTTTATTTGGTGAGTTGTTGTTATCAACATACATATGGTAAATACTTTGGTTATTTTACTATTTTGTAGGCTGTGAATATAAAAATAGGTAATCTTTTAATTGGATTGTATCATGAATTAAATATTAGTAACAAATTATGCAGTGTTTCAATTGTAGAATAGATAACAAACTCTGAATAGTTTACAAATATTATACAGCTGATGGACATTTTTGTAAACATACATACTATTGTTATTATAAATATGAAAATGTTTGCCTTTCTGTTTATTATCTTCATTACTAAACAACAACTATATTAGTATCAAGTGAGTTCCCATAGTAACAAATTAAGACAAGTGCAAGTATACAAAAATGTCTGTTCACAATTTTGTTTCTTTATCATCTATCCACTCTGAAGTTAACCCATAATTGTGGGGGTTGCAACATTGCCAAAATATTGAGAAATCAATAATAATAAATATAATGTGATAAGATTTTCTTAAATTTACATGTAGATAAACAGATCTAAATTCTGTGTTTTAATTTCAGAGACAATATTGACCAGTTTAAATATCAAACTGTTAAGTGACTATTTTTAAATTTTGCAATAAATTTGCACAATATTTTATTAATATTCTATGTACATTAGTGTTTCTAGTTCTGACCTTGAAATAAACAATAAACGGAAATATATTTTAGTGGTTTCTATGTGTGGAATCTATTCATATTTATTGGATATTAAACTACAAACCAGCATTTTTTTCTTTCAAACACCTAAATATATTAAATTGTTGTATTGTTTAGGTACTAAGAAACAATATGAAGGCTATTTATTTTATAAGAATAGGCATTTAGTCAGTTAATCAGTTGTTTTAGTAAAATGAATGTCATTTAAAAGAAATCTATTTTGATACAACAACACTACCTTTATTGATACTTAACTTTATTAATATTATTTTATATAAATAACCACACATTATTTCTGAGTAATCTACCTATAAAAATTGGTAATTAGTAGATATGTCTGATAGTGCCTAAATAGTATTTATGAATTTCAAAAAGGTGGCAACATAGGTAATTTCAATTCAAATTATTTAGGTCAAAATATGTAGGTCACAGTGCTACATACTTAGGCATCTGACAATAGCCCAAAACCTATCAATATAGGTAATTTGAAAATAATTTTATTAAATAAGGTTTAATTATATTTAGGTAAAATTATATTGAGTAAATTCCTTTCACTATTTAATCAATTTATATTATTTTGGTTAATTCCATTACCATTAGCATGTGTGAGAACACAAAAGTTCAATGTGGGGTCTCTGTGTGATCTAATTCCAACTATGGGAGTAATTATGGAGTCTACAGTCATATTTGACATGAGTTTTGCCTTAAAGAGGCATCATATTGGAGAGAGTTGAGATAGAGCTTGGTAGCTTTGTGTTGACTTTTCATCAACTAAATTGCGACTCATTTAGTTGCAGTCAATCACTAATATAGAAAGTCATAATACTGTCAGTAAATGGTAGTAGAATTAAAAAAATAATATAACTGCAGGAAGGGATGTCAAGTTTGTCTCTGAAATATAAAATAGACCTTGATAAGAAGGATGGCCTTGGCTATCTTTTATCTAAAATAAGAATATACAGTCGTGGGTAATCGCTAGTAAATAATAATATATATGAAAACAAAATAAAAAACATGGAGAAGAAGAATACCTTGTATTGTTTTCCATTATCCCTTGTATTATAAAGTTGTCCAAATATTACAGTGTTTTAGTAATAAATAATATTGCAGTGTATTCTAATACCAGGAGTTACATTTCGAAGTAAGGGGATTGCTAACAATGTACGAAGTTGAGTTGATTTCTATGTAGCAACTATTGGAAACTATTGTGAGATTTTCATATCCATCTTATCATCATTTTCTAGTGCTTCATTAGTGGTTGTTATTAAACATCCCTTAAAAAAAGTTTTAGTTTATTTATACCACACAAATATACTAAAAAACTATATATACAACATGTACTTAAAATTTAATTGGTCTTATAAATATATATATTATACATAAATGACGCATAAACAGGCCATGGCTCATCCAATGCTAAATGTTTACTCTACTCAAATGGTACTACTCTATGGACACTTAAAACACTAGAGCTGTCAAATTCTGTGTATACATGTGCTCTCTAGACAAAAAATATTTAGTTAATTCTTAAATATATGTGGAAAATTCTTCTATAACTACTCTGCATGTGACCACCTAGGTCCCGGGGGATGAAAATTCATCTTATTAATATAATACTTTACCTCTTCCAGATTTTTTTCAGATAAAATATAGCTTATTTCCTCCCTTATTATAAAATTTATCTAGGTGTCAAATTTCATAAAAATCTACTTAGTTGTTTAGTCCTGAAAGTGTGAAAAGGTAACAAACGGACACTTGTTTGCATATCTTCTTATAATGAACGACAGCACAGCTTCTAAGAACAACAAACAATTATTAATAGGGTTTTCATTACTATTGTGGACAGCATACATAATATACCTAGACACTTAATTTTAAATTAAGGGAGGAATTGGTTGGAAGGTTATGGGGTAGGATTTCATGAATTTGGGCCGATAACTTTGGGCTGTGATGTGTAATATAATGTGTATAACAAGTAAAGTAAGGTGTATAATGATCTTTGTAAATCAGAGATAAAATATATCTAATACATCTTTCTAAACTATAATAGAATTGATACTAAAGGCATATCTTGCAGGAGGTTATTTTCCAGCTACACGGGGAAATTCGTGCTATTTTTTGTATGAACCCAAAATTAAATAACAATATCATTAATAATCTTCAATTGTGACCTTGAAATCTACAATTTTGTAGCTAAGTACACACAACAGTTGCCATTGACAACCGTACAGCTTATCTCGTAACTAAAAATCTTAAATGGTACATAGATAATTTCAAACCCTTTAAACTTAATCTTTTACAATTGAGAATTGTCAATAACATGGATATATAATTCCTCTAACCTCTAACTTTAGTAGATCCTCATTCTGTGTCTAAATACATAATGACCCACTTGTAGCATACACATCAAGCGAAGGAGGATTAACCCAGATTTTATTTATTTAGTGAGGTGTTCAAAGCGTTGAACAAAACTCGTGGCCTGTACCTGCGGTGGCAAGAGATCTCCAAGGCGCCTACTATTCCAAACAGTCCTGAAGTGGAATGGACTTCCACCGAGTTAAGAAATGCACTTCGTAGTATCGAATGGGATTTAGAGGACTTGGAAGATACTATTAATATCCTTTTAAATTTTTTAATTTTCATGTCAGGCTTCCTGCATTCTGTGTTCATTTGTGTGTTTTTGTTTATTAATTTGTGTACAATGTCCTTCAATCCTTAATTGATTATATCGGATGACTTTGTTTGCCCTGCGGAAAAAATATTACTTAATAGGTGATTCATATGATATAAATTTTCTTTTGAACTTTGTTATTTGTCTACTTTATTATTCAACATATTTTAAAAGTATTAAAAAATGTTAATTCTAAATCAATGAACACTTTTTTTGTACTTTATTTACTTAACTACTTTATTATTCAAATAGTTTTTGGAAATGTCTTTTTAAAAAAGACATCCTAAATCAATTAATATAATTTATTAGTACTTTATATTTTTGTCTACTTTATGATATAAACACTTTTTCGAATACTGTCAATTTAAAAAGAAATGAATTCTAAATTAAATGATATACCTATATATTTTTGGTACTTTATTTATTTAGACACTTTATTATCTAAACAGTTCTTAAAACTATCTTTTCTAATATTTTTAATGATTAAATCTAAAGACAGTTACGCACGTGTGTAGTCATAGCCATAACTCTACTTATAATAACTTTATAGATATATCTATGGTCCGGCGTAGGTAGACACGTTGCGCAGTTTGCACAAGCAGGGGGGTGCATATTTTGCTGTATTGATTGCAATTGCATATAGTACTTGTAATTTATATGGCATACATATTGACTAGGTGCACGGCTGTCGCCATCTAGCAGACTGAATTATATGGGCGCCTGCATCGATATTACAAGGACGCGTTATTAAATTTATTGCGTCTCTTCGAAATAATTATATTATTTTATAAATTCTTTCGCGTAAATAACGTTAAAATGCTTATATTAATAATATGGGTAACAGTAATATGGACTGTATTTTGTTTGAGACGATTGAGATATCCATATCAATACCATGATCACTACGACAATTTTATGGTCTAGGTAAGTAATTTTTTTTTCTATTTATTGTAATCTTGGTTGCTGGTATATACAGCTTCCTGTTTAGCGGATACCTCTTTTGTCTGAGGGAACTACAAGGGTTTCGAACCTTGGTCTGAATATTGGTAATATCGATCCCCGTTTGATTGGCCCGGGGAAAGTGTGCCTCGAGCTTGCCCGCGCCTTTAACTGCTTATTAGTGATAACTTTTTGCATCAATTATAGTTTTCACGCTTTGGTAAAATCACGCGACAACTCGCAAAATGGAGATTGCCTGCAATCTGAATGGTGCTAACTGGGTTCCAAATTTAACAAAGAACATTATATTTTATTCTAATAGCTTTTAAGTTAATATGCATTTTTGATGCATTTATCATCTCAGTGTGCAATTTTATGCACCCGATTGTGGCGTGGTAACAAAGAACAAAGAAGGCATAGATTACAAATTAGGTCATTCCAAAACGGGATCGACTATGTCCTTGAAGAAATTGAGAAATTAATGTTCTATTTCTTTTTTCTATAAAAGAAAAGTAGAAAGTATGATTTTACAGTGAAAATGTTAGATTTAAGAAAAAAAAATTATTACATAACAGTCGAATGGCCATGATGGAAGTTATTGATTAGCGGCGCAGTTGCATGCGTAATTGCAATGCATTTTAAATTTCCGACCCAGTGTGCGCCATTTCTCATCAACGCAACTATTTATGGGAAGGACAAAGGTTTATTATATTTTTAATTTATACCGATAAATGTAGTTAGTATAGACTGTATGAATATCTTTAGTACAGTCTATTACAATGTTACAAGATAAATATATTCAAATGAAATATATTTAACTTTCACATTAATATATGGCCCGTTATGGCTACAGATATGCTGTCGCGGACTTCTTTTAGGACTATTTAAGAGAAATTTGATGAAAAACATTTTTAATGTTTTTTTTTAATTTTGTGTAGAATTATTTTAAGAATTTTGTTGCGACAAATTGCGGAATAGTAAAGTTGAGATACGTAAATATATAGTTATTTGAGTAACAAAAATCAGTCATAGGAGGAATAATCGGCCAGCAACAGGCGAACCGTAAAAGTTCGAACTTCGAAATGCGAAATAAGTGAAACATCTTTCTCAAAAAATTTTTTTTTAATTTATTCAGTTTCACTTAGAAGACACACTTCTAATTTGCTGTTGTTCTCCAATATCGAACTATAAAGAACTGGCTCAAGACTATTGGTGTAGTTTCTCACTTTAATTTTAGGTCTTGTGTTTTATATTTAAGATTTTTTTATTTTGATGCAAAATAATAAATAGGTAGCACTTAATTATTATTTACCCACACTATACGGAATCCACCTAAAAATTTTTACACTCATACAAACTTTCGCTTTAATAATTTATGGATATTTATACTCCTCATAACTCAACCGTTCATGAGGATATGTTATACCAGTTATACTTAAGTCATGGTGTTGCCGATAGGTATTATACTTATTATTATTTATTACATTTTTTACAATTTGAGCTATTCCAAAAATTTTTGTTTGTTTTTGAAATAGACTAAGACGTAACTGAATAAAGTTATTCCCAACACTTAGTAACTGTCATTTCTTCAAATTAGTCAATCAAGGCATGATGATGTTATTTCGTATAAGATATTATTTATTACATTTTTTACAATTTGAGCTGTTTCAAAAATAAAAAAACATAATGCAATCTTTCATACCATTTTTTGTTTGTTTTTGAAACAGCTATATAAGACGTAACTTAATAAAGTTATTCCCAACACAAAGTAACTGTCACTTCTTCAAATTAGTCAATCAAGGCATGATGATGTTATTTCGTATAAGATATTATTTATTACATTTTTTACAATTTGAGCTGTTTCAAAAATAAAAAAACATAATGCAATCTTTCATACCATTTTTTGTTTGTTTTTGAAACAGCTATATAAGACGTAACTTAATAAAGTTATTCCCAACACAAAGTAACTGTCACTTCTTTAAATTAGTCAATCACGGCATGATGATGTTATTTCGTATAAGATAGTAATCTTTATAGATTGTAGAGATTTTAATTAAAGTAAAATATGTACATATAGGTAATTGCTATTTATATTATTTTAATTTTAAATAGTTAACCCTGATCATTTTACATTGTTTTTGTTACTTGGTGTTTTACATGTTTCCTAGACATTTTATTTTCATAAATATTTTTTTTATTAATTTATTTCCACTTAATAATATTTATATATCAATATTGGCCAATATTACATGTACCTTAAAAAGTAATACCTATAAAAAATAATAAAAGACAAACTATCAATTTGTGGTCACCACAATCACTATGGCAATCTTCCAAGGGAGCGGCGGTACACAACTCCTTTTCGCTACTTTGGCAATATAATAATATAGATAGAAAACACCCAGACTAATACAATCGTACTCATGAATACAAATGTTTGCATATCGCGAGGAATCGAACACGCTACCATCGCATGAAAAGCGGCGTGTAAAACTTCTAGGATGTTAAAGAGTAGTTAAATAATATGCATACATTATATTAATAACAAAAACAAATATTTTTTACCCCATTTTTACAAATAAATATTGCGTGGATGGACGTACTATATATAGTTTATATAGGTAGTGCTCCTAAAGTAATGTATATAAGATACATTAATTCAATAAAATAACATTAAATGAACTTCCATGTATTCACTATTTTGTTTATTATTAAAGTTTGTTGTGAAATTTAGAATAGATTAATATTTTTGTCTTTAATATTATATATTTGTCTATATTCTTACTGAATATTAAATATAACCATAATTAATTACGGTTGAATTTCAACTAATGGGCGAACACTAGTATTATTAATTACTTCTTATACTTATACGTGTTTATACTTAATTATTAATATGCGGCATATATATTATAAAATTATAAGTTAAGTCAAAAAGTTAAAAAGTATAAACCTTAATACTAATATCTTTAAAATAACTGCAGTTTCTACCTGATTAATAACTAATAACTGAAGTACTATACCTAGAAATAATTTATTTATTATTAACTCCTTTAAAATACAAACTCGATTCTTTTTTTTGCTTGCGGGGATGCGCTTGACTTTACCTATAGCAAATACTTCGCAAATAGCGAATATCACCGAATATTCAGCGAAGGGTAAATTAGTATTTACAGTTAGTAATAATATTAGTTTGTCATCTGGACTTAAGTATTAAATATAATTACTTTAATGAGACCATATTATTTTATTTAATGTTTAACTTAAGCTGAATGTAGTAGGTATATTTTATTTTATTATTGATGTATTTGGTTATTGGAATTTAAATTATAAATGTATATAATATAACAAAATTTCTATAAGTATCTATGTATATAAAAAAGAATAAGAATTCGTATTCTTTTTTTATTTTTATTTATATATATTTTATAAAAACTTTCTCCTGTACATTGGGTGAATTTACTATAATTTTGCTAATGCGTATTTTATGTATGAATTGGTAATACTTAAATCTGTACATCCATGTATTGCTAATTTATATATAGTATCTAAGCCATACATGGCTTTAGAGTAAATTGGATGGTAAGTTAAAAAACAAATTCTGCCCGATGTACTGGAATAAGTTTAATGATTTTAATTAAGTTTGCTTTAGGTATTTCACATTAGGCCAAATAACTTATCAATTATTATTTTTCTCATAATTACTAGAAACACGTAGCTTAGGTCAATTTCGTAGCGTCACTAGTCTCCTTAGCTTCTGAATTGCGTTCTGAAATTCACGTCTTGTTCGTACTAATTGTCTATTCGCGAAATTTATCTGTATATGTACAAAATAGTGATAAAGCAATAATCGCTTGTAGGTATAGCGTTTGTCTATTTGTGTGTTAGGCTTTCTCTTAGAAATGATTGGAGGCGTCAAGATGAAATTATCAAATATTTTTTTATAAAATACGCCCCATACATAAAAGGTATAAGATAATTAATTTTATAAATAGTTTTAATAGACCTAGACCTGTAAATGTATATATGCGCGCGTATAATGGTTTAATTAATGCTGGCGTTTGATTTATCATCAACTAGCTCCGAGGCGAGCGATTCGCACGGTTGTAGATATATTGTAAATATAAACGTCCCTCTTAAATAGCACTGTCTATTACTTAAAACTGCATTAAAATCCGTTGCGTAGTTTAAAAGATCTAAGCGAACAAACAACGCGAGCGTTTTATTTTAACTAAAATTCTCCAATTATACACATATTGAATTGCTCTATTTCTTTTTAATCGCTCTATCCATTACTTAAAACTGCATTACAATCCGTTGCGTAGTTTAAAAGATTTAAGCGAACAAACAACGCGAGGTACCTTTTTTATATTAACTAAAGTTAGCTGGCGTTTCAAAATATACATGTATAAAATTGTATTCCTCTTAAATCGCTCTATCTGTTGCTTAAAACTGCATTAAAATCCTTTGCGTAGTTTAAAAGATCTAAGCGAATAGATAACGCGAGCTACTTTCTTTTATAGTATCTGAAGTTAGCTGGCGTCTCCAAAAATATCCATAGTAAATTCCTCTATTCCTCTTAAATCGTTCTATCTATTACTTACAACTGCATTAAAATCCGTTACGTAGTTTAAAAGATCTAAACGAACAGACAACGCGAGCGACTTTGTTTTGTAGTATCTAAAGTTAGCTGGCGTCTCCAAATATACACATAGTAAATTCGTCTATTCCTCTTAAATCGTTCTATCTATTACTTAAAACTGCATTAAAATCGGTTACGTAGTTTAAAAGATCTAAGCGAATAGACAACGCGAGCGACTTTGTTTTGTAGTATCTAAAGTTAGTTGACGTCTCCAAATATACACATAGTAAATTTCTCTATTCCTCTTAAATCGTTCTATCTATTACTTAAAACTGCATTAAAATCGGTTACGTAGTTTAAAAGACCTAAGCGAACAAACAACGCGAGCTTCTTTGTTTTATATTCTCGTTAATTATTTGTTTAATATAGTTAGCTGGCGTCTACAAATATACACATATTACGTACAAATTTCGTGAATTCCACTTGTTATAATAAGGTACAAGAATTTCGATTGTAATTGAGAAGATAAACTTGATTTTATTTACTAGTGATCGCCCAATAGTCGAACTTCGATCATTGTTTATTTATTATTATAATTATGTTTGCACGGTATTGTGTGTATGTATTTACCTGTAGCCAAATGAAGTTAATAAGTTTTGCATCTGAATGTATTATGGTTTTATTGTCAAAGGTTAAATATACGTATTGTACAACCCAACACTAAACTCTGGACTACTACAGCGTCCTCTGGTGTTAATAAATAAAACAACCAGCGATGTTGGATTGTTGAACTTAAAAAGGGGTTTATTTTTACAAAATGGCGTACATATATACACAGTAATACAACGAAACCATATCGACGTTTACTTTTAACACAGCGCCATCTAGTATGTAGGTCGAGTACTAAAGCTTCTATATAAAATAACAAACTTATACACGTATAATAATATTTAAGCGTCTCTGAAATGTTTCTTTTTGAAACTTAATGTACTTTTTATACATTATTGACTTTCTACAATTTTTGTTCATAGAATACTTTAAATGTACCATGCTGCCAGTCCATCCGCGTAATTTTCGTAAGGTTCAAAGATTTCGGTTCGCGTATTAAAATTATGATTATTTTTCGTATATTTCCAACGGTCAAGTAAATAAGTTCGACAAGAAGGGAACATTACCAATACATTATAAATATTTTATTACTACTTGCAAAACAAAATCCCAAATCCCTGGTTGAATTATTTTTGAAGTAAATTATAATAATAAAATGCAAATGCCTTCTTTGGATAATCGCCTTTAAATTTTTCTATAGTCTCATTTATGATTTCCGTATGGGCAAACACCACCCGCTCTCCCCTTTATCTTGAGCTTGGTCTCTGACCAAATCTGTCAAATAAAAAATTAAATAATTGTTACATGTAAGACGTGGTCTGCCACGTCTTACATGTAATACAATTATTTAATTTTTCCATTTCATTTACTATAAGTATTGTATACCTCATACACGTTATATATAATTTTCTTAATATTGTCTTACGTATTGTTGAGAAGAATTCTTCTAAATTCAAGATAGACAACAAGGAAATTTGCGATCGTAGAAGTTTCATTGAGGCTACAAAACAAGAAGTGAAGGTGTGTATTCGACTTGTCTGACTGAGATTTCGACGACAAAATTCGGAATCGAAATTCGGAAACATCAAAGATTTTAGATTTTTGGATAAGCCGTTATTAAATTGTATAAATAGCATTTTTGCTCAAAAATTTCATTATTATGAATGATAATAGTATGGAGCAAACGCCAACAGTATACTCTGGCAGAGTGCCAATGGAAGTGAAGAGCCATGCATAAATTACGTAACACGTCGAGTGAGGGAGGACGTCCACAAAGTGTGATATTATGTGATACGAGGTGGTAGGTGTCCTAAGTTTCGTGACGTCACAATGCAAAAATCAAACTTATTTATATAAACATAAGCTTTAAAACTGTATTGTTGAAGAGTTTACACTTGGCTTATTAGTGTACAATGGAAAAATATGTGACGTCACGTAATGGGTTCTTAATGGTACAGTTAGACCGAAATTTTTTGACAATACTAAAAAAAGTCTAATAGTTTACCCTATTCTTTAAATCATAATTACCCTACTTAATTTAACACTATTGGTATATATGTAAAATGCAGTACCTAGTTCAATAATCAGCACTAATATATGTGTGAAATGCAGTAGTAAGATATATTGCGCTATAGTGTACATTAGGGTGAAACTTTTATTGTGTTTTTAGATTTAAAAAAATGTTATACTCAAAGTTACATAATAACAGCTAATGACCATTAAAATTAATGATAAGCCAACAAGTTATGTACCTAATGATAGATATTGACGTACGTTATATTGATTGTAGTTTGTCTACATACCGTAACGTATGACACCTAAATTTCTCCGAACAGGAAAAAATCATATATGCATATATATATATATATATAGTCTGATGTAAATTATAATTGATTAATTGATAAATGTAATAATTTTCAGGTTATGAAAGGTAAAATGAGCCTCAACAGAAATCGCGATAACGACGGCACTGCACGGGAGCCTCTCCTTGGGGAAGAGAGCCCCATGCACTTTGGCAACTACTGGACCGCTACCCCCAAGTATTCTAAGTACTCGAAGCTTGCAAACCAAACCGATAGCCCAAATAGATTCGATGCCTACGACAACGATATCTTGTCTATGCAGGAAAAGATGCTGAGCAGTCAAAATGATCAGTTGCAAGTTATAAGCGACTCTGTCGGTTCATTGAAGACTGTATCCAAGCAGATTGGCATCGAACTTGACGAACAGGCTGTGTAAGTTTCTCTATTTTATTGTCAAGCTGTACCCGCGATTTCGTCCGCGTGGAATTTAACTTTATTTTTCTAAAATAAAAGTAGCCTAAGTTACTCCTTATAACATCAGATATCTGCCAATAAAAATCCCGTCAAAATCGGTTTAGTCATTTCAGAGATTAGACGGAACAAACAAACAATAAAAAAAATAGTAAAAAATGTTAATTTGGTGTATGTACCGTATTTATACATATGCATGTAGTATAAAACGGTTATTTCAATATTACAAACAGACTTACCAAAATTTCGTCAGCGTATGTATGACAATTCTTTTAACTCAGGTGTTATGTACGATTGCAGAAACATGGGCAATGTCAGTTGTCTACGTCATCACAAAAGTTTCTTTGGTGCTGATCTTTTAGGTATAAGTCGGGGTTGCAAATTAGTAGGTCACACTGTGAAAATCAATAAAATGGGAACAAAATCGCCTATTATTGTAACTATTGTTGAAAATTTTATTACATTGTCATCTAACTATTGATTAGGTACCAATAGTTTCAATAATAATAAAATTTAAGGCGTATAATTTATGTGCTCTTTTGCAATTTTTAACGAGTTATCTTTCAAAAGCAGAAAAATTGAGATTTATACCCACCAAAAGAAAAATGCGGTACGATTCTTCAGGAACGAGGATCATATAGTAGCGTCAGCATATTACTGTGACAAACTAACGACAATACTCTTTTTTACATTACTGGTACGAATTTTCATATTACCACCACCAATAATTTTAGGAATAATAATAAATAGGATAATAGGCCACTCTTTAATAGACCAGTAATGAATAACCTCGTTTATTGACGCTGATCGATATAAATCTAGTGTTTCAACATTAGCTTATAAGTATTATATTTTTCAGAATGCTAGATGACTTGAATACTGAACTTGAAAATGCTGATTCTAAATTAGACTCCACTATAAAGAAGGTCGCTAAAGTGCTGCATATGAACAATGGTTTGTAATTTAGTTTGTATTTTAGAACAATTCACACAGCGCCATACAATCCCAAACTAAGCAGAGCTTGTATTGGGTACTACACAAATGATGTAAATGCTGCAATATATATTTTCTGAATACATACATCGAAAACATCCATATCATTACAAACAATCATACTTTGTGTTATATAATACTTTATTATATGGTGATCCATGGGCCCAGTATGTGGACGGTATGCTGTAATACAGGATATCCTAATATCAAATCCATTCCCTGGCTTGTTTTTTAATAAAGTTTATAAAAATGTGTTTATTTGTGAAGAGGTAGTAAACGTACGGACAGACAGACACGTACTAGAGAATACTCATGAATATAATCCTGTTTCTTGCTAAGAATCGAACCCGTGATCATCGGAGGGCGGTGTTACACCGCTACGTCATTGAATGAACTGCCACAAGCAATCAAGACACGATTCATTCCGATATAAATACGATAAATGTGTCCCGCTTCTCACCTTTTCATGACTAAACGACTGAACAGATTTGAATGAAATGAATTATGGATAGATTATATCACGAGCATGGACATAAATGACTGAAATTGTGACCTAATTTATTTGTAAAAAGGTCTCAGTGGAATAGCGTTTTCGCACACCGCTTTACTGACAATGGTCGCGGGTTCGATTCCTCGCACGGCAAAAACATTTCTATTCATATGTAGGTTTGTTTGAATTTGGTCTGTGTATTTTCTATGTATATTAAGTATATGTATTTACAAAAAAACATTCTGAGTATTTATATCAGTTGTCAGTACCCATAACACAAGCTCTTCTTACCATGGTAGTGTGTAAATAGTGCAGGCAAGAAAAAAAAAATTGTAGTAAAGGATTTAGTTAATATTTTGTACTAACTAGCATATTTGGCAGACTAATGGGCGACCTGAGGGAAATAGGTACATCAAAATCCTAAAATATATTGTGATTGCCTTTCTGTAAACTAAGATCTTATAACTCTATATTAAAATATATTGAAAAAACTTAAACTTATGTAGATAATTTTGTAAGTGTGATGTCTAATAAAATTGTTAGATATAATTTTTATTCGTTTTATTTCAGATCGTCGTCAATGGCTGGCTATAGGCATTCTGGTGGGGCTTCTAGTACTTATATTAATACTATTCGTTATAATTTGAACACGATCAATGTTAGATTTAAGTGATGTAACGTTTATGTATGTAAAAATTATTTCAAAATCAAATACATTCAATTTATCTTTAGCATCATTGTTAGAGGATCTAATAGTCTGTCTATATTACATTTCCTCTGGGTTTCAAACTGTTTCAATACAAGTCATTTCCAAACAACAACAATATTATGTAGACATTTAAAATTGACGTTTAATTATATGAATGTAAAAGAAGTCCTTCGTGGAACTAGTATAAGTAGTATCAAAATTTAATATAGTGAAATTAAAAAAAATATTAAATTACCCTACAACTATTCCTACTAACTATTCGTTTTCTTCCATATATACTTGAATTCAACTTGTATTAAATGTAGATAGTACTGTTTACCGTGCATTTCAATCATACTTCTACAGTGTTTTAAATATCGATAGTTCAGTTCTCATAAACAGTAATTAAGTAATATAAAAAAAAATTGGTGTCAAATATGATAAAATCTTTACAGTTTGTTCGCATCCAAATGCTAAAAAGCGTCTCTCGGTTACCAAAATGCCAGGGTTACAGTTGTCTAGCTTAGTTAGCTCTGGTGTATTTGGCGTAAAGCTTATTTAAATAGCTGTAAGATAAATATAAAATTATATGATTGTCACAATTATGAACTAAGCCATCGATATGTGAAAGTAAAACATCTCTATTTTTCTAAAATAAATAATCTTCGAAGTTATCTATTTTCTACAATTCTGTAATTATATTTAGTAAAGGTAATAATCATTTTCTTGTATGCTTGTAATTGCTTATCGGCTATTTAATGATACATCTCAGCAGTTTCGCTAATATGAATTTCTGTGTGTTTAAGTTTGATCTCAATAAAGTTTTCAAACAAACCCCTTGAGTACTGTTACATACAAGCGTAATGAAGCGAACCTTTAACAGATTTAATTTATTAAAATATCGGCTTGTGTTTCATGTACTTATTCATTTGAAAATGACCTTTAGCACTGACTCTTAGTACGTGCCAAAGGTCATATTCAAATTACTATCAATCGAAATTACTTTCCATAGTAGACTGACCGGTTTCTTAAATTCACATTGTTGCAATCCGGGTTTTAAAAACTTAACTTTGTAGTAAATTTCTAACAGTTTTTGATCTAATAATAACCAACCCGGCTAATGATTAGACGCTTATAAGTCGTTTTTTGTGGGTAGTATTACTCAAATTTAAAATATTAACATAAACTGACCCTGTAACAATATATGTCTATTATTGCTTTAATGTTCCAATTAGGTAACTGTGTAATGTATACACATGACGCTTCTGTATAATGGTATAGGGGTTTGATTATGTCTGTGTATGTACCATGTGAGTTGCATATATTAGAAACGTTATACCATTCGCAACTGAAACTGTCAAATGGGGCATATACAATTGCAATTTGTTATTTTTACTTAACTTAAAACTGTTCTTAATCAGGCCTCTTTGGTCATATGGTATTAACAATGATCTAAAACTACTATAAAGTTGTCTTCGTTGGTAGCCATACCTAAGGCGCTTTCTGACCGACTTGGCTTAATCCAATTTTATTTACTGTATTGAATCCGTGTACGCTCTTTATAGTAAATATAATTAAATAAGAACATGTCGAATGACTCGTTTCAGTACAGTCTTTCGGCGACGCGTTCAGGAAGGCATCTAGGATGGTGAAATGCCTCTTAACAGTATTGTATACATACGCTGTCGTCCTTAATTTCAATTGATTACATATATATGTAATTGTCGGCAACATATTAATCCTACAGTTACCACTTGTGTTGTGTTTCTTCGCTTGAATATTTTTATGAATGTACTACAATTGATGTCTTTAATGTAAAACAAATGAATGTGGTATCACACTGTGTACGATGTTATAATCTAGCTTCTAGCCGTTGGTAGTCTAATTTTTAGCTTTTCAATTGTGCAGAATCAATGTATTTATTTTAATTGTAATAGATAATTTGCGTATACTTACCAAAAATATGTTACAGTGAAAAATTTTAATAAGGTCACTTATTGATTTGTCTACAGATAGTTTAACTAATTTAACAGTCGCCGCCTACTGTGTGCTGCAGTGTGTATGTAAAGACAGACTGGTATAGCAAATTATACTAATGTTATAAAAAGATAGTTTCAATTTAATTTGTACCTAGAGGGTAAGCTCCGGAGTATTCTTTCATTATTATAAAGGTACATTTTTAAGTTGAACGTAATGTTTAATATTCTATCAGCCAGTATGTTTATATTTACTTAAGTAAATTAATTTTGTGTACTGTTACTATGATATGCTTGTTTTTTTAATGTTATCATTATGTGGAAATAAATTTTGCTCAAACCGGGTGAAAGTCGGGACAGGCCACTAGTTATATCGTATTATATTATAATTTCTGTATTCGGTGTATAGGTTTATTTTGTGTATTGTTACTATGAGAGGTATTTGGTTCATGTTATGATTCTGTTGATATAAATGTTGCTCAACCTGGGTGAAGTAGGGAGAGGCCACTAGAAATATCGTATTAAAGGTTAGTCTTTATAACTTTATCATTAGCTGCCTAAACACGTACGCTCTTTCACGCGGCAGTCGTGTAAAGGCACCTATTATTTATTAAATTTAAATGAAAAGTTGTACTTGTATATTAAGGAATATTGATTGTACCGGGGTAGACTTTCTGTAGTCTGCGTCATCACATCTGTCTCACCTATTTAAGTTAAGCTTAGTAACTTGTTTCAGTTTGTAGAGTGAGTTATGCTAGTGAAATTACAGGATGCCTATTCATCCGAAATGGCAGTATATGAGCGGTACCATGGATGTACCATGATAACGTGATGTACGTGATACTGTTAGCTATTTGCTATTCCAATTAGATAAATATATATACAATGACACAACACAGTCGGCGGCTGACTTAATAATTTTGGTGAGAGTGTTAGTTGAATTATTCTATGTTTGAAAGTTGGAACTGACTTATTAATGTTATTATATGTTATTCAAACGGCGATGGAAGTGAAGATGGCCTGAGCTGAGAAATACGATTGTGATTAGATAAATGATATAACTTTAGTCTGGGGCTCGGACTAAAGTCGTATCCATCAGGCAGTAGTAGGCCTTCAGCGGCTCCAGTCCTCTTGCGGATTTGGAGTGCCGTCTTCACTCGCTCTCATGTCGCCCGCTAAAGCTGTAAAGATTAGCTGTAGCAATTAGCTTAATTTATTTTAAAAAAAACATCAATAAAACCTCAACTTTTCTTGTGATATAATTAATCCTTTGGGTTTGTCTAAAAACTAAAACTAAACTGATTTAGTTTTTAGACACTAGGAGCGCTTAAGCGTACAAATAATTTTATATATTTTTATTTTAATAAGTCTGTTCCATGTATGTTTTTATATTAAGTTGTTTATTAAAATCAGCTGCATTGTCTCAATGATCTGTAAGGCCACAAATACCAGGATACTAGATTTAAATAGATACCGTATCAAACAAGCTACCGAATAGTCTTTTTGGATCACGTCTTATTTTCCACTCGTAATTAACTGTATTCCGTGGTAAAAATCCCTTCCACCAATTTCATTCGCATTTCTTTAAGTCTATGATACCCTGATTACCGGATTACAAAATCCATTTTATATTTTCTGTTGTGTTAATTGCGGTATCTATATAAATCTATATCCTGGTTTATCTATACATTTATGCTATATAGATGCTGTAAACCCCGTAATGGTTACACCAAAGACGATTAGGCTATGTAGCGATGTATTTAATATTTTTGTATATTTAGTTGGGCTGTGAGAACGCTTGTGCTACAAGCCACACGTCTTATAATTTTACACTGTAGACAAACGTGGCCTAATCCGGCTGTATGTAATGTTGTTTTTAATTAAAGTTTATGGATTACACTTTTTTTTATTATTCCCAACACCATTTTTTACTAATTATTAACTATATCTTGTGAATCTGTTCGAATCGAAAATTTGTATGTCTGTTGTTCCATTATGCTATGTTTTTTTTTCGGACTACTCTAATGCTGTTGGCCGCAGCTGGCCGAACAGCTTCACCGGACGTTAGGGGGCGAGTGCAGATGGCACTCCAAACCTGCGGAAGGACTTATGAAGCGGCTGAAGGCCAACTCCCGCCTGACGGATACGACTTTAGTCTGAGGGCACCACTAGAGGTGCGAACCTCGGCTCAGGCCGTGGTAACATCGGTCCCCGTTTATGCTTGTAAGCATAATGGAATAACGAAATTTTCGTATTTATATTATTAGTACTAAATGAGGAGAGAACATGTTCAAAATATAATAAAATAAATCGCTATAAACGATCTTTGTCGAAGGTACGACATAAATTGTATTTTTCACGTATTTTTTTTAATGTAACTCAAATGACCTGCACGTTGATGGCCCACATTACAATATTCTCAATTTGGTGGTCTTATTTTTTTGTAGGTAATAAAAAGGAACGAAATATTCGGAGAATGAAGATTTATTGAAGTATCTTAAAAAGTAAAGAAAAAATTGTACAACTATAATTAGAAGCTTAAATACTAATTTAGAATATCTTGATTAGCCAGTTACAACAATATTAGATTATACAAATTACATTCGTAACTACATAATAAGATTATATAATAGGTTATAATAATTCTATATTAACCATAAGTTCATAGGATATGTATTGTCGATGAGCTGAAGTAGAATGTAATTAGTAGAAAGAGGAATATACATACCACTAAAAACATTGCCTGTACCTTAATCTATCTATTAAAAGAAGTTTATAAATACTAATTTAGGAATACATTATTTTTATTCTTTTTTTTTTAAATAATAAAACAGCTTAGGTAAATCGAACAAATCTATTGATAACAAGTGCCTATTGCACGCTTCAGTAAAACCAGGAAGTTACATGTCGCTGATCTCATGAATGAATGAATGAATGAATTCGACAGGTTGACAGGTTAGTTTGTCTTGTCTTGTGTTTGGAAGTCATTCATAAATAACGACATCAATTCCAGTAATCCCCACACATGTCCAATGTTAAAAATTCGACTACTAATAGATACCTACATACTAAAATTGAAACAATATCCCAAAATTGGGGTCTATATTTTTACACGAATTTTGTAATTTCTCACACCTTGTTATACAATGTCATGCTTTGTCTATTCCCCCTTATTTACCCCGCCCTCCCCGTGAACTTTTCTACTAGTGCTATGTATGTTGACTAAAGAGGTATGGTTTATTCTACGTGGTGAGACATTGGCCACTGCTTCTTATAACTCGTCAGACGTACTACTAGAGTCGCTATCGAGTAATTTCCCATACACCGCCGGTACATAGTCGTAATGGTCAGGCCCGAGGTCATCGTATATGGATTTCTTCATTGTAACCCAATCGATTCTTGCCTCGTCTGAGAACAACCTGCCAACAATATACAAATGCTGTTGGCTGTAGCTGATCTTTACAGCTTCAGCATATGAAAATTGAGGATGTGAAAAGATACCTACTTCAAAGTCATCGGAAACACTTATGGAGAATCAAAAAACGATCTTTTGCCTAATGGATACAAATATTTTGTACATAGTATGTAGGAGTAAAGATATGTACCTAATGGGTAACAAAATTTGAACGAAATAATAATACATTTTTAAAGAGCATTTTTAGATAAACTTAAAACAAAAATTGTAATTGTATGTAATTATCTATAAAAACGTGTATTTATGTGGATAGATGTTTATGGGTAGAAAAGAATTTAAAAAAAAAACAGCGATATCTTGCCAACAAACTGTTCTACAGTCAATGTATAAAAACAACTGTACAATTAAATCTTTATTAAATAAATGAAAAAAAAAAAAATCTTTTATTCCTTACAATGACGAATATTTTTCTACATAGATTTATATATTGATTATGATATAATGTTAAAGAACTGTAAAGTAGTAAGTACTATATATACTATAGTATAGGGTACAGTATTAACATGTAAGGACCAAATAGACAAGTTCAAAACCCACTGTGTATACCACATACGTCTTGCAGTGGTGAACCAGACAATATAGTACCTACTACTGTAATATAGCACATAGTCTAATAAAATTTTAATTTAAACCATGATTGGCTAGTTTTGGCGCAATATATAAAAATAAAGTCTGCAAATACGTGAAAATAATATTCAGAAAGAAATTTTGATTTAAGTTGACCGGAAAGGGATGAAAAAATAAAAAAAGGGTTGGAAAACGCCAGTTTTCAAAATAACTCGATAATGACAAGAAATACGAATAATGCTTTAAATAAAAGTTGTAGAGAAAAAAATTCTCACAACACAGGTTTCTGCATAAAACAGGTATTCTTCATTTTTTTATTATCCACAAAAAAAAAAGACTAAGCTAGTGCAGCATTTCACATCAACAGCAGACTTTACAAAAGTCATCTTCATGAATATCTATCTCTTTAACACCTATTATAGGCACTAAGCAGCTTACATATGGTTATACATATATTTCGGTTGAAGATTGAAATAAGGCATTGAAAACAGGATAAGAGCGACAATGAAGTCGAAGTCCTCTGGAAAGTAACACATGAGTAATCTCACGAGCGTCTTATAACGTGACGTCCTGTAGTGCTGTTCATGTACCTACTTACCATCAGATAGGCTGTCAGCCCGTTTGCCACTTACGTAAAAAACATATATAAGCGAATATTCTGAAAATATGTTTTCCATAACAAATAGTCACTGAATTAATCTGGGGACAGTCAGTAATGGGAACTTCATTAGTAGTAATCCCCTCCCTCATATCAGGGGGTTTAAACCCGTAGTGGACGTTTCATAATAGGATTCATTTCATAAAAGCCCCTGAGCTTAACATGTCTATTGCACTGACAGAGTAATATTATCGAACCAGAGCAAATTATAAAAACAATTTGCAGATTTCATCGACAGTATCGCAGCTACAAAGTTTAATATAATTACTGCATTTCCTGGTTCCGACAACTCAATTAAAAGTGTAGTTTCCACGGATATAAATCCATACTAACAAAAAGCTGTCTGTTTGTAACTTTGTGGTAATGAAATTGTTGAACATCTTAATTAATTTTATTTACTTACTTAACATACGTATATAGAATCTTATCTGAAGTTAGATTGTAATACAAACAATTATATAGAATATGTTTTAAAACAAAAAATGAGACGAAGATAGTTAACATAATTAATTTATAAATAGTATATTAGCAATCACTTAATACTTTCTAACGTTTTAATATAAAAAGGCAACAAACAGATATATACCATAGATAAAACAGAGACACTATCGCATTTATAACATTAGTACTATTTTTTAAAAGTGACCAAATTATTGTTTATATAATTTAAAAAAATATATATTACACAAATCAGTTATGTTATATTAATTTTGATGTGTTGACATTTCCATGCGTGTGATGACTGTTTGTAGCCTCCCCCGTGCCTGTAGATAAGATAACGGGCTATGCCTTTCTTCTTTTAATCTTTTACTTTTATAAAACACAAGTCAAACGGAAAAGCAAAGAAGGGCGGTTCACATAAGCTTTCAAATAGCCCGGTATAATACGTGGGCAGTGATTATTCTCTCTTTGTATAAACTTCAATTATAGCAATGTCAGTACCATGCATTTTGCATTTTTCCATTCGACGTTGCTAATAGAATGTTCCTTTGTTGACAGGCCCATGTCGTGTTGCTAGAATGGGGTGGTAAATAACGTATTGTGCAGCCTCAAGATAATTAAAATCGATTGTATATTTCTTCCGTTTGTTCTCGTACATTTATAAAAGAGACAATATAAGTAAGAGGTATAGGGAATAGTACATCATGTCATCACGTGATATCCGTAATCACAATTAGGCGTTGCTATTTTTTATGACAGAGATGTAAGAATGTGGGTCAACGGCGGGCCTAAAACGATCGAAAAATTTGAATGCATTACGCGAGCGATGGCCATTACGAGACGCGGACATTTACTTATATATTTATGCTACGAGTATAACCTTTAATTAGGCTTTTAACACGTTGAAGACCGCATTGAAAAATATTTCTCAAATAGGGACCGGTTAGTTTTATTTTGTTAATTACGAATAATGTTTTTACAGTTGCAGGTTCGAATCCATGCGCTGTATAAACAATTGTATTAATAAGCATGATTGTTTGTATCGCTCTGTGTTATGTACGTATGTATTTAAAAAACCTGTATCCATGTGTTTATATCGGTTGTCTAGTACCTATAACACAACTTCTGCTTAGTTTGGTACTAGATGGTGCTGTATAATGTTCTGAAATATTATTATTATACTGCTATATCCCTAGATACAAACGGGATCATCTTAATATAAGTAATTAGTGTATATGAAACGAATGCGTTTGTGCTCTGAGTCTCTATCAATATAATGTTCACCACCATGAAGGAAGACTACAGGCCGATAGACGTATTAACGCTGCAATTAGTATTGTGAGATGTCCGAAGCGAATTTTATCATAATGCTAATTGCCCGTTGTCATTACGATAAAATTACCTATCTTTAATTGTGTTGTGTAGACACAATTAAAGATAGGTAATTTTATTGAACATCTTATTGGGTTCCTGAATGTTTAAAAAAATACAGACGGTATTCCGAAAGAACTACCTCTCCCTGTTCCGCCAGTACCTAATAAAAGCAGGCTACTTCGCGGTAGATATAGATGAGATAGAGGTACCCACTACCCACGCAACTACTAATGCTCTCGCTGTCACATCAAATAGGATGAGTGAGATGAGACTGTGAGTAGGCGCTGGGGTCAATGCTGCCAACGAGGGTGGTAATTAGGCGTAATAGAACAATAATAATAGTATATAATAAAATTAAAAGTCGTACCAATTTTTTTAAAGGGTTGTTTGGGCTATTGTCTGTGCTTGGACCTGTATATCTATTATCAGGGTCGTCAGGGACAAGAATTGAGGAATATTCTTAGGAGCAATGGTTTTTATCTCCTCTGGATAAATTGTAAACATTCCAGAGGAGATAATACGTTTATCCATATGCGTTACCTCTAGATTTTGGCAAAATATGGAGATTTTGTCGTAACAAACTATATGTATTGTAGAAGCACTTACCTGCTCACGCAGGTCATGAAGTTCTTCAAGTATCGACTGGAAAACAAATGCACTATATTGCTATATCCAGTACAGTTGCTCCATTGTGCGTCGGGGGCCATCAACATAGCCACTGCTCTACCGCGACATATCAGCGGTGCTCCATACATTCCCTGATTAAATCAATTTCACAAGTTTAACAAAATTAACACCGAATATATCTTTGCTTTTCGCTAATAATCCGACAGAGGAGTATGAAATTCAGTGTATATTTAGTTCATATAGAGGAAGGAGTGCAGTATACTAATATTTCTTTTTAATTATGCTTAAAAAATACTTTAAACCATTAGAAAAAAATATTACCCTCTACCATGTATTTACTCTTTTCTTTATTGTTAGTCTGTAGTCAAAATGAGAATAGTTTAATATTATTCACCTATAGACTTATATATAACCTATAGACTTAGATATACATATATACAGTAAAGTTGTGTATCAGTAATCTAAAGTAGAAACTTAATAAGGTTTAAACTTATAATTTAAATTAAGTATGTTCAAATTACGACCGATTTCTAATATCGAGTTAATTATTAACTGACGTGACTGTGTACCAACACTACCAAGCAACATGAAAAACAAAAACAAAAAAGTAAAGGATTGATTTAATTTTTTTTAGATGAAAATATGTAGGCAGTGTTGAAAATATTTTATTGAGTTAGATGTTATTTTGTACAAGTGGTTGTTTGGACGTTTACTAGTTGAGTCTAAACTCCGAGCAGCCGGCAAGTGTAAGCTCTATTAATTTCCTGATGATACCTCCTCCAGAGGCAAAACACGTGACGCAATATTGGTGTAGAATATTCAATAACAGTCGGAAATTGAATATTAATAGCATAGGATGTAACGCTTCTAATAGTGTTGGTCACGTTTTCGCACTGAAAGCTTGTAGATCATATAACAAAATACTATAAATTCATTAATTACGTAGAAAACACACACGAATGACACTAATAATAAATATGAATATCGAATCTATGACAACGCAATAAAGGCAGTATGCTAAACCACTAGACCATAGAGGCCGTCAATTTAATATAGGTAATTATATTATCTGTGATATAGGTATTGTTGTATTTATAAAAATTACAATTTTTACGGAATAACAATAATCGAGTCTGACAATCCACAAAATGAACAACAATCAATGGGAAAAATATAAAATTTAGTTCACGTAAAATTAAAAAATCTCATATATAGACAAATTGATTGTCTCTACAAACTACTTGATACCACGGCTATAGTTGTTAATTTCAATTAACTTTCTGTAGATCACAATTTCGAACAATGATGAAGATATCGTCGTCTCAAAATTAAAAAATCTCATAATCTCTTCGTCAGATCCGACTCTTCGTACGAATTTTCCCGTATAGTATGCATCCCCGCGGTTTAAAATGTAGGCTATTTTATATCCCTAGGTGATGAGAGGGGCCCCATTGCAGAAATAATGTATATGAACAACAACGTTGGCCCGGCCAAGCAATCAGCTATTAGATACTAGATATGTATAATTTCAAGTAAGCAAAATATGTTTCTGGACACTCGTATTTTCATACTTATCTACGTAGATTATGGTGGTGCAGATAATTTAATATTTTAGTAAATCTATAAGCAAGACTACGCAAAATCATTCGAGTGTTTCTCATCACAGAAATGTTTAGTAAAACGGAAAGTTAACTTTTTAAATGAAACCAGAATTAAAATATTTTTTTATCCAATGTTAAACAGACTATTACAGTCTGTTAAAATTCTATGTCCGTAAATTTCTATACCGCCGTGTATATTGCCATTGATGCCATCTAGTGCTACTAGTTATGAACTATTTTGCTATTTTGTAGGCTAAGTAAATGCTTAAAGATGCTTATTTCAATTGTTGTTTAAAGTATTGAACGTTACGTACTAGTGGTCGCTCAGTGGTCGAAATTAAATTAAACCATTGACCATAATTCATTTAAACATTATGTTTGAACGATATTACGTTTCTATTATTGCACTACTTCGTACATATAAATGCCAAATTTAATTAGAGGGGTTCAATTACTTTATTGTATAAAGTAAGCACAATATAGTAGCACTTTAAATAGAATGCATTATTGAAATATCATGTGCATAACTAGAGGAAATATATAATAATATATGTGTTTATCTTCAAACTGACTGAAAAGTTTAAGACTAGTATGGAAGATGTACGTCAGCGTTCATAAGTAAAAAATCCATTTATATATTCCTGTTGATAATAAATTACTTACTATTAATATTAATTTAGTAATATTTGTAAAGTTTTAATCTTGATTATGTTTTCCATGAAATAACCAGAATTACACGTAGAATAACATTGTGTATTGGCAATATATATTAATTATTTTTTAAAAATTTTATATTTTAAATAAGGCTATTATAAAAGCTATTACCGTCTTATCTATGTGGTCATAGTTTATTATTTGCATGTAATCAAAACAATAAGAATTCAATTCAATCAATCGATAATTTTAGGATTAGACTAAATGAAAGCCTGCCCTTTGTCATAAATATGCCAATATTAATCGACATATATTTGCTTATTGAAAAAAAAAATTTACATAATGTCACAATAAAAAAAATATCCACAACCCTATACGGTCTACATTTGGCATTCGTAAAAGTAGGCATAATATGTATTAGCTTAGTATGTTATTTACGCGATTATATTATGGACGAGTATGTGAAAAAAACCAAAGTTATTCAAAAGATTGCGTGAAATAAAAACTACGTGGAATATAATAAATACCTACGTAAGCAGGTAACACTAAGCTTCAACAGTTAGAATAGAACTTAAAAACGGAAAACGTCATTCTTCTAGTCTAGAACTACATTCAAAACTGACGATAGATTTGATTTATCGTATGTGTTTCAAACACATACGATAAATAACCTACATGAATAAAGTTATTTTGATTCGATCTGATTTGACTAAGATGTTCTGCCTCTTATGTAATGTAATTTCCCTGCCTTTAACCAAAATACAGATAAAAAATCTTGCTACTTCCTCGCTGAAACAGGTAGAGATATATCTTTGGGTCTCTCACCCAGGCAGTCATTTTTTTACAAAATCTACTTCGATATTTTTTTTTATATTTGAAATATCTTCTAAACTATGAATGGTATAAGTATTTTTGTTATTACATTTTGAGACCCATTAGCTAACGACATCAACACCGAAAAGGTCTTGAGGGGCTGTAGTTTTGATGTCACCCTACCTGTATTTGTATCGAGTAAAATTAATATATATAAAAACTTCAGTATCTATGTTTAATATTAAAATAAAAAAGACATAACAAGATAACTAAACAAACAAATAATTGGAATAAGGAAGATAAATTCTAAATACAAAATATAAACCGAAGTAAGCACAATAAAAACGTACCTTTAGGTACTACGGACCTAATTAAAAATGTATCATATAAAAAAGTTTGAGGGTGGCGAGGCAGTAAAGGGGGAGGGTGGCCTACGATGGAGGCTCTCAGAGTAACCATGAGAAAATAGCTCTCGAAATGTCAAAAGTGAAAATGGACTATGCATTTTTCAAAAGCGGTAAGTTAAATAAACTAAAAAATTTGACACACCTGTATTTGAGCAACGTTGCAATAAAAACAAAGTTCGTTGAAGCCCGTTTTTATAAAGTGGAACCTAGTATTTGAAACGTGTAAACTTTATTTTAACGAACAGTTTGTACGTCAAAAATAATAAAAGACTAGAAAGTTGGTATGTTGTTCCGTAAAATATTTTTTCATAGAACACCTATGCACACAGAAAGTTCGTTTGAATTTATTTTCTAACTAGTAGACATAAACGGCTTTTGAGATTATTTTTGTATGATGCTTCCGAGATGAGATTGTATATGTCCGAGAGGTTATTTTTTTTGTTTGAGCTGCTTAGTCACCCTTGTTACGCGGTCCTTGACCTCGGTGAGTACTAAATCAATCAAATAAATGATGATTGATGCGTGACTTTCGGACGCTGTGCCGTGTTCTACACTTTACTTTGAAGGTCGCACGTGACTGCGCGCTGCAAGTCTAATATTCTTGCATGCTCTTAAACATTCTATTGTTATTTTGTTTCTCACTTTGTTTTTTTAAATCAGGACACACAAAGGTGTGCAACTTACTTTTTACAATAATTTTGCGGGTTCAGGTAAAATGGGTACCTTCATCAAATTAAATTAAGACCCGTACAGCAGTATGGTCGTAAAAAGGTTACCTTTTCTCGACAAACAGATATAATAACAGACGTACTTTTGTATATTAGTGTGGATTCACATTTACATTCGGTATTTAGGTTTAAGTTTAATTTAATTAATGTATCGATTTCTTCGGTACATTTTATGCCTAAAATGTCCCGAAGAGCTAAGAAATGTAAATGTAAACATAATTTAAAAAGAACAACGAATTTATTTACTAACATTTCACATCTAAATATATGGGGCGCTATTTTTATTTGATTTTATGCACACGTACTCTCATATTCTAAAACTCTATTTCAACTATTGAAATATATTGGACTTTTTATTATTAACACGAATAACAGTGGGCTCAAATAAATTAAATTGAGTTTGTCGAGGTTTTACTTTTTATAAAGTTTTATTTCTACTTTTTTTTAAAACAGGACCAAAGTATTTATCAAAGGAAAAGTTTGTACAAAGCTGTATGCATCGATACATTTGTTGCACGTATTTTTACTGTCAAGCAGTGCGCTTAGAAAGTTGTTCTATTCTTTTTTCGAGGGGTTAACGGGAGATTTTGTACCTCCACATGACAGCCCGGATGCGCTACTGTTTACGCTCGGGGCATCGGGGGTTAAAGCTGGATAGGGAGAAGGTGGTCCGAGGATGGGGGACGGGTAGGATTAATAAATGACTAGAAATAAGTTAGGTATGTGAGAGGCATCGTTAGGAATTCATAAGCATATCACCTCTGTCCACGGGAACGGCTACTTACGTGGAGTACAGCATACCTGTATCAGCGTATTCTGTCATGTATGTGTGCTGCTCATATCTATAGATTACGACCTTACGAACAACTGTTCAATTATACTAGAATAATATAAGAAAAGATTTCATATTTAAGAAGAAAATGTGACTTGACGACCCAAAATTTGACAAGACTTTCTCATTTCAAGTCGCGCATATTCTCAATTATATCTACTTCTAACTATAATATATGCATTTAAAATTGAAGTATATGAATATAATAATAGAATATATTATATATATTTTTGAAAATTTACTATATTAGCTATAGAAGATTTGAGGCTCTTGTTACAGACATTTTTACGCTTAAAACGAGGCTTAACAACTTGATAGAATTTAGTAATAATAGTGTTATAAAGATTATTGAATATAAAACAGAATTTGGATTTTTTTAATGTCTAGTTATTTATAATGCCTGTGTCAATAATATTTTCGAGACCCACAGAAGGACTAAATAATGTCAGTGAAATCATATCTTGATGCATTCTCGAAGTATTAACTTTAATTAAGTATCGCTTCGAGGTCGATCTCTCGAGGTACGTTACTACTATATTATTTAAGCTTGTTAGTTATGGCGTCTATTGACTTAAGTCAATAGACTCCACCACTAACAAGCTGCCTCCCCTCGCCCCACTGCAATATTTATGTTTACAGCTTTTATAATAGATACAGTTATCTGTAATAGGCTATCTACAACAGTGGAGGTCATACAAATCACAAAGAATGCTGTCTTATTATATTTTATATGAAGAGGTAAAATATGCTACCGAGACGAGAGACGAGGACTTGTTTCCTGTGATATGTATCACAGGAAAACACCATCCAGTGTAGGTCTCATTTTTCTACAAATTTTACTCAAAGTAGCATACTTTGATATTGTAATTTACAAGAATAAAAATATCTAATCTTTATGTCTAAAATTATAAACTATTACAATTGCTGCTTATAATAAAATTTTGAAGTAATAATCCAGACAAAATCGTCTATAACTCATAGGGGCAGTGGGTCCACCCTCTATATTATTCTGTTTTTTAATGTTTATGTAAAAAAAGTTATTCTAATCTAAGTACGTATATAAAAGTACTCACATGACATGGCTGAGCTATCCTGTCGGGCTGTAAAAATATTACTTTTAGACATGGTATAAAATACAGCCGAATTAATTACCGTTTTTTGAAGACGGTTTATAAGAAGTAATTTTTCTTACTATTCCAAATATTGTCATATATTCGAGTTCAAGGAATATGCAGGGTATGTTTATATTGGGTAATAAATATGCATATGTTTAAATTATCCTATACCTTCATCAAAACTAACGAGATTTTAACTATTCTGCAGTCAATTTCTGTTATAGTTTTTGGTGGAAAATATGTAAGTGAGATTGTTATTTTTGTTTTACTTGTTATCGGTTCAGTTGTCAAAATTTGGCATGGCATATAGTTTTTTGAAATGAAGAAAAATGGTTGATCATTATTCCTACCAAGAGATAATGTTTCCTGATACTTCAACTCAAGAGTTACTTTCATTACAACATCATAATTATAATCAGGACAGAGAGACTCAAGGAAGTTTTAATAAGAATTTTCTTACATCTCTAACGCAAATGCTCCCTCCCTTGTCGAGGAAGCCGAAGAAACCAATGTTACTGAGCGCATTCTGAAACTTGATAGATAATGCTTCGCACCATACATTCTTTTTGACTATATTTAAAAACTGCGCTCGCACATTTCTCTGTAGCAAAAATCTATGGATCGGATAAATTTTATCCTGAAACAGAAAAGTAGTTCATTAGACAGGATGTATAAATATAAATATATTAGGATTAACTATATCTCTACTTATATCATATGTAGGATATTTCAGTATTATTAACTACTTAACAATCAAGCTCTGTTTAAACTCTTCATTTTTTATATAATTGGAATGACAAATAAACTGACGGGCGGTACAATGAAATCAGTAGACAAACCTAAGAAACAAATGTGTATAAAAACTATAACATATTCACCAGATGTTATTTTTTTTATAAGCCGTTTCCATGTGCGACAACATTATTCATGGAATTCGAGCTAACTGTTAAAATGTTTTTGTTGCCTCCCCGACGAATGCATATGCTTCGCTAATTGCTTTTGTATTAATGAACACACCACAAAGGCTAGCTGTTTATGACTACCTACCAGTTGCATGTCATTTGTTTAAAAGCATTTTAAACTACATCGCGAGTAAATGGCATGGAATAGTTCATATGTTATTGTTGTTTCTTATTATTTATTTTTATAACGTTTTCTATTGTTATTTTTTGTATGTTATCCTTTTGTTAATGTCTTTATTACTGTTAAATGTAGAATCAGTATCAAGGCGTAAGGCTTTGTTATAGGTTGCCGACGTGGCAACCCAACATTTATATTTACTGTTTATTTGAATCCAACGTGTTAGCGAAGGGGCTCTGGGATAAAGCTTTTATATTGGTGTTTCCCTCAATAGAAATTAAAAAATATACAATAGATTGACTGAAAGTTTTTGGAATCGGATAAATTTGGTCTTTGGTCTCAGTTGTGGTAATAAAGAATAACTGGTAACCTACCTAGTTAATTCTTGGTGCATTTTATTACCTGGCCTTATGTTAATTACCTTCAACTAGTGCATAGCGGGGTGCAAAATTTCATTATCATCTATTAAATAAAAATAATACCGTATCTAAAACTATCTGTATTCGATGTGCAATGTAAATACAAGGAGGTTGCATGAATTTCTGATGCAAGGACTCAAAATATACCGTGTATGCAGTACACAAAGGTACACTCAGTAACTCTGTCAAAGCAGAGATTACATAAGTTTACTTGCACAGGTAAGATACCTGTATATAATATCAAAGGAGCCATCGGAAAATGCAACGTTTACCGTATTCCGTCAAAGGGGTTTATTTGCTACGGTAAATACACCACAGTGCATACCTTTATTACGTAATATATCTTATTTATCAGGGTTGTCTCATATATAATAAAATTTTACCTGAGGTATTTTGAGGTAGACTGTAAAAAATCGTATGCGTCAGTAAATCAGTCTTAAATATTTTGACTACCAATCAGTTTGCGTTTTAAGCTGTATTTGGTTGTAGAGAGCCATTCGACAATAAAATTACAGGAAATCATAAAATTAGTCTTCTTCTTCGAGCATTCTGGTGAGTTGTGGTTCTAATTGACTCTGTTTTTTAATATGTGTAAATTATTTCCTGTTTTTTTTATGTCATTATTTTGTCAAAACGAGTCAATAAAATTATATTCTATACTTGCCTTTGCCATTATATTTAAATAAAAACAAAGAAAAAAATGTATTAATAGATACATATTTTTACATATGCTATATTGTAATTGTAATAAAACAATTGCATAATATCATTTGTCTGCACATATTCATTTTAAATGTGCAAGTCCGCTACTTCTAACAAAATGGTGTGGTTTTCCGTGCAAGCTCTTCTTTTTTAGAACAATTACAGGTCGTTACATAGATTCAATTTTGGTTTCAGTCGCACAAGGGCTGTGCCAACTTTTATAAAACGTAGTGTTAATTGCTCTGTGACATTTTCCGGATTTAATAATTATGATCTATTCTTGTAAAGCGGATTTAATTTACGCAAATTTTTACTTTTAACTGACCATTCTTAAAATTTTATTACTTTTGATAAATCTATTAATAAATACAATATACATAACCAAACATAATAGAGACTGCATCCTATAATTTTTATAGTTATAATTCTGTAGAAATGTACCGACCCCTCAAGCCAGGACAGATTGTTCTGGTGTCCTAAAACAAGTAGATCTGAACCCATATTATGGACAATAGTGGATGTAAAATAAATATAAGAATTTACTAAAAAATTATTTGTATTTTTCCTATTACTATAACACAATATTAGGTTCAATTTTAAATCCAATATATAAATTGTTTCGTGTAACGCATCTCAATTACTTCATTACTTTTCCCTTGATACATATTTCAGAAGGGGCCCATAAAGCTAAGGACTGCGTGGGAGTATCTGATATATCAATATATCATTTAACGACCGTTTAACTACCGACCTTTTTCCTGAATGTAATGTCCCTCTGCCTTTTTTTTTATGATACACTGATTATGTTAAGACGTTAAATAAACTAGCTACTTTAGTTGAGAAGAACTGCTAAGAAACGTACTAAATTAGTAGTAAATTTTTAATTATTCTTTAAATTAAGTAATATAATATTTCTTAAGACTTTAAATAACATATATTTTTAATATAACCACAGATAACATAATATTATAACCAAAATGCCTGAACTTATTTGAATTTATTCAATTTATATCATGGAAATACATTTTAGCAAATATCTATTTCCATAATAGACCTATTCACTTTGTGTAAACGATATTTGGGAACTGCAAGTTTATATACTACGGTTGTACGCTCAATTGTTTTTGACGTTTTCACATTAGTAACAAATCGAGGAAACAATGAAGTTATTAAATTAGATTCTATTAATCTGAACATAATTGTTCACACACAAATAGAGCGCTTATATTGAAATATTGTTTGACATTATCTGACAATTATCCGAAACCATTGAACGAACTTTAATAATCCTGAATTGATATGTAAATGTAGTGCTCTTTATGAAAATGTTAATTATTTAAATTAATTAACGTAATGGAGTAACACTTGTATTATAATATAGTGAATTACCGTTGAGAATTTGTTTTTGATATTATAGTATAAAGGTATATTGAAATTTTAAAATAAAATTGTTTTCTTGTATTATGTTGTTCGTTTTTAGTGGTATATTTATGTAGAACTTAAAGTTTTACTTCTAGTTCTAGTACTATATTATAACTAATACTAAAACACTGCGTTTTTGTGTTAGTTATAATAGGAGTACTATTTCAGAATATTGTTTTATTTTTGTGTCTTCACTATCCATCGGGAAAGAGTTTTAATTAATCGGGTTGTTAGGAAAAAATGCGGTATGAAGCGCTATAAGCACTGGTTTCTGCTCGTGAAACTGTAAAAACTTTCTATAGTATATTAAGAGTCAAAGAGAAAAGTTTCTTTTTTAAGACTGCAGTTGCGAATTTTCGTGAAAGCCAACTAAAGCAAAGAAACCCCCACTTGCAAAAGTATTCTACCATCTTTCCAAAAAGTGTACATTAAGTCCTTTTGATAAAATCAGCAGAGTATTTTGCAATATATACTTTTACTATATAATAATATATTTATGTAACCAATTTTTCCGATAAAAATAAAAAATATTATTGTAATAAGTATCACTGTACAGAGTTTTAAAATAAAATAATATTACAGGAAATATTTTTTTGCCATATGGCCGTGATAGATCGATATCGTCAGTCATTCCTCTTCATAAAATATCTTTTAGCTATAAGAATTAAAAAGAGTAACGAGTACAGATTAGTCAATACCATTCCATTTTATTGCCCGACCAAAATTTTATCTCTGTCTTTCAGTACAGTTATAATACAATTTTATGTACGAGTAAAGAGCACAACCGTATTACCCCTCTGTAAAAGAAATGCCATCCGGGCATAATGCATTCCTCTTGAAGAGTTGGTACTACCTCTCCCTTGTAATCAATGTCCAAAGGCCGGAGAGGAATTTCAGCTAACACATCAGGCACTTTGTGTTTCAATAATAAGATCGCAACTGATTTCTGCATTAGATAGCCTCTGTTTCCAGTTACGTTGGTAACTAAAAAGGAATTAATTACGAATATTAAGTTTCGTCGAATATTTACGTGTGATTTGTGCTTGTGTGGACCATTCACATAACATCATCTAGCCCCAATCTAAGCAGAACATTGTTATGGGTACTAGACTTACTTTATTCATTCATAATTTAAGAGATACGTACTTGTGGGTGGAGCATGATGAAAATGCAAAGTTGCAAGAAACTTTGCATTTTCATCATGCTCTTTAAATGTTGATATGATACAACTCTCAGGATACTAGACAACTGATACAAATACTTCAATATTTTTAATACATAGAAAATACGAAACCGATAAAAATAATAATACTCATAAATACAAATGTTTGCACCGTGCTTGGAATCAAAGCTGCGACCATTGGTAAAAAGTAAAGGTTAAAGGATTTAACAGCTAAACTACCGAGGCCGTATTATATGTATTTATCTGTAAATTATAAATATAGTAGTAGTATGTCAAATTTACAAACATTTATTAGCATTACTTTGATGTAGTACCTCTGGTACAATGTGGTTTACCATTTATAAATTACTTAAATTTTGGGTAACTGTTTATTACACCGCTACTCAAGTTTACTGTAAATGGGCTTTATATTATTAATATCTAACCAATTAATTTAATTATAAAAAAATCGACCTGCGTGTTTATTTTTGATAACTTTAAAGGTTGATTCACTTAATGAGATAACCTTATATACGTATATGTGTGTGTTTTTCTACAATTGATATACAATACCGTAAATAGTATAAAGTTAAATAAAGAATCATCAAAAGCTGTCACAAACTCTAGCCACAGCGGAACAAGGCTGGGTTAAGCTACTTATAAATAAAACAAATCAATACAATACAGACTACAGACTAGTAACGATCCAGAGATACTCGTAGAAACATTTTTATTTCTTTCATATATGCTTTTTCTTTTATTGAACCAGACTTATACAAAATTGTCTGCACGTCTACTATTCTAGACTCTATAAATTTTAAAGGACGAGAGAGCAGAATATTGCACCGTGTAGTCGCAAATATTTCACTGAGGAATCACTATATAAAACACATTTATTATAAACAAAACATAGAAAATTAAAAAAGATTTATAACATTGCTTGCAACATGTATGTTCTATCTCTCTCATTTTCGCCGCTAAGCAGCTTGATTTGTGAACTATGTTTCGGTTTAAAAACTTTCATGTAGCAGTAAACGGTGGCATCATACCTGGTCTTCAGGAAAGCAAACTAATAGGGGTATAATGTCACAAGACTATATAATGCCGTGTTGCTGTTCATATAAACGACGACGACGAAAATCGCTTTATATAATAAGCTGAACTGACATTTTAATTATCATTCTATATAATAGTTATTTAATACAATACAGGCCTGCGAGCCTAATATAGAACTACAGTAAATTAAAAATGTAAATGTGTATCAAATATCATGATAAATGAATGCTTACGTTTTGGTATAAGGATTTTTGTAACCTGCACTCTGATTCCTCTCCGTGGGTGGCGGTACGTAGCTGCTGTGACCACATTGATGGGTCTAGTATCCAGAGTAACTGTGCTCGGGTTTGTCACGCAGACTGCCGCAGTCAGGACAGCAGTCCGTGATACAAGTGTGCCCACGCATAATCCTCTGTATCGAGAGGGAAAATACACCTAAAATACAAAAGTTGAGTTATAAAAAAAATCTAATAACGTTAAGGAAGGGATTGTAACTTTTTAATCGCTTTGAATAGGTTACATTATTAATAAAATACGCAGTTAATAAAAATTTATCAATAATATTATTCATTACGATGAGAAATACATACATACATATAATAAATTGTATATTTAAATAAACAGTTAACGAAAACAAGCACACAAGATTGTAAAAATAAAAATAATGTATCTATATAAAGATCACATATTTAAAAAAATATTGATGAGATCTACTGGTCATCTTATTAGCGATGTATAATTTATTCCTGAGCTAAATAACTTGACTAACTAACACCTGACTATGAAGATACTATGAGAATGAATCTAATAGATAGAGGAAATGAATAATGTATATAAAGAATGAAGCCTGTAGTGATGCTACGCCAGCGAATATCTATAAACAAATTTTAAAGTACATTTTGTATATAACTGAAAGTTAAGGGCTCACTAAGGTAAGTAACAATCTTTGTTATTGTCATGCTTATATGAAAGACAAGATTATAAGAATTATAATAAATTATAGAACATATGTTATAGATTCATTACCTTCTCAAAGAAACCATCGAAATATTTCGTTCTAGAAAAAAAATTAAGTCTCTGTATTTTTCTCACAACCTAACATCTGCAGGACTTCGAGTTAGTTGTTCTCAAAGATTACAGTTTGGATTGGCACTGTTTCCGTATATACCGTAGTCTGTATGGATCAGGGGTGCCAATCTTATGAGAATACGGCACAGGTATGAAATTTTTGATCAAGAGAACGAGGTATGACGGAACATTTTGTATGAAAACTTAACAATAAAATTGCGACCATCTTTCGGTACCTATTTTAGTGACAACGTAACAAGTAAGAATCCTAACTATAATGAGAACAAACATCAAAGTGAAGCCATTTCCTTTTCACATTGAAGTACACATTAACATTATATAATTATTAAGTTAATACATTTCATGTTCACTAAAAGTGATCATGTGTACCTACAGCATAGGCGTAGGAAAAGTCGAAATGGTAAAATACTATTATTTACCATAGAATTCATCGTGTTAAGACCCGATTAACTATATTAACAAGTAGGAGCCACTTAACTAAGCTTTTAACGTCTTCATACGACGTAAAAAGTTTTTAAGTTGACAACCCTGGTATGGATCTAACACCACTCTACTCTTGTGACAGAATTGAAGCGCAAGAGATACCTAGCGGCTATTTATTTATTATTTATTGTCTCTGTAGAATTTCCGGACTCGTCTGGCTAAGAGCTATTATTAATTTACAATTGACGCCATGATGCACCAATACGTACCATTTTAGTTTAACATTTATCTTATATTGTATAAAATACAGTTTTATATTGACTGTCAAGCGATATCCTAAATTATCTACAGCCGTCCACGTTCCACTTAATACATATTAGGTTGTCGCTTTATCTACGTTTACCTGTACTACTGTGCTACTCAAAATGTTTTACTTACCATCGGTTCTCGATCATTTGGTCTACACATATATCTACAGGTTACAATCATTTCGTTTGCAAATATTATAATACTGTAATTGCGAGGCAGACGTAAATTATCGTAATTTGTTCTTTAAAACAAAATAAGTGACATATATTAAATGTAAGTATAGTATTGAGGATAAATCCGTTTACATAATAATATCCAGGAAAACACACTCCCGTAGTGATTGAGTGATAAACTGATAATAGCCGTCTCGTTGTGGTCAAGGTCCCCGCCAAGGCGGCTTACAATACCTGTTAACGGAATTGGTCCTCGACTACAACACAAGTGGTTCAATCCTGTTATTTCTATATTAATCAATTCGAAGTATTTCTCGTGATTCTACGGCTGTTGTACTAACGACAGCTTGTTAGAATACATTGTCATGGACGTAGGTATGAAGAAGGCAACAGGAGTACCTACTGTTATAGACTTATTGCGTTGTACAGTAAGTACTAGGTTCAAATTGGTAACAAGCAACAACTGGATTAGAGCTATGTAGTGAATGGAAAACCACTACGAAAGAACTACTTGTTTTAAATTTATTCCTTATATATTATGATCCTTGTTATGATCATTAGGATATGATCATGAAGATATACCTTCATATCCTAATGATTATTACATAAATATCCAAGCCGATAACAACATATTTTTAAGTGATCTGCAAATATAGATAATCATTACTACAACTAATAGTCTATTAGTTGTAATATTTGCTTAATAATCTATTTATACTTTTCTCATTCCTTGTCATAATGTATTACAGTAATTTATTAATGTGGAATTAAAAAATATATATATTAGCGCAAATTATTGTATTTTACTTGTTTATGGCACTGGATGTAAGTATTTTTGTGTCCAGAATTTTACACGACTTAACGACATATTATACATCGATATATAATATAAGGAAATATCCGTTTCATGTTTTCTGCCGTTTTTCCTATAGAACGAATGTATCTAACGAGGATAACTACGCAGTTATCAAATCAATCAAATTCTAATCAAGTCAATCAACTTATTGTGTTTTTTTACTATATCTATTGAAATATATATTCGTATTGAAATAATTATATAAAATGAATAAATATATAAGTTTTATATGTAACTATAACATAATGTATACATGTAAGTTTGTCTCTTATAAATATGCGTCATTCATTCATATGTACTATACACTAAATATGTTCTATATATTAGTAGTTACATAAATTCATACCTTATTCTGTTAATACTTACAAGAAATGGTAGCGAACCATCTCGTGGTTTGAATGGTTCCCTCCCATAGCTTGTTATGCAGTAGATACCTGATAAAAAAAAAATGTTACATTGAGCGTTCAGGGAGTTTAGGGAGTTTCATAGTTGAGTGGTAAAGGCATTTTGCTTTACATAAACGGATTTGGCTTCTGTTGAAACGGACTGCCTTTGAATTTGTTATAGTTTGTATCTTTAGAGTGAAATAGTGTTATATAAAGGAATCGATTTAGTTAAATATTTTTTAATACTGACTACTAAAACATAGGTATTATCTATACTTAAATAAAAAATCAGGGACCTCATAAATAATTTGTATATAAATGAGAAAATTTTTTTCAAGTCGATTATTGTCAATGCAACATGCTCAATTAAAAAAAAGTGTCAATAAAACCAATCTATTTTATCGTTTCGGTAGATATATGTATGTATGTATAGTACACCGGGTTAGTCGTAGTGTATACTAAGCCAAAACTCACGTGGAGTATTCATGACTGAACTTCGTAGTTCAGTTCAAAAGAAACAAAGTGGACATCTAAATTTTGTATTCTCCATACGAATTTGATTACGTACTCCCGTATCTTTGTACTAAATTTAAAGAAAGTATAATTGTACTGATTGTACTAAACTTTAGGAATTACTTACTTTCAGCTTGTACATATTTTATAAACAACACTGTCTGAAGATAAATAAGAAGTAGGCACTTAGATACATTGTATTGTTAATTTAACTTTCACAAATGTGAATAACAAACAAAAGTGCGCAAAACGCTACTTGAGTGCATAAGTCTCAATCTTTTATTCGTTTAAAAGGTTACGTAAAGATAACCCGACCCGACAGTATGTTCTGGCAGATTAATTTAATTTGCACATCGGAATTGGCACCAATTTAGCACAGACAACGTCACTGAACTTAAATTATCTTAACTCACCGATTCGTAAGTAAGTATAGGTATAATTAACAATTTACGTTTGTTAATAGATGAACAATATAGTTGAAGAGATAGCACAATAATATTATATTAATGTGAGTTAGTAAAGTGGGTTTTCATTTATAACAATTTTATATATTTTGGCTTAGTCAGAATGATGACAAGATTGTAGTATATTTTTTTTATAGGTATATATATTCTTTATTGAACTAAATACAGAAAATAATTACAATAGTAAATATACATTAAGTGATACAAAAGTCGGTCTTATCGCTAATCAATCGCAACCAAACCATCTATAGATATAGGGTGGATAGAGAAAGTAAACTTTATTATAATTTGTAATAAAAATTATGTCAGCTATAAGTGATAGATAGTGAAGTGTCTGATATAAGATAAAAATATAGTGACAAGTGAAATAATAACTAGTGATTGATATTTTTTTAGGAAAATTATCCAAAGTAGAATGAAATTGGTGAAACTTTAATATATTTTCTTGCAAGGCTCTATGATGATTTATTTTATACAAACCCTTATCAGTTGATAAGAGAAATAAACTAACAATCAACTTGATGGTAAGTGAGAAAATGCTATAGACACACTACATCATATAACACTTCTGGTATTCGTTACCGCTCTTGTACTACATGCGGACGAATAAGGTACCGTGCATCTAAACCCTGGAATTTTACTGTCATAACTCACTTGTTAACCGAAACATGGCTCACAAAGCAAGCTGATGCGCAGACAGCGCAAACAACTTTGGACAAAGTGTGCCTAATTAAGTTAAGAATACACATATTACTTACAGTATTCCAGTATTTCGGTACTACCTACCTATTAACAACGGAACTGCCCATTTGTTCATTTCGTCCAAGTTTTTAATTTATTCAGTACTGAAAACACGCAATAATCTGAATTCAATTAAAATGTGTTGTAACGCTCCGTAGACTGTAAACACCAACTGCGCCTTAATTATAGGTACCTACACAAAATGCTCGCTAACACTAAACAAACAATATTTTCGTAAAATCGAATTGCAGAAAATCTCTGTTATGAGTAAGTGTTGGTGAAATATACTTTACAATTATTTTAATATTATTAACTGACTGAAAAAAATAATAATAAGACAACATTTTAAGTAACTACAGGGTATTTATAGAAATACTCAGATACATTCTTGTAAATACTGATATCCTGAGAATTGTGTCTAATGTAGGTCAAAGTTTTTTATTGTAACTACAAAGCTTCCGTGAAAAATATAAATAACAGTGAAACTATTATTATTATTATATAAAAAAGGAAGAGGTAGAAGTTAAGACGTGGATAGTAAGCGAACTAATTTAATTAATTAACCCTATTTGTGTAAATTACATATTCTCAGTTTCGGATATACTGAACCGATTAATTGCTTTGTGTTGTTGATTTAGTCAGCGGTGTGTCGAGAAAGTCAGGTGCTTACAATGTACATATTAATTGGTTGATTTTCGATCACAAAGCGATACTAAGTTAATTAATAATATGATGCCAATATTGGCTAGTTGAAGCGTTTAATTACACTACACTGGGATTCGATCTATAATGGCTAGAGCTGTTGAAAATTGTATGTACCGAGTACAAAGTAATGTACGGCACCTGTACCGAAGTACATTGTGGTAAGTGGTATTATTTTTACTAGTTACTTAGTAACTAGTTGATCAGGTACTATTCTTACATAATAAATGCAATTAATCTGAGTAACCTTGTTACATGGAATACTTAGTTATTTTAGTTACTAAAATCAAAGTTACACTGAAACCTCAATTAGGATTTATTTGCCATTTAAACACGTCAATAAATTGCCATATTGAGAAATTAACTCCATATAATTGTGGTCTAAAAACAGGACCAAATATTTAGGGCCTTATAAAGCAAGAACATACGAATTGCAGATAAAAAGAAGTGCGCCTAATAAAACTTTGCTCTGTATACTGTATAAAAAGTATCATGTAAGGTAACGATATACATTAAACATTAAACTAACAGTAACACTAAACCAAATCACTCGTTACTGCAGTATCATATGTAAGCACAGGTATTCTTTTTATCGTTACTTTCGCAGCTCTAATGATGGCTAACCCATTTGTGGGGGGTGGAGGTGATTGTTGATAATGGGGAGCAATTGCGCCTTTGCTAGCACTGTACCTTGTTAGCTCGACCTCCACGCTACCCCCCTTGAAAACCATCATGGCTAATTATTTGTGAATTCGTCACCGTGTGCTAAGTGAACTGACTAACCTCATCCTCACCCCATCATGTTTACACTGGTGCCCGCCAGGGTATGCCGTTACTGCTGGCGAGAACATTTCACAATTATTATAATTAAATAATTTTTTTATGAAACACATGAAATTACAGAATATGTATGCCTTCAGAATAGCAACTCATGAGTTGCATCACGAGCGTCTCATGACAATGTGATGATCGCGATACTGTTAGTGTATATAATAGACAATTATTAATATTATTAACCGGGTCTTAAAACGAATTGCAATCTAGCCGAAACGTCGACAGATGTAATTTACTTCTTTATACTTTTATTTGCCATAAAATTATTTGTTAATAATGTATATTAAACACGAACATTTAAAAATAACTATAGGAGACAATTAAAGCTATTTATGATTTAGAACTCAAAATCGTTTATTATTAAAAAAATACTTTGACCATTTTTGTCAATATTTATTTTTTCATTTATTTTAATCCATTAGTACAGTTTCAGTTAAGACAATTTCGTATGATTAATCTGTAAGTATAAATAAATAAAATGAATTATAAATAATAAACAAAACATTTGGCGGCATAAGTTGCAAGCTAATTGGCAGTACATTATGTAAGAAATCTGACATCGCTACGTTTAGAAGGAAATCCGGTCAATCGCGGAAAAAGCAATAAATCTTGCCTAGCCGCAGATAGAGAGATCGGGGTGTGGGATGGCTGGGGAGGGGGATTGGGGCGATATGCGTACAGGAGCGAGTGCAGGCAGATCAATAGGCGAGCGTCCTGCCTCTCCCAATCTCCAGCCCACCACTGAGGCACTCGCACACCACTCGTTGAACCGACGGCGACGCGGACGCTCCTGTATCGTATCCCAGAGTTTCACTGCGAACGTTCGAAATGGAGGTAAGTTTCAACTATCCCGCGAAATGTTTATATTTTTAATTTCAATAAATAACAGTGGCGTAGGAATTTTAGGAATACGATTTGTAAATTAAATTCAAAATATTAATTTGCTACGATTTACTTCAAAGTTTTCAAACGGATAATTTACTTAGTTTTGTTTTGTGAAAATTAATAAAAAAATAATCTTGTGATTGTTAAATGACTTGTAATTTCAGATTGTGATTCAGATATATATATATATATTAGTTAATGCGTTTTATCATAAGAATGCGAAGATTAATTTAAACATGTTTATTGTAAATAAACAGATTTCTGCGTAGGTAAATAACACGTTAGTAAACATTTAAGTGATTATTATCTTCTTCTACGTTTATTTCTTTGCCTTTCAGATGGTGATAGGTTTTGAATTAAGTTACATAATACGTAAATAACTCGATGCGCAGTACTTGGCCACATTCACGGGATTGTGACTCAAGTTTTGTTTCTGTGTGCGCGTTTTTCGTACTCGCGAAAATATATGTAGTTGTTTGCTTGGAATTATATTATACCATTTTTTTATCCCTTTATATTTGGTGTCTAATATTCTGTGCCGTGTATTATAATACGTTTCTAAATGTATACAATTATAACTTAATCAAAATAACAATTTCATTTTGCTTTTACAATCATATTTTCTTATTATTACTATTATAAAATACACTTGTATTTCTTTAAAATATATCAAATGATTAGTTTTTACTTTTAATTTGAAGCTAAAATAAGTATTTAAAAATAAATATTTTGAAACGTATTATAATATTCTTAAAGTGGTGATTACATTATCAAATATTTATAATAAAGGTGTTCTTTATTTTATAATCTTGAATAATCGGAGATATTTCTCGTGTAGCTTTTAGGAATAATTTGAGACGAATTTGATAATGTTTAAACCACTTGAAAATTTTGATATATTTATGTGTACTTTTCAGATTACGAGTCAATCTACGTTTCTATATACTGAATTACAATTTACTATAATATAAAGTACAATGAATTTTGATACAAATATTTTTCAGACATTAGTAAATAAATGTTTCTATATACAAAAATAATGTATGGTATATACGAAAACATATTGGATAAATCTTAAATATTAAATAAAATATTATAGCCTATAAAAAATAATAATGAGTTACATATATATTAATATTAAACATTTAAAATATTACTGTATATTTAATATATACATTTTTATTGTAAACAATATTTTTGACAAAGGTTTTTACAATATATTTTAAGTAATTACCGATATATAAATTTGCGTCTTCAAAGATTATAAAATGACATTTTTTTACTACTACTAATTACAAAAAAATTATCTAATCTGTTATGCTCGGAAAAATGTAAAATAGAATGAAAATATCTTCATTGATGAGATAGTTATGATAATTCATATCTACCGTCAGTCCAAAATTAATATTGTACATAGGGTCAATTGTAGTTTGAGCAGAGATTTAGCTGATAATAACTCTGCTCTGTATGTTTGTAAAACAACAAACATGGCAAGAATAATACGGTGTCACTGGTCACAAGTGAAATGACTTGTGGGTTATAATTAGAAATGGTTACTCGGCGAGTTAATCATAACAGAGTCATTGACTGCTCAGTGTCTTCGATAAATCATTATTGTTTATTTATATTCCTTTAATTCAATAATATATGTCATACTTATGACACATTTATTTGTTTTATTTTACGAATCCATTTTCTAAACACTTAAAATTGACTAAAATGGACAATTAAAAATAGACTGATTTAAAATTTCGTTTAAAGACATGGCAAAATGATGACTAGTTTATTAATAAGGTTGTCACAGTATTTTTCAAGATTTTATCTATCTCTATCTACTATAGACCCGCTATTAGGTTTCTGAAAGGTCGGCAACGCGTACGTAATGCTCTATGTAGATATCTCAAGCGTTCATAGGTTGTGGTAAGCGTTTACCATCAGATGGGCCGTGTACTTACTTGCACACTTGTGCAATCGTGATATAAAAAAAATTGTAAAAAAAAATTGTTGTCGGTTTTGTGAGTACCCTCTAAAAGTAACAATTTATAAAAAAATATAGGTACTTAAAATCAACATCATTTTATATTCGTATATAATTTATTATCTATAGTTCCAATTAATATTCATATGAGTAAGCAAATTTACTCATATGTATTAAATCAACGAAACAAGTAATTGATTCTATTTGCGTTTTACTGTTTATTCGCGTATAAATTTTTAATTAAAATATGATCGAATCAAATTGTAGAGAAGTTATTACTAAATAATTATATTCCATTTAAGTACTTAAAAGTTCTGCATTTCAATATTAATTACATTTTGGAATGAACTAAACTGCAATTTGTGTAAACACAAATTGAAACGTATTTTCATTTCGTTTAATAAAAGCTCTTTGCGAATGAAATTGCAATACGAGAATAATTTCGCGTTTGATGCTGTAGCGAAATATTTTGCCATGCTATTTTTCGCAGAGCATAATTATTTCTCTGTTTATTAAACATCGCCGTTATTTATAGACTTCTCTATATTTGCAGTGGTTTATTAACTACAACAAATTACACTCTATATTATATTTATACAAATATAATAAAAGTGAATAATTTGTTCGTCTGAGCGCGCTAATCTCTTAGAGTACAAATAGGTTTAGAAAAATCTTTGGCTCTAAGTTAGCCTAGTTCCCGAGAAGGTATATTAAACACTTCTGTCTGTTCCTTCAAAACTACTGTCATTCAATTAGTATGTAGTTCAAAACACCTACTCCATAAAAAGAAAAACAAAGTCTTAAGCAAAGGATAGTTTGTAATATTAATTACTCATCTATATACATAATAAGTTCAATTACATATGATATGGGCTGATATTGTGGAGTAAAAAAATAAAATCTTTAGAAGGTCATTTAATTAAAAATAAACTGTACATGTAAACAAATAAGTACATTGAAGATAAGACGATGATATGTTTTTTAAACATCCAAGGCAACATTTATTTTTACTAATACAGGCTAGCTTTTTACTCGGGCTTTGCCTGGGTTCTCTTTTCACTATTATATTATATATAATATTAATATTGTCTTCATAAAATAGTAATTATGTTTATATATAACTAGTAATTATATCAGTAACAATTATAATATTACAAACTATCTGAGCAGGCCATTAAGTACTCAGTATTCAAAGAAACCTCACTTAAACTTTTTATTTTATTGAACAACTGGAAGGAAATAAACAAAACACTTGCTTCAATACATCAATGAAGATCGCGTTCAAATCATTAGAGTCATTTCAAACATGCACGCACAGAAAATTATACTAAAAATAAAAAAATATTTTTATTTCTCTGTTAAGTAGGAGTTTTTATAATTAATATAATACAAAAACGTCCTTGGGACTTTATTATATTTAATATATTATAAGTACATTATTATTAGTATTTTAATAACTTTACTTCTTAAAGACGAGTTATTACTACTTACCTACCGGTGCATAAGAAACACGCTTAGAGACTTATTTGTATGGACCAAGGATTTACAGCATTTAATTAAAGTGAATTCTAAGTAGTTTTCTCATTTCTTTAGACGTCTGTAACGCTCGGAGGAAAACTCGAAAGGACGCTATTGTTTCAGCAACATTGTTCATATTGCTGATAATAACATCCACTTTTATAACGACCTATTTCATAGTTTGTATTCATTCAACATAATATTTAAATTTGTATAACATTTGATTAAAACGGGTTGGTTTTGTTTCTTGTCCTATTCATTTTCAAATACAGTTCTATTGCTACTTTATTCTTGTTCTATATCTCTTCTATTACTCCTCTATTCCACTTCTATTACAGTCATATTCCTCTTTAATTTCTCTTCCTTTTTTCTCTACCTCTATTACTAGTCTTATCCTATTCTATTAGTAATTTGTTATATTTTAATTTGCTTTGATATTAGTATAAAAAACATATATCTATATACCTTCTCACAAAAATATAACAATAAATATTATTCTTAATTACATTAATACTTATAATAAATGAAATAAGTTTTTTGTATAACAAAGACTTTACCATAATTGTTATATGCAGAACAAACACTGGTGGTGGTTCGCTGCTGGGCTGATTCTGCTGTCTTTGGCACTCGTGTCCGCCGACGGCGAAGTGTCGGAAGAAGGCGACCACGAAGTTCTTGTACGGACTGAGAGGGGTGCTAAAAATAGAGGTATGTATTTCGGGATACCGAAACGAACGCATCCATCGTGTTGCACTAACACGAAATATAGACTCTACATTTTTTTAACTATTCTCTACAATATTACAGTGGTCATAGACAAATTATTATTGTATAATATTAAAACATTATTAACTGAACTTCAGAAATACATATTCTGTATGAATTATTTTATGAATATGACGTTCTCTTTTTTAAATAGATACTATTTCTTAAGGCGCGGAACTAAGAGTAGAATGTATTTGGAGTCGGTACAATACATTATATATGAATTATTTTATGAATATGTAATTTTTTTTAACAGATACTTTTTCTTAGGTTGTTGAAATTAAAGTAGATTGCTTTTTGAGATACCGCAACAAGTTGTTTTTATTAGATTAGATTTGAATCAATGTAAGTTTTACTAATTACAATGGTAACTATTTATAGTTAGAGGGTACTATGTACAAAGTCGTACCTTTGTCACACCTATTTCAGCTGCCAAGTTGAATTAAAAGTGTGTTTCGGTTGTAAGGTGAGTCATTCGGAGACGCGGCAGAGAATTTATAGGGTATTGAGACATGACATTTTAGTCCCCTAAAATTCAGCGCATGAGTACCGGCGGCATATGACGACATGATGTCGGTGCTGCAGTTCACATATCTATATAACGGTTACCACTTACTGTTTTGTTAACCAGAAGCTTGCCGCTATGTGAGGGGTGCTTGGTCAGAATGTGATTCCAAAACTAACATCCGCTCTAGGATGTTGACTCTGAAGAAAGGTGATCCGGACAATTGCGAGCGCACTAAGACTATACAAAAGAAGTGCAAAAAAGGTAACAGTATGAGTTAGAGATTTGGATTTAGCATAAAGTGACTTACAGTGATTTAAATATTAATGATGAGTATTTTAAAATTGAGATAACAGTTGATGAATATATGTATATATATATATATCGTAGATATTTAAATTATCCTTACGTGAAATTTATTTCTATTTTATTTAGAAATTATATTATTTTCTGCCACTGATCCCACATATATATCAATTTAAATTATAAAGTCGTAACTATTAGGTACATGATCTCATTAATAGAGTATTAATTTTGATAGATGGTTATTGATTATACAGAAATAATTATCATAATTGCCTATAACAAAAGATAAATTAGACATTGTTTATTTATATCTATCTTAGAAGCCATCCGTCATAGTTGTATGTACTTAGAATATGGAACTGCGTAATATATATGTTGGTTTGAGTTATATTCTACGTTTTGTTCCGGTGGTTACCTTTTATGACATCCTGGGTAAGAAATGGAGCAGTGTACATTGTGTACTATTACTATATGAGTGTAATAGTTAAAAATATAATATGTATTTTATATATTAATAAGCTCTTACATTGCTTGGCTTATACTCGTGTTTAGAATATCGTCAAGTTATAATTCGTACATCTTTAGCCAAACCTTTTATTTGATACTTGACTTATATAATGAAAGTTCATAAAAGAATTCCGCCATCTTTGGTGATCCGCCATCTTAGATTTATAATTATAAACATTATTTTCCTACAAAACTTTACAGTTTGGGGAAATAAATCTACTTGCAAGATTTTGCCCCAACACACATACAAATATTGCATTTGTGTTTTAAGCTTGTCGTTACGAGAAGTCGTCCTGGAGCGAGTGCAGCCCTAACGGCGAGATGTCTAGGACTGACATGCTGAAGGCTAATAGTGACCCCACCTGTGATCAAAGCAGGCGTATAACTAAGAAATGTAACAAGAACAAACAAGTAAAGTCTACTAAAGACAAGGGTCAGTATGAGAAGTTGGGTAAAGGTCATCATTGGTAATCGGGTAATTAAATAATAAATAAATAACCCTGGACAATCCACAATCACTTCCTATAGCAGCAGCAACCCAACTAGAGCTTGTAGTGTACTTGTAGGTATAGACAACTGATAGCTATACGAGTTGGTAGGTAGAGAATGCTATTAGTACTAAACCGACCTTTAGAATAAATTAAATGTATAAGTAACCCGATTTCACCCTTCTCATCTTTTCATCTTTCGCTAAAGCCCTGCCGTCGTACATTCCTACTTCAGACGGAATCACCATTCTGATTTAGAAAAAAAAAACTTTACCATTGTGTTGTAAAGCGATCAAAATTGGAATGCAGGAATGTTAAAGATCTCAAATTGTCTACCTGTCCATCATTAGAAAAGTGCATGCAAGAATTCTTATAATTGCAAAATTATACACCTAAGTAGCGCTGGAAGGCAATCAAGTCAAATTAAGTTCACCTCATTTCTGTTTTGTTCGCATTGTACAGTCAGCTAAAGAAAAAGACTGTTCCGTCTAAATATGCTAAATTCAAAATTTCCAAATCTTCAAAATTTATAAGAATGTGTTTTTTGTGTGGAACTGGCTAATTCGGATTATTTTTAAAAGGTCTTATGAATCTTGTTCGGTGGTGGACTTATCAGACGCTACTGAAAAATGCGCGTACGCCTGTTACTTTCATAGCTTGCTAAAGAAATTGTTCTCTTTTGACACGAATAGTATGCTGTTGCTCACTGCATTTACTCTAATTTTTTAAATATATTCCTCGTTTTAAAATAGAGTAGAGTTTCTTGTCAATATATTTCGGCCCTTATTATATTCCAAACTATCCGTAGATTTTACTCATTATAAGTATCTGTTATAAATTTATATGAATAAGATTCCAATTATATTTAAAATCTTTGTTTTATTTTTCAGGTCGCCGAAATCGCCAGTAAGAAATTATCTACTATAATTCAGTTTAGATTTACACTGATTATAAGGATGTTTGTTGGTTCTAATTTATGTAATAGTGCCAAAATAGTGTGAAAACAATTGTTTTAATAACAATTGTCATTTTCAATTTTATTCTTAAGCCGTTTCGAGCTACAATATAAGTGTAATTTATCTCATAACAATGAATTATCTAATATACGAGTTAAGTAGTACATATTCATTTTATTGTCACTGATAAATCAGGTCTTTAATATTTAATTAAATAAATAAGTACTTAAGTAATGTGGGTTTTATTTATCTCTGACTTTTATTAGGTTTTATTTTGAGAGTATATTTATTTGTTTGTTATTGTCACACCTTAACTAATGATCATGAAATTCGAGATGGAAGATAGTCTTTTCGTCGATGAGAAGGACACAATTTTTTAAATATCAATAGAATTGTGGTGATGATCAGATTCAATCAACATATGACAAAATATACAATTAAAGAAATAACTTACATTCAATAATATTGGGATTACTGTTTTATATTGGTCTTATAGAGGTACCTTATCTTAATATATATCAGGTTAGAAAAAAAAATCAAAATAGTTGCTATTCATGTATATTGTTAAGTTTCTCAATTACTTATAAACTTTGATGATATTATTCGTACCTCATTCAATTTATCGAATAAATATTTATGCACCTATATTTAATACGTCTCCCGCTAACTATTGAATGAGATACAAACTCCACCATCAGAGTTTATTGTTCAATAAATTAAATAAATAAAATAATTTAATCCTTAACTACAATAAATATATGAAATACTAAATTGCGACATAAAAAATCGTATTACAAAATTAGAAAATAACTGAGTTTCGAGTTTGGACGCACTGTCTGTAATGCCTAATATGCTATCCGCCAACTATAACAAAAATTTTGTCGTTAAATATCACAGGTAAAATGTTTGTGCGTACGTCTGTCGCATTACTTGAACAGTTGTTTGGCGTAGTGCCATATCCTGAAGAAGTATTCATCACGTCGCAGCAGGGAGCCGCGCGCATACGAACGGATGTCGGCATCCATATTATGTTCACGGAGCCACGATGTCGTAGTCTGTGTACTGAATGACGTAGGTTCTGTCATCTCCGTATGTTCACCAGGCTCCTCGTCCGCGTGAGAATCTAGAATAAATATAAATTACATGTCGCATTAATACACCTTTATACCAAGTAAAGTCATTTAGGTAAATACTTCTACCTTACTCTTTTTACCGCTCAGGAATTTGCTTTATATTCAAATTTGAGTGGCGACGTTTGACACCGAAATTACAGGGTACAGGTATGATACTTTAGTCCTCCAAAGTGGTAATTTGTAAGAGATACTAAGAGAGATACATAACGACTTCATTTCCGTGTTGCTGTTCATGTGGATAGGCGACACATGAACAGCACTACGGACATCACGTTATCAAGTGATGCTAATGATATCGCTATTTCGTTGCCTTTTCAAAAGTGTAAGTTGTCATGCTTCTTTTCTTGTAATTTGACTGCCTAATTGCAACGAACAACGGAAATACAGCTTTTTTTTTTATACTACTATGGTGGCAATCATACGGTCCATCTGATGGTAAATGGCTACCGTAGCCTATGGACACCTGAAGCACCAGGGGTGTCACGTGCGCTTTGCCGACCCTTAAGAAATCATAATATGTGGTAACATGGGGTTCTTTAAGAATGGGTATTCTTAAAAAACCCCATGCTGTAGTCTCGTGAAAAAACCTCGGGGAAAAACAGCTTTCAAAATACGCTAGCTGCTTGGCGTCTAAAATAGGTAAGGAGAGCTACCCGCGCAAACGATTTTTATAATTTATTTCTGGTAAGATACATGTGTAGTATAGTTTTAAACACTCACCTTCTCCAGGAATCACTTTGAATGGTTCGTCGGACTCGAGAGGCTCACTGAGACCGATCTCATTGCGTGCAAATATTCTGATCATATAGGTGTGATTCTCATTTAGATCACGAATGTTGAATTTGAGTGTATGCGCGTCAACTTTTCCGACTTCCATCCACATGGTTTTAGTGACGTCACGAATGGCAATATTGTAGCCCAGCAGTGGCGCTCCACCGTCCCATTCTGGAGTACCCCACGACGTCATCCCTATATTGTTGCCCACAGTTCTGATCTCTAACGGGGCCGTAGGCGGGGATGGTACCGCTGTAAGTAGTAAATTGTAGTTATTTATCTTTACAATATTTTCCAGTATCTTCTATTCTTGAAACACGTTGATATAAATTTAAATGTATGTATTGTTTAAAATTTTAATAAATAGATGTATTATAAAAACTACATAGTCGGTACTACTATTTAATTTTAAAGAATTTTGCAATAACAAATACTACAAAGAATCTACAAAGATAATAATTTTTATGAATGTGTCTTCGAAAAATTTATATATATAAATGTACGACCAGACCCTACGTAACTTATAGTTATTGAAATTAAAAAATCTATAATATAATATTGTCCGTAGTAGTATATCAATAGTAGTAAATAAAGACAAAAATTATTACGTGGTGATATAACTTACTTGCATGCTTCTCCAATTTCACACTCTGGGACTCTGTCGGTAAACTCACACCGATTGCATTTTCTGCAGATATTCTGAACACTAATTCATCTTTCTCCTTTATGTTTTCAATACAATGTTCATATACAGAACCGCTTACTGTAATAATTTTGGTCCATTTTTTACCTTTTACATTCTTGTATTCAATTATATAATCTAAAAACAAATAATACAGATTAGTCCAGCCTTCAGAAAAATGTTCCTTACTTATTAACTATGTTATAGGTGAAAACATCGCCATTCACAAAAAAAAAACTTGAGTACATCAACCGGTTGTGCTAGACGGACTTTTATTTTAGACTTTATTTTATTGTAAATTAAGATATTTATATATATATTTCTGTTTTTTTCTTAAATAATAGTGTATTGATCTTGCTCCAATTACAAGAATTTAAGTAATTAAATTCTTTATTAGGCATAGTTGAGTATTATTATAAATGCTTGTAGTGAGATTAATTTTACAACTGAATAAGATGTACAGGCAAAATAAATCCTTAAATTTAATAAAACCGAAAGTAGATGGAATAGGTAAAACAGAATACGTCGTTGTATATGTTTCTTAATTTCTTAATATAACTTAAAAATTCGAATACTTATCATTTTTTATTACAATTATAAGAGAAATAGTAGAAAAAATTGTCTTACTTGTAATAACACTTCCACCATCGCTTTCAGGCGCAGCCCATTGTAGAGTCACAGATCTCGATGTAATTTCTTTTATGACAAAGTTGAGGGGCTGAGAAGGCGGTGCTACAATAATAGAAATACCAGTATAACAATCAGTACTAAAATACAAATTACGAAAGTTATTATATTATCGAGGTACATTTTGGACTAAGACGTCTTCTCAGGTTTTCCCACCAAGCAACTTGCTTTGTAAAATTCAGTTGAAAGGTTGGACAAGGCATCAAAATGAGAGGGTGTGGAGGCATGACATCGAATGCGTGGTACCACGGGTGTCACGCAATAATATGATTTCTGTGTTGCTGTTTATGTATATCGGCGGCAGTTAGCCCTGGAGATCTCGTGGATAGTAAACATTTTTATAGAAGAATTTTAAAAAAGAATTTTAATAATAAGTCGAGATAGGGTTGCAAATATACACACTACACCTAGTTTATATAAAATTATTATGCTTAAACAGTAATTGTACGCATGAAATATTTTATATTACTTACATAGTGTTTTTCCTATAGTTATTTTTTCATCAGAGGTATACGGCTGACTTGTGCCAATTTCGTTTCTAGCACATATTCTGAATTGATACGTAGCGTTGGCTATCAATTTCTGTATCCGGGCTTTAGTTTCGGTAACCGTTGCTATATGTGTCCACTTCTTGCCTTCTTGTTTTATTTCAACACTGTAATCTAAAATTGGTGAGCCACCATTCTTTTCTGAAGGATACCACGTGATGGTTAATGAGTCGCTGTTGACGCCGTATATGCCAAGAGGACCCAGAGGTGGTGATGGAACATCTGAAAGTTAAGGAGTAATGCATATAATTTAATAGAGCTCGTACATTTTTCCTTTAGGAAAACTGAGGCGTCACTCTAGATATAACAATATAGTGATTATATTTTTCTTTGGTTTGACCGCATAAAGTGGAAATATGTAAAGCATACGAAAAGATAGCAGGAAAATTCCCTCATATCATTTTAATTAAATAATGTGTAAAATAATTGTATATACCTAAAGCAGTCTTTATAACAATAGGTTCACTTTGTAAGGCTTCAGAGAAACCAATTGGATTTTGTGCCATAACCCGGAACAAGTATTCATAATGGTCATTTAATCGTTGTATACAATATGTTTCCACATCTCTATCAACGTCAGCAACCTTGATCCATTGATTTGTGTCAGGTTCGTGTTTCTCTATAGCGTATTTAGTTAATTCTAAACCACCATCATCAAGGGGTGGTTTCCATTCTATTGTCACAGATTCTCGGCTAATTTCTCGCATAATCACTGGACCTTCAGGGCGGCTTGGTTTATCTATAAAATAAATGACGTTTTGAAATAATGTGTAATTAATAAAAGTTTTAGTTGTTCATATAAAGTATGTACATAAATACGTAAGTAAGGAAATAATCAACTTACCATATACTCTTAGTGAGAGTTCTACTGAAGTAGAACCTGCTTTATTATAAGCTTCAATTGTATATTTACTAGTATGGTTCCTTTCTAAGTTTGATATTTTGATTGTGCTGGAATCTTCAGTGGTTATTATTTCTAATTCCGATGATCTCTCAATTTTGGAACCATTCCTGTACCATGAGACTTCAGGGGTAGGTATACCTTTAATGTATGCTGTAACAGACCATTCCTCACCAACTCTGCATTTCTGATTAATTTCATTTTCCGATACATTAATAATTGGTTTTTGTTGAACTTCCAGGTTGCAACTAGTCTCAGCCTCACCAAATTCATTTGTAGCAATACATTTATATTCTCCCTCTGATGTCGTAGTTGTTGTAACTACAAGAGTTGCTACTCTATTTTCATATGTGGCTTTTGCAGTTTTTAATTTCTTACCGTCTTTAACCCAAGTAACTTTAGGTTGAGGAATGCCACCAAATATACATATTAGTTCTACGTCTTCGTCAGGTTCTCCGACTAAATCTTTCAATGGTTTTTCAACTGTGGGTGGTTGAGATTTAGTAATCTTTTCAACTCGAACAAACTCTGTAACTTCCGAAGATTCACTCACACCAACTTCATTTATGGCGAATACTCTAAATCTGTATGATGACTTAGTTTTTAGGTTTTCAATACTATATTGAGTTTTTCTGATATTTTCAATAGAAAGCCATCTGGAAAATATATAACAAGTAAATAATTTTGTACCAGTTGTTGTATTATATTATTAACGAGTATACTTGTTAAATGAGTATGGAATTTTTACTATATTATATAATTGAATAAAAGAGTGAATAGTAAGTAATACACATAAAGATGCACGCTGGAATAGAACGATGGTTAAACCGCTCTGTTCTTTAATTGTTATTATTTTTTATTACCACATTGACGACTATATTCGTAGGCATATTATATTATACCACAGTTTTTACTTCATTATATATCAAAGTTTGTAAATTTCAGTTATATTTTAATTACATACAACGAAAATGTAACTTAAATTATCTATGAACATGAAAAAAAAACAATGAATGTTTACAATCTTGTCTGTTTGTTTGTGCGCACTAATCTCAGGAACGGCTTAAAACTTGGTATGGTTTACATTTTCAATTTCTTTAAAATAAATAATTGAGAATGTAATATTTATACGGTTACGCGAGCTCAGCTGGTTTTTAAATTACAGTAATATTATTAAATACATATTATCGTACTTTGTTAGTACGATAAGTACTTTGTTATGTAATTATCTTTAACTGTACTTACTCTGTTGTATTTATTTCTTGATATTCTACAATGTAGCAATCAATTTCTGAGAAACCTTTATTTTCAGGCACATCCCAACAAATGTTTACTGAGGTATCATCGGTTTCTAGAATGTTAGGTTTTCCAGGGGGTGATGGAATATCTGTAATAAATTTAAATTAAGCGTATAATGTAGTGCTTTAATTTTTGTACCAAATTTAATTTATTAATTTACAATTTTAATAAAACATTAATTATAGAAATATTATTTTAATAATAATCCCATTATGGAAATATTTTTTAATAATATATCTTAAATTAATAGATTTGAATTATTTAGTATAGAAAATACAAAGATTAATTGATAATATTGGAATTTTTATTATTAACTTACCTAAAATAATAACATTTATATCTACTTCTGCTTCTCCGCAGTTATTTTCAAGCCTTAGTTTGTAAATACCTGCGTCTGTATTTTCTACTTTCTTAATTGTCAAATAAGCTGATCTAGAATCAATTGACGGTTTTGTGTGTTTCGATTTTTTAATAATCTTAGAATTAACCACCCACTCGTCATTGGGCTGAGGAATGGCATCATACTGAACGTGTAATGTCACATCAGTACCTCGCTTAACTCTATACTCACTGTCGCTAGATATAATTCTTGGAGCAGATTCTAAAACTGAAATAATATTATTATACATTAGTAGATGTTCGTTAGAAATATATGTATGTATATATTATTTAGGCATTTTCAAAAATATATATCTAAGTATTTATTTCAGTTGTGTAGCCCTGTGTTGTCGATAACACAGTCTCTGATTTGCTTGGGACTGCGTCAATTGTTAAAAATAATACAAAAATATATATAGTATTTAAATAAGCTTACCTTCTACTTTCAACTTTGTTGAACATTTAGCATCCAATAATACACACGAGTATTCAGTTTGATCCTCTTCAGTACATTTTCGAATTATAAGTGTACGTTTTGTAATATCTGATATGAGCGTAAACTTTTCCGTATCTTTAATTAGCGATTTCTTTTTATACCAAGTAACATCCAAAGTCTCATCGGGGATTTCAACTGTTAAGTAAGCATCAGTGTTTGCTGGTACCAAAATAACTTCTGGAAGTCGCAAAGTAAAATCAACCGACGGTTCTTCGACAATAAGTTTTGCTGTACACCTGTCACTTCCGACTTCGCAGGCATATTCTCCTGCGTCTGTTATTTCACATTCATATATTTTCAATTTTTGTTTCTTTCCGTCTATTGTTAGCTGCATATGATTTGAGAATTGAATTTCTGATCCATCCTTAAACCACTGTACAAGCGCATCACCCTTTGTAAGTTCTATTTCAAACGTGGCTTTGTTACCTTTACTGACATATTGATCTTGAAGTCGTGATATTATCTCAGGCGGTAGTTCAACAACGGTTACTTCTGCAGTACAAGAGTCATCTCGCAATATACAAGTGTATTCACCTTCATCGTGTACTGAAGTATTTCTAATAAACAATTTACGAACATTACCACGTTTCTCAACTTCATATTTGTTTTTCTTTGGCTTGATCCTTTCTCCGTCTTTCTCCCAGAATACATCAGCGGTTTCGGAATTTACCTCGACTTCCAAAATAGCAATATCTCTTTCTTTAACTTCAAAGTCTTGTAACTTACGCACAAATTCTGGAATTGTTTCATGTACAGTTAGCTTAGTCTTAGTTTCTTGATCTTTTACCACACATTTAATGGAACCAATATCGGTCAATTTTGTTTTCTTAATACGTAATTTGTGAGTACGTCCTTCTTGTATTATTTCTCTATGGTCCATACCACTAAGTTCCTTATCATTATGGTACCATTTTGTAGATACGGTATGTGATGTTTGGCATTCAAGTATAACAGTTTTTCCCTCTTCAGTTTCGTAAGAGTTTCTTAGGTTTTTAACAAATGTTACTTTGTCTACGTCAATAGTTACACGAGCTCCGTGGGAAGCTTTACCAGCAGTGTTTGATGCTACACATTTATAATCACCAGAGTCAATTTCAGAATCTACATTTGTGATTATTAGTTCAATATTTTCGCCATCGTATGTTTGCGTCACAGTTTCGGAAGGTGAAATAATTTCATTATTTCTGTACCATGTTATTATAGGTACTGGATTTCCAGTTACTTTAGCGACTAATTTTATAGTACCTTTTTCTTTTACAGTAATTTCTTGGAATCTGTTTATAAACAGTGGTGGTTCAGCATTTTCTTCTGTTGGTTCTAAATATTAAACAATAAATTTATTGATTAAATAAATAAACTTTACAAGTAAAAATAACTTATTAATGTGTATTAGACAAAAATGTGGAAAGTTTAAATGAATTAGTATATTTTTACATTTGGAGAGAGTTAATCTAGAGGAGGAGGAATGTATATTTTGTTGAAAATAAATTTAGTACAGTCAAAAACATGAAAATATAAGTCTGTAAAATTTTATAAGTAGGACTAAATAAATAAAAATATATTTTATAAAGTAAGGCTATAAATACCTTTACACAATAAATATTTGTACTACTATTTCTACTATGTTACTCAGAGATATTAATTCCTTTGAGTATTAAAATTTTACATCATTAGTAGGGTATTACTTATAAAAATAAAACCTACCTTCTATAGTAATGACAGCGCTAGTTTCAGTAGATCCTTCTGAATTTACAGCCTTGAGGGTATATACACCATCATCTTTACCTTTTCTTGGCTTAATAATAGTAATAGTATGTGTTTCACCATCTGATTTTGTAGTCAATGTTTTAACTGGTTTATTATTTTTATACCAAGATACTGTTGGTGGTGGATTTCCGACAACTTGAGTAGTAAGAACAACACTCTCGCCCTCCCTGATGGTAAGGCTTTTTAAAGGTTCAATAACTTGCGGTTTTTCCTTTTGTCCAGTTTTGATCTTTAAAACTATTGGTAAACTAGCTTCACCTTCTCTGTTAACGGCCAGTACCGTATAAGTACCTTCTTGGAATTTTTTTACGTTTGATATTTTGAGTACGCTACAATACATATGCATATCCGATTCTGTAGCTACCGATATATTTTCATCTGGGAATATTTCTTCGCCTTTAAAGAACCAAGCAATGTCTGGTTCTGGAATGGCTACTAATCTGCATTCCAAAAATATTTGAGAACCTTCATCAACATACTGGGCTTTAGGTCTTTTAGAGAATGTAGGTGGAATGCCTTCTAAGATATCAGCTAATGAAGATTCACGAGAAAGACTCTTCCTAGATAAAATAGTCATTTCTGAACCATGGTCGGAAAGAGGAGCTTCTACTATAAGTTCCGTAGTACTAGACGCAAAACCAGCAGCATTTTTGGCTACACATGTAAATGTACCAGCGTCTTCAGGAAATACTTCACGTATTATGAGTGTAGCTACATTATCATCATCATAATAAATATGGAAATCCTGCGAAGGTTTAATAATGGCTGTCTGTCGGAACCAAGTAATTTGTGGCCTTGGATAGCCCTCAACTTGGCATTCAAATTGTACTGTTGATCCGTCTGGTGTATGTTTAGGACGTAATTTTTCTACAAATATTGGCGCCACGGCCCTTTCTTCTGATGCTGGTTCTAAATATAAAAAGTAAAAATGTATTAGATTCTAAGTGCTTAATATTTTTTATATAATTGACAATTGTAGGATAAAAGTTGTGGTCCATACATTTTCAATAAATTACTTAACAAACTTACTTTCGAATACTGGAAGCTTATCGATTTTCTCGTTTAGCTTCTTTTGTAGGTACAAAGTGTAATTGGCTTCGTCCATTAGGTATTGTGCCGGAACCCACCCTTTCTCTTCGGTAAGATGTTTTCTAACAAACCACCAGTCTTGATTTGTAGTCTCTGAAATAAACAAATAACATTTTGTACTCTTTTTACTGTAAGCTATAATTAAAGTACATCCTCATGGATGATTCATGACGCAAAAGTGCACGGCAGAGTAAATTTGATTTTAAATTGCTATTAAGCTGCCGAGACCACCGACTAACGCCAAGTAATTTGTCATTATGTGCGTTGTTCCAACCGTAATCGATTCAATTGCATTTCATGAGTTTCAAGTGACAAGTATTTCAGTGTCCATCAGAATTGAACTCACAACTATTCGGCCTAAGGTGACCTAATGACAAGACCATGTACAATTAGATGTATTACAGGCGTATGAAAAAAGTACAATACAAAGTAAATATACAAATATATCTATTCAAGCATTTTTATATGAAATTACTTTGTACGGAAATGATATTGCAATTCAGAAGGAAGTGAAAATTATATTATGCATTTTAGAATAAGTAGCTGAAATTCGAGCATGGATTCACAAAGGAAATTTTATTGTAGAGTTTTTAATATCTTACCTAGTATATAAAGGCGCTCTCCTTCAACGAGGTTTATAGCCTCGTCAGTTTCCGCTACATAAGAATACACAGCAAATACCGTGTCTCCACTTCGTACGTCCAGTGGGGTTTCTGTAATTTGTAATGTCGTATATGTAGAGAACTCTATATATTTTTTATTACATTATTAGAAAAAATAACTTACCTAGTATTATACATATAATTTTCGATTATTTAGTATAGTGTACCTAACATTATATTAAATAATCGAAAATTAAATGTATAAAATATGTATACAAAGTATCAAAATGAAATTTAAAAAAGTCTGAGCTTCACGGACAATACAGTATACCTTCTGCATTCAAATAGGTGCATGTTTACCATATACCGCAAAAATGTCAACACTTCAGAAATACCCTTATTTTTTAAAAGTAAGTTTTTTCTATAATAAATCAAAGTGTTTTTACTATACTGCAGGATGATAACACTGTGGATAAATGAGTTGTTTTCACGAATATTTCACTAGAAAGGAACTAACGGATTGCAATAGTTTAGAAAGATATTTGAAAATTGTTTATCACATTGAATATGAGAGTAATATTTTATGTTCTATGAATCAGTTCCTTTCTTTTCTATGAATATATAATGCTCTCTACCAGCTCTCTCTGTATTTTAATGATATTTTGTTGAAGCTATAACAGAATGACTATAAGATGTTCAGTACTATCAGATTGAATGCGAAAATTTTAAAGATTTATCACGTTACGCAATATATTATTTAGAAACATAGACGCAAAAGTAATTTAATATTAGCAGATTTGACAGTCGGGAAGCTACTGTTTATATTCCTTCAAAGTTGAATGGAAATTATATGCTAAATATTTTGTAAGGAATCGAAGTGAAAATATCATAAAGTACCTGGGAATTCTTGTTCTCTGGATATGCTCATGGACGCATCAGCTTCTGTAAAATATATTATTACGATTAATTTCTTGCATAAATACGGCAGATCAGAATAATGAAAGCAATTTTTAAAAACAATATATTGTTACTTCTACTTACCTCACGTTGAACTATGTTATTAAAAGCTATTAAATTAAATAACATTAAGCAGATAAATAACAATTATATTGTACTTACAAATGACGATATTGCTTGCCCAACTCATGCTTTGAATTATTGAAGCGAAACTGCTTGCAAATATATTAAGAATTTAAATTAAATAGCGTTAATAAATCAATCAGTAGCCTTAAACAGTATTAATATAATATTAGTAAATATCTAATAAAAATATTCTTGTATAATATGGCTGTCCATTTCTTACATTCATTTCATAAAAAATATAAACTTATTTTAATGGTTGTTAACAATTGTATACATAATATATGACCATGATAACAGTTCCTTTGAGTTGATATTTCGGCGCAGTATCAAAGGTCCTAGTCAGACTCACTCATAAATAATATTAAGTAAAAAATCCTTTTATATAATATAACAATAATATCTCAGGACAATTCACACAGCTGCAGCTAGTCTCAAGCTAGCTAGAGCTTGATTTAGATATGGGTAGGTACTAGATAACTGACACAAACGATATAATATATTGTTTCCAAATACGGTTTATACATAGAAAGCACCCAGATCGATACAAACAGTCAAACTCATGAATACAAATATTTGTACCGTACGAGAAACGAACCCTTAACCATGGGAAGTATTATTATATAGAATTTATCCGATCTCTTTTACTTTAATTAATATTTTTAGGATTATCAATGAATGCATTGTAATTCGTATTAGAGATATATATTTATTATATATCTCTATTACGAAATATTTATTATTTATTGATATTTTATTTATTATCCTTTCAGTTTACAATTTGCTGATTAATGATAAAATAAGAAACGTATTACTGCTTGTCATTCAACATATATTTTCTCTTTATAAAAGATATCCACACCCAAGAGATAGCTTTTAGAGGCAATATGAAAATTCGGCGGTCAACGATCAAGGAAAACGTTAAAGTTAAGGATAAAATAAGAAAACCATTGGACTATACGAAGGTGAGTTAAATATTTTTCCAAATAATTTTCTAGAGCATATAATACACAATTCTAATAGAACTTCTATTATAATTAAATGCAGAGACATAATTTCGGTATAAATAATAATTTCAATCCTAAGTTTGGAATGTAGTTAGTTTATGTATACAACATAATATAAAATATACGACTGCTCAAAGGCTGTAGCGAACATTATGTATACATATTATGTATTATATATTTTAGTAACTTAAATTGACAATAAGACAATACTAATTAGAATAGAATAGAATAGAATAGTAATTCATAATATTTAATAATTATTCATACTACACAAGTAAAGAATAATAGATTCACAAAAGTACAGTTTATAAAAGTAAGTATTTTTTATTTAATTTTATTTCTTTTAAGAAACGAATACTACCTAAATATTTTTTTTAGAAATATTTAAATTAACCTAAAATATATCAGAAACAAAATATAATAAAGATAACAACACCGGTAAAGAGCTCTAGGGCCGTATTGTTCGGCTATTGGGGTTATGTTTTCTTAGCTTTTATAAAGTTATAAATAATAAAAGCGATACTAAAGGTGGAAAAGAAAGGTAATTTAAGAAACCGTTCGACAAACTATTTGTATATTTAAAATGTAATATCCTTATAAATTTCACAAATTTTGGTTAAGTAGTTTTTTCTTAATTAATAATTATTTATTTTTATTTTATTAGTTTTCTGTTCAATTTTTTTAAATTACATTAATAGCTTTGTGTATTATTTCCAAAGTTAATAAAGCGAATACAAATTTAGTTCGGCCACATTAGCAATGCCTTTTATAATACATATAACGAAGCGCTTTCAAAGGTATTAGTGCAATGCAGTTACATGTTTCAGATTACCAAATATTATCAAATCACTATTATCAAATTGTAATCAATACCTTGAATTTGGGATGGTTTCCTGGGCTTTCGTTTAGCTGATATAGTCAGTTGTTCTTCTTCATACGTGTCGTCATTTATCTTTTTGGGTTTTAATTCTATACTAAGTTCTTCTACTTCACTGACCTCATAAGCGGGCTTTTTAGGTTTACGTTTAATGCGGAATTCCACATTATCATCGGACTCAGCTTCACTTAAAATTATCTCTTCTGCTTGACTATCATCTTCGATTTCTTGCGTCAATTGTATAGATGTTTCATCAGCAGCTTCTGATACAGTTACCTTCTTTTTTGGCTTCAGTTTGATTTTACTGGAAAGTGACAGTTCTTCTTGTGTATATTGATCTGTTTGTGATTTCACGTCAAATGTTACTTCTTCTTGGTCATCAATTACATATTTAGGCTTTTTCTCTAATTTAAGACTTATGTCTTGTGTGATTTCTGATACAGGTTCGGCAGACTTCGGTTTAGATATAGTTACATTAGACGTTATATCTTCTGATGCAACTTTCTTTACTTTTTTTGGTTTCTTTAATGATAACATTACGTTTGACGTATCATCTTCCTCCTCTACATCACTTTCAATAATTTCAACTACATCCGGACCCTCATTTTCTTCATAAAATTTAATAGAGGTTTCATTTGCTTCTTCATTAAAGGTAGGTTGTTTCTGAGGCTTCAATTTGACTTTACTTGACATTGAAATTTCTTCTTCTGCATAGGAATCTAACTGAATATTAAATTCTTGTTCAACATCCTCTTTTGTTTTAGTGCTTTTTGGTCTAAATGTAACGTTCTCTGGTTCTGTTATTTCAGGTAACGTCACAGATGACTTACGGAGCGGTTTTAACTTCTTTTTTATGGTTATTTCATCGACTAATTCTTCAGATTTTTTGACACTTGGGCGCCTTGGTTTTATAGTAAATTGCTCAGGTTCATCGTCCCTCTCTTCAATATCTTCTTTTGGCAATTCAGTTTCTTCTAGTTTTTTACTTTCTACAATATCCTCATATCCAAACAATGGTTTTTCTAATTCTGTCTTTTCTATTTCAGGCAATTCTGGTTCCTTATACACTTTTTTCTTTATTTTTGCTGCTTCTTTCACGTTTCTTGATAATATGCCATTTTGTTTTACACTCCCTAAAAAGCTTATAATTGGTTCTATAATTTGTGGTGGCCAGTCATTTATATATCTTATACGACTCTTTAATTGGAATTTTGGTATAGTAACAACAGAACTATCCTGTTTAGGTTTAGACACAGTTTTCTTTAATTTGAGTTTTGTGAACTGAGGGCCTTCAATATTTTCAGCATGCTGTGGCTTACTTACTTCAAGTACTTTTCTTTCTATTTTCATTGGAGTAAGTTTTACCTTCGGTTTTTTCTCTTGTACGGGTACAACTTCCTTAGGACTCTCAGGGGAAACATCTTCAGTAGGTTCTTCTGGTTTATCTAATTCAGGTTTAACAATTTTCTTTTTAATCTTTTTAGGCTTCTCTTCAACCACAACAGGTTCGGATTCAATATCTTGCTTTGGTATTGTAGGCTCTTCAGGCTCTTCTATGAGTTCAATTTTCTCTTGTTTTTCTGGAGATAATTCTTTCTCAATTTCTGGAACCGTGTCTTTTGGAGTAGCTTTTTTCTTCATTTTCTTTACCAGTTTTGGTTTCTCTTCAATAATTTTATTTTCCTCTTCTGGCTTTTTAGTTATTGGTTCTTGTTCGATAATTTCTTGGTCAGGTTTATTAACAGTAATTTCTGTCGTTTCTTCCGTAACAACATCCTCCACCTCTTTTAGTACAGGTTTCTCCTTCTTTTTTCCTTTTTTAGGTTTCTTTTCTGTGTCTTCAAGTTTATCTTCCAATTTAGGTTCAGATTCAGTAGATTCTGAAGTAATAGGTTCTTCTCTAACATCTGATTCGTCTACTACTTTATCTGTTAATTCTGGTGTTTTCTTAACTACTTTTTTCTTAATTTCCTTGGGTTTCGCTACGCTTTCTTCCGGTATATTATCTTTTAAATCAGGTTTTTCTATTTCTTCAGGTACATCTTCCTTAGGTTTTAGCTCCGATTCCTTCTTTATAGGTAATTCTTCAATAACAGTAGGTGTTTTAGTTTTAGAAGGAGTATCAATCACTTCAGGTTCCAAAGGTATTTCAGGTTCATTTGTAGTATATTTTTCTTCCAAAATCGGTTTGCTATCATCTTCTGTAGAAGCTAATTTGGGTTCTTCGGAACTGATTTCTCCTTTATCTGATGTGTATTCAAATAGCTCTGGTTTTTCAAGTTCGGCTTTTTCGAAATCGGGCATCGATATTTTAATAGGTTTCTTTTTAATTTTCGCAGCTTCTTTTATGTTTCTGGATAATTCTCCGTTTTGTCTTATGCTACCTAAAAATGAAATTATGGGCTTCGTATCTTGTGGTGGCCAATCATTAATATATTTTATACGACTTTTTAGTTGGAACTTTGGCAGCGTAACAGTTGATTGTTCTTGTTTTGGTTTTTGAGTAGGTTTTTTCAATTTTAATTTTGCAAACTGAGGACCTTCTATATTTTCAGCATGTTGAGGTTCACTTATTTTCATTTTTTCAATTTTCATTGGTGTTAGTTTCAGCTTCTTTGGTTCTTTCTTTTCTGTGACGTCATTTACTGGAGCTGCTTCTATTTCCTCAGATTTAATATCTTCTGGGCTTTCAATAATATGCTCTTCTTCAGTTTGTGGTTGAACTTCTTCTTTTTCTTTCAGTTTTTTCTTCAGCTTCTTTGGCTTCTTCTCTTCAGGTTTTATTTCAGATGGTAACTTTGGTAACTCTGTATCTGTAGGTAAATCTACATGATCTGTAATTTCAATGAAGATTATAATATACCATAATAAATATTAAATAAAAAGACAGATAGATGTAAAGATTGATTGTATAGACTGCAGGTGTGTTTATAATGTTAAACGTGGATATCAAATATACACGGTTATAAACATGTGTTACTTAATAAATACTTTGAGGACAGTTAAGTTGTTGTCATGATCAGTATGAATTGCATAGTCATAGAAAAAAACTTGAGGCAAAAAACATATGTGTGGAAAGTTGTGAAAAGTTGTAGATTTTTCGGCTTACCGTGTTTAATCCTTGTGAATAAAATTAAAGAACGTAACTTACATACATAAATTTGACTTATGTGGCTGTCCTTTAATTACAAACTATTTATATAACTAATGGATAAAATTAATTTACAGACGCAATAAAAACAAATTGTCCGTTAAACTATATATTAACTACATATACATTTTAGCTGCACCATTTTTCATTTAATAAATATTACATTAAGAAACACGTTAAGAATACAATAAATGAAATGTTTTTTAGACAAAATTAGAAATATTATAGTATTTATGAAACAATAACAATCGCAAAAAGCAATGTAAAAATATATAGTTTCAATTTCAATTTTATAGATAATCTACTATCGAATGAAATTGTAGAGTTTTGGACCTTACATTAACGCTGTTCACTAATAAAACACAGTACATTTTATACGCCATAAATTCAAGTATATTATAGACAAACGCGAAATCTGTAAAAGTCTTTTGATAAATCTTTTATAATCTTATATATATGTATTAGTTTTGAATACTTTAACATATTTTCGTGGACAGTTTCCACATAAAATTCTAAAATTTTGAAATATGTATTGTATAAACATTTTGTAAGTGACAAAATGTTATACGAATCTATATATATATATATAATCTATATATATTTTAATATAATTGTAAATTTTACACCGTTATCATCATCATCACCGTCTTCATCGTGTTATAATTACAGTATGACTATTATCTTTGCTTTATGAACAGCTTTGTGTATTTATTTATTTCACTCATCAGTATTGGAATGATCTGTAATTGATAGATTTATATGTTGTTATCATCAAATTGGAAACATTATATATATTTTATAGGTTCCATTTCTATGTTATAGGATCGTTCAACAAATATATCTCCCCCTTCTGTTATGGTGTATGTTGTTTCTAATTTGGGTTTTGTTTTGTTTTTCAGTTTTCCATACATGTACCATCTGGGTTTCACAGCGTCAGTGGTGGTTCCGAAAATAAATTCAGGTAAAATTATTTTTTTAAATATTATCTCTGTTTCTACCATTTTCTATGGTAACTTAACATTAATAATAGTGATTAGTATTTCCATTGTCGAAATACGTATTCTTATGTAGAATAGTATTTAATATCCAACTTCTAATTGGAAATATTATCATCAGAAACTGTTTTGTCTTCTGTAGTGAAAGTAGTGAAAAGTAGTTGTATGTATTGTAACATTGTCTATAGAACTAATTATTTCTATGATCAATTTTCTGTAATTTATTTATCTTTTGGTTGTTGATATTGTCTTTATATTAGCATTTGTAATAGAAAATTTTTTTCCATGTTATTTTTTTAAAATTTATCTGAATAGAGCTGAGCTTCGTATATATATTACTTATTATGTACTTACTATAATTTCCCTTATTTTATAAATACGCACATATTAAAGAAGCGATATAAAGATTACTATCTGTAGAGACTATAAACATACTATATGTTTGTAATTTCTGCAGATATTAATTTACTATCTCTATTTTTCGCTTCTGGGGTGTCGGGAATGTCTTGAAAAGTTTAGCCTCATCGGTTATAATTAGTTACTTTAATTCAATACTAACGTCCTATCCAAATACTGTAGGTAAAAATAATGAAAGATTATAATTAATTGAAGAGTGGTGTAGTTAGACATACATATATTCAGATTTAGAAGCTATTGATGTGATTTCTTCCTAGGCGATATGAGCTGTTGTGTTATAACTTTATAAGTACATAGTTTATGAAAAATAAAATTTAATATTTATATTATTTTATGTATTTATATAGTATGATGTATGAGTACATAATGTTATATTTACCGTTATACCTTTCTATCCATTACCTACATATAAACATCAGTTTAGTATAGTATTATTATCTATATTAAATAGAAAAGATTTTAAAAACGCTTCAATTCACAATGTTCTTATTTTTTTTCCTATGAAATATGTATACATATAGTATAAGTTTCATGAGGCTATAAACCTACTTTGTGACTGCGAAATATACTTCCTGCTTGTTTTTATAATTCTCGCAAGAGTAGCCTCGTGAATTATTTTTTCCTGTAAGTATATCGATACGTTTTGTTGCAGTAACGTTTCTCCTTTAACCTTACCCAATAGTATGACTTATTATTATATTATTTAATGTTACATTAGCTGTGCTTCACGTTTTACAACATTTCCTTATAACTCAATATATATCCATATCCATGGAATTTCAGTTCGTTTCTGGCGAACAAACCTCAAATGACTTAACTTTAGTTTTATGTCATAGACTACCCTTGTGATCACAGAGACAAAAAAAAATCTTATAATTTATAGGATTTCAAATGAATTCTCTTTATTTATTTACTTAATGATTTTTCATTCCTTAATCTTCTTTGAATGATAGTTTGTTTCACGTGTTGCTCTAGTTTTGAACGTACTGTTTTCTTACTTATCGATATATTTTTGTGTTATTAAAAAAATATGTAGTTATTATATAACATGTTTTTATTCAATTGCGTTAATGCTTGGATAGAATTCACTGCAACAATTCTTTCAGTTCACAGCTTAAGTTATAGTAATAAGTTGTTGCAATGATGAAATAATACGTATATATTATTATTGTACAAACTTATATATTCCTATTATTGTACTTATTGTGGAACATGTTTTATTCTTATAATCGTTGTATGTTCACAATTCTGTAACTTTATATGTGTTTCTTTAACGTGGAAATAGAATAATATCACAGCAATTAGGTAATAAAATGTAAACATACAAATTTAAGAGAAAGATAATTTGATGAATAAATTCTATACTAAACCGAAGAGCTAGTGTAGTACAATAATAATGTGTTTGTGTTAATATTGTGTTATGAGAAGTAACTGTACTGTGAAAGCTGTGTGTTTTTTAACAGTTTAGTTCCTTTAATCGTTGCTAGAAATCTTTTTCAAAGTGGCGACTAAAATATACACTATGCGTAGTACATATGTATATATATACATCTGTAGTAATATTACTCTGAAGTTTTTGACGCGTATGTATTCTAAGTATATATATACATGTTGTTTGTAAGTTACAGGTTCACTAATTAAATTAATTATTGCTTTCAAACACTTGATTTTCTAATAAGTCGTTTGATGTGATTATTATGAGAAAATATTTAAAAAAAATCCCTTGAGCGTTTAACATTATTAAATAATATAATAAATTAAGTTACATATCGAAAGCAATTTTTATGTTCAGTTCAATTTAAACTAAGACTACTTTAAACTAATCTGGTGTATTACAATTACAAAAACTTGTTTTAAAGTGATGATAAGTGAAAAAGTAGTGCAGAGAAAATGTTATATGTTGTGAATGAGACAGCAAAATCTTTGTGTACTTTCTGATCGTCATCAAGTTTATATTCCTTCTCTTCTTAAATGTTTGTACCCGAACAAGTTGAGTAACTTTCTTGTTAACTTACCTTTCAAAATTTTTGGAATATCTTGTTCAGGTAGCACCGCAATATCTACAGGTGATTCTTCTTCTGAGATTTCTGTTTCGGTAATATTCACTGTACTTATAGGTGATTCTCCTTCTCGTTCAACAGTGACGATTTCTGTAACCTCTTCTTTAGGTCCTTTCTTCTTCTTAATGACACGTTTAGTAGTCTTAATTGATTTCGGTTCACCGGATTCTGTCCGCACTTGTGTAATTTTTACATCTTCAGGTATTTCTTCAACAATTTCAGCTACATCAGATTCTTTTAATAGCGCTTTAAACGGTTCACTAATATCGTCTACAATTTCTTCCGTCTTATGGATCGAAATGATAGGGTGTGGGCTCTCATTATCTTCTTCAGTGATAATTTGTGTCGTTTCAATTTTGGGACCAACTTTCTTTTTAATTGTTCGCTTAGTAATTTTCTTTTGTTTAATATCACCTTCTGGAGATACATATTCTTCAACAATAGTTTCTTCAGGTAGCTCGACTGATTTTGTGGACAACGTTTCTTCTGTCTGAGTATAATTTTTCTCAGATACATCTACAGTAGTTATTGGTAATTCATCTACTTGTTCAATTGTTGACACCTCTGTAATTTCTTCTTTTGGACCTTTCTTCTTTATAACCCGTTTTACAGATTTCACTGGTTTTATTTCTACAGTATCCGTTTCCACTTGCGTTACTGTAACATTTTCTGGTGCTTCGTCTACTGTTCTTGCTTTTTCTGTTTTATCCATTAGTTCATTAAATGGTTCGGATACGTCATCTATTAGTTCTTCTGTTGTATGTACGGACATAGTGGGCACTTTGATGTCATCTTGTAGATCAGGGAAGCTTTGTGTAGCTCCAATTTTAGGTTCCTCCTTCTTCTTATTAGTTCGTTTAGTTAACTTTTTCTGATTAGTTTTGTCTTTTGGAGATTCATATTCTTCAATAATATTTTCGGGTAGTTCTATTGCCTCTTTTGGCTTTATTTCTTCCTCTTCCAATACATTCACTGTAGTGATAGGTTTTTCACCATCAGTTTCTATAATACTAATTTCCGTAATCTCTTCTTTTGGACCGACCTTTTTCTTTATAATGCGTTTTGTAGTCTTCACAGATTTTATTTCACCCGTTTGCGTTCGTACTTGTATAATCTTTACATCTTCTGGTATCTCTTCAATAACTTTGGCCGTCTCCATATTTTTAACTATTTGATCGAGCGGAGTAGTAGCATCCTCTAAAATATCTTCTGTTTGGTGTACAGATATAATGGGTTCCTCACTTCCACCTTCATGTTCCGTAATAATTTGTGTTGTTTCAATTTTAGGCCCTATTTTCTTTTTGATTACTCGTTTCACGGTTCTTTTTTCTTGAACTACACCTTCTGGAGTTTTAAATTCTTCAACAAAAGTCTCTTCCGGTAGTTCAATCAGTGTTATATTATCTTGTGGAGCGTTATCTTGTTCAATTATATTTACTGTAGTAGTAGGCTGCTGTCCTTCGACATCAGTACTTATAATTTCTGTTACTACTTCTTTTGGTCCTTTCTTTTTTCTAATCACACGTTTAATTGTCTTCACAGACTTAATATCTCCTGTTTCTGTTCGGACTTGCTCAACTTTTATCTCCTCTGGCATTTCCTCCACAATTTTAGCTTCCTCTAGGTTACTTAATTCTTGTGCTATAGGAGTAGTAACATCATCTATAATTTCTTCAATTGTATGCACTGAAACAGTTGGTTCTATAGCTCCTTCGTCTTGTTCTGTGACAATTTCTGTTGTCTCTACTTTAGGACCTACCTTCTTTTTAACTATGCGTTTAGTAATCTTCTTTTGTTTTGTACCTCCTTCTGGAGTTTTGTATTCTTCGATGATAGTTTCTTCTGGTAACTCATAAGTCTGTATTGGAATTGTGTCGTCATCCCTCTCTGTAACGGAAACAGTAGTAATAGGCGTTTGTCCTTCTGCTTCAATAGTAATTATTTCAGTAGTTTCTTTTTTGGGTCCATCTTTTTTCTTGAAAATACGTTTTGTGGTTTTGATCGTCCGTGTTTCACCGTCCTCTGTTCTTATTTTTGTAACTTTTACATCCTCTGGTACTTCTTCTACAATTATGGCTTCCTCGACTTCGGCCAATAGGTGTTCTAGTGGTGCAGTGCCGTCATCAACTATCTCTTCCGTTTTGTTTATAGAAACGACAGGTTGTTCATTATCGTCATTTTGTTCTGTAATAATTTGTGTCGTTTCTATTTTAGGACCTAATTTCTTTTTAATGGTACGTTTAGTTACTGTCTTGTGTTTAATAACTCCTTCCGGAGTATCATATTTTTCTACGAATGTTACCTCTGGTAATTCTATTATTTCCGCCGGCTTTTGATCTTCCTTTTCAATAAGATCTGTGATTTCGGAAATATCATCCTTAGGTTCTTTTGTCTTTTTTGTTATTCGCTTTAATTTTTTAGCTGGTTCATTTTTACCAAATTCTGTATTTACTTGTGTAACTTCTATGTCCTTGGGGATTTCTTCCGCAATGCAAGCTTTGTGAGGAACAGTTAATATTTCATCGAGAGGTGTAACTGTGTCTTCTAATAATTCTTCAGTTTTGTGGATAGATATAATCGGTTCTCGTGATTCGTCTTCTTGTTCTGAAACGATTTGTGTTGTTTCTATTTTGGGACCTATTTTCTTTTTTATTGTACGTTTGACAACTTTTTTTACTTTATTAGGACCTTCTGGGGTTTGTATTTCTTCAATAATTGTTTCTTCAGGTAGCTCTATGATCTCTACTGGTGCGTTTACCTCTGGATGGGTATTTTCTTTATTGGTGACTACAACAGTAGTAACAGGCAATTCGTCATCTTTTTCCATAGTAGTTATAGTTGTAATTTCTTCCTTTGGACCTTTCTTTTTCTTAATAACACGTTTAGTCGTCTTGATTGATTTGGATTCGCCTGCTTCCGTACTGACCTGTGTGATCTTGACTTCTTCTGGCATTTCTTCTAATATGACTGCTTTATCAGTGTTATGTTCAATGACAAATAGTGGCGCGGTAATATCTTCCAATATTTCCTCCGTTTTATGCACTGAAATAGTAGGTTCTTTTCTTTCATCGTCTTGCTCCGATATAATTTGAGTTGTTTCTACTTTCGAACCTTCTCTCTTTTTGATGGTGCGCTTGGTTACCTTTTTTCGTTTTGTTTCACCTTCTGGACTTTTAGTCTCTTCAATATAAGTTACTTGCGGTAATTCAATTATTTCGGCAGTCATCGTGTCCTCTTTTGGTATAGTATCATTATCTTTTTCTGTCACATTGAGTGTCATAATTGGGGCCTCGTTCTCTCTTTCGATAGTTGTAATCTCGGTAATTTCATCCTTAGGTCCCTTTTTCTTTTTAAATGTTTTCCTTGTAGTCTTAGTGGACTTAACGTCATCTTTTTCTGTAGACACCTGCGTAACTTGAATTGTCTCTGGGATTTCCTCTATAGGTTTTGCAGTGTCTTCTGTTTGTAATATAGTGAAGGGTACTGCGTCTTCGTCTACTAATTCTTCTGTTTTACCAACAGAAATAATCGGTTCCTCAATATCTTGTTGTTCTGTAAAAATATCTGAGGGTTCTATTATAGGTTTTATTACCTTTTTGATTACTCGTTTCTTATTTTTTTCCTCAGTGAGTTTGCTCTCTTGTAATTCACTTATTGGCAATGTAGTTTTATCTGGTAATGTTTCCTGTGATTCTTCTATTCCGGACTTAGTTGGCTTAATGTGAACGTTGTTATCTGAAACTTTCGCTGTGTGATTTTCATTGTTCGAATTTTTAGGTACATTACTTTCTAAATCTTTTGTTGTTTTTATTTGATTAAATGTTATCTGAACTTGTGTTGCGTGTATTTTGAGTGATGGCTCTTCAGTGATGTGTACTTTGACTGGTGAGCATGAAGTGTTTTCTATAGGTGTGGTGGTGTCATAATCGTATTCTTCTATAAAGTGAACAGATGTATTAAATTGTGTTTCATTCTCATTGGCTAGAGACAACTGTGTTTTTTCTGTGTTTAGTCCTACTTTATTTTTAGGGCGTCTCTGTGATTTACTATGTGTTTCTTCTATAAGTGAATCTGTTTCAGTGGCGTCCATAATTTTCTGATCTGATATCAGTACAGAGTCTTTAGTTTGAATGTGAAGAGTTCCTATTGATTCGTGTACAATTTTAGCTCTTTGAGGTATAGGGAAATTGTGTTCTAGGTGTATTAAAGTGTCATGTAAATTTTCTTCTTCTGTATATGCTATAATGTTATACTGTTGATTGTCTTCTAGGTTACCCAGCAATTCATTTGACTTAGGAAGTATTTTATTTTTATTAATATGTTTAACTGATTTATATTTTATCTTACCCTCCGGAGATTGTAAATCTTCTGTAGAGTCCTCTAATAATCCTAAAGAGTCTGCTTCACTTGGTATTTCTTTTTCGGTAACCGTTACAGCAGCAACTGGATTTTGGTATTCTATTTGTGATAATTTAGTTCTACGCTGTTTCTTCTGTTTATTACTGCTAATAATTTCTTCTGGTTTCATTTGATCATTTTCCATTTGTACTTGTGTAATTCCTACGGTTTCAAGAATATCCTCGATTATCTCAGCTTTGTGAACATTATATGAATCTTCTGTAAATACTATGTTAATATCATCTACAATAGTATCTGTGGCATGTAAAGACAATAGAGGTTTTTCATCCTGCACTTCTGTGATAGAGGTTTCAATTTTAGGTTCAATGTTTTCTTTTTTCATGGGTTTATTAACTTTTTTCGGTTTTGATATATCATCTGTTGACTCAGATAATTCTATATTAACTTGCATTATTTTTATTTTACCAGGACTTTCTTCCACTATAACTACGCTCTCTGGTAATTGTGCAGTATCTGCAAGCGGTAAAGTCGTATCTTCTAATATCACTTCTGTCTTCTGTTCAGAAAGTGAAGGTTGTTTATTTATATCCTGTTCACTGCTTAGTTGCGTTACGTCTTTCTTCGGACTTTTAGTTTTTTTATTGTCAATCTTTACTTTTATCTTATTATTGAGGGGTTTAGGTTCTTCACTAGTTATTACTTCTTGGTATTCACTTACTTTCGTAGGTTGAATTGCTTCTTTCTCTGGTACATTTTGAACATTAGAATCATAATAATTCCCTTCTGTCTCCTCAATTATATTTTTAAAAGTTCTAGTAGGTAAAGTGTCACGGTTATATGTTTGTACTATGGATACATGTAGTCTGTCAGGAGTTTCTTCGATAATATGTGCTTTCACAGGTACTTGTGGAGTGGCAAGTGGCAATGTAGTGTCATCAAAAATGTCCTCTGTATTGTGTGTAACTGTATTTATGTGTTCTTTATCAATTACTTGTACCTTTTTGTCTTTAGGTGTTTGTTTTAAAATAGTTTTAGGACTTTTCTTCTTTGCTAACTTACCTTTCAAAATTTTTGGAATATCTTGTTCGGGTAGCTCCGCAATCTCTGCAGGTGATTCTTCTTCTGAGATTTCTGTTTCGGTAATATTCACTGTACTTATAGGTGATTCTCCTTCTCGTTCAACAGTGACGATTTCTGTAACCTCTTCTTTAGGTCCTTTCTTCTTCTTAATGACACGTTTAGTAGTCTTAATTGATTTCGGTTCACCGGATTCTGTCCGCACTTGTGTAATTTTTACATCTTCAGGTATTTCTTCAACAATTTCAGCTACATCAGATTCTTTTAATAGCGCTTTAAACGGTTCACTAATATCGTCTACAATTTCTTCCGTCTTATGGATCGAAATGATAGGGTGTGTACTCTCATTATCTTCTTCAGTAATAATTTGTGTCGTTTCAATTTTGGGACCAACTTTCTTTTTAATTGTTCGCTTAGTAATTTTCTTTTGTTTAATATCACCTTCTGGAGATACATATTCTTCAACAATAGTTTCTTCAGGTAGCTCGACTGATTTTGTGGACAACGTTTCTTCTGTCTGAGTATCATTTTTCTCAGATACATCTACAGTAGTTATTGGTAATTCATCTACTTGTTCAATTGTTGACACCTCTGTAATTTCTTCTTTTGGACCTTTCTTCTTTATAACCCGTTTTACAGATTTCACTGGTTTTATTTCTCCAGTATCCGTTTCCACTTGCGTTACTGTAACATTTTCTGGTGCTTCGTCTACTGTTCTTGCTTTTTCTGTTTTATCCATTAGTTCATTAAATGGTTCGGATACGTCATCTATTAGTTCTTCTGTTGTATGTACGGACATAGTGGGCACTTTGATGTCATCTTGTAGATCAGGGAAGCTTTGGGTAGCTTCAATTTTAGGTTCCTCCTTCTTCTTATTAGTTCGTTTAGTTAACTTTTTCTGATTAGTTTTGTCTTTTGGAGATTCATATTCTTCAATAATATTTTCGGGTAGTTCTATTGCCTCTTTTGACTTTATTTCTTCCTCTTCCAATACATTCACTGTAGTGATAGGTTTTTCACCATCAGTTTCTATAATACTAATTTCCGTAATCTCTTCTTTTGGACCGACCTTTTTCTTTATAATGCGTTTTGTAGTCTTCACAGATTTTATTTCACCCGTTTGCGTTCGTACTTGTGTAATCTTTACATCTTCTGGTATCTCTTCAATAACTTTGGCCGTCTCCATATTTTTAACTATTTGATCGAGCGGAGTAGTAGCATCCTCTAAAATATCTTCTGTTTGGTGTACAGATATAATGGGTTCCTCACTTCCACCTTCATGTTCCGTAATAATTTGTGTTGTTTCAATTTTAGGCCCTATTTTCTTTTTGATTACTCGTTTCACGGTTCTTTTTTCTTGAACTACACCTTCTGGAGTTTTAAATTCTTCAACAAAAGTCTCTTCCGGTAGTTCAATCAGTGTTATGTTATCTTGTGGAGCGTTATCTTGTTCAATTATATTTACTGTAGTAGTAGGCTGCTGTCCTTCGACATCAGTACTTATAATTTCTGTTACTACTTCTTTTGGTCCTTTCTTTTTTCTAATCACACGTTTAATTGTCTTCACAGACTTAATATCTCCTGTTTCTGTTTGGACTTGCTCAACTTTTATCTCCTCTGGCATTTCCTCCACAATTTTAGCTTCCTCTAGGTTACTTAATTCTTGTGCTATAGGAGTAGTAACATCATCTATAATTTCTTCAATTGTATGCACTGAAACAGTTGGTTCTATAGCTCCTTCGTCTTGTTCTGTGACAATTTCTGTTGTCTCTACTTTAGGACCTACCTTCTTTTTAACTATGCGTTTAGTAATCTTCTTTTGTTTTGTACCTCCTTCTGGAGTTTTGTATTCTTCGATGATAGTTTCTTCTGGTAACTCATAAGTCTGTATTGGAATTGTGTCGTCATCCCTCTCTGTAACGGAAACAGTAGTAATAGGCGTTTGTCCTTCTGCTTCAATAGTAATTATTTCAGTAGTTTCTTTTTTGGGTCCATCTTTTTTCTTGAAAATACGTTTTGTGGTTTTGATCGTCCGTGTTTCACCATCCTCTGTTCTTATTTTTGTAACTTTTACATCCTCTGGTACTTCTTCTACAATTATGGCTTCCTCGACTTCGGCCAATAGGTGTTCTAGTGGTGCAGTGCCGTCATCAACTATCTCTTCCGTTTTGTTTATAGAAACGACAGGTTGTTCATTATCGTCATTTTGTTCTGTAATAATTTGTGTCGTTTCTATTTTAGGACCTAATTTCTTTTTAATGGTACGTTTAGTTACTGTCTTGTGTTTAATAACTCCTTCCGGAGTATCATATTTTTCTACGAATGTTACCTCTGGTAATTCTATTATTTCCGCCCGCTTTTGATCTTCCTTTTCAATAAGATCTGTGATTTCGGAAATATCATCCTTAGGTTCTTTTGTCTTTTTTGTTATTCGCTTTAATTTTTTAGCTGGTTCAGTTTTACCAAATTCTGTATTTACTTGTGTAACTTCTATGTCCTTGGGGATTTCTTCCGCAATGCAAGCTTTGTGAGGAACAGTTAATATTTCATTGAGAGGTGTAACTGTGTCTTCTAATAATTCTTCAGTTTTGTGGATAGATATAATCGGTTCTCGTGATTCGTCTTCTTGTTCTGAAACGATTTGTGTTGTTTCTATTTTGGGACCTATTTTCTTTTTTATTGTACGTTTGACAACTTTTTTTACTTTATTAGGACCTTCTGGGGTTTGTATTTCTTCAATAATTGTTTCTTCAGGTAGCTCTATGATCTCTACTGGTGCGGTTACCTCTGGATGGGTATTTTCTTTATTGGTGACTATAACAGTAGTAACAGGCAATTCGTCATCTTTTTCCACAGTAGTTATAGTTGTAATTTCTTCCTTTGGACCTTTCTTTTTCTTAATAACACGTTTAGTCGTCTTGATTGATTTGGATTCGCCTGCTTCCGTACTGACCTGTGTAATCTTGACTTCTTCTGGCATTTCTTCTAATATGACTGCTTTATCAGTGTTATGTTCAATGACAAATAGTGGCGCGGTAATATCTTCCAATATTTCCTCCGTTTTATGCACTGAAATAGTAGGTCCTTTTCTTTCATCGTCTTGCTCCGATATAATTTGTGTTGTTTCTACTTTCGAACCTTCTCTCTTTTTGATGGTGCGCTTGGTTACCTTTTTTTGTTTTGTTTCACCTTCTGGACTTTTAGTCTCTTCAATATAAGTTACTTGCGGTAATTCAATTATTTCGGCAGTCAACGTATCCTCTTTTGGTATAGTATCATTATCTCTTTCTGTCACACTGAGCGTCATAATTGGGGCCTCGTCCTCTCTTTCGATAGTTGTAATCTCGGTAATTTCATCCTTAGGTCCCTTTTTCTTTTTAAATGTTCTCCTTGTGGTCTTTATAGATTTAAGATCACCTTTTTCTGTACGCACCTGCGTAATTTGAATTGTCTCTGGGATTTCTTCTATAGGTTTTGCAGTTTCTTCTGTTTGTAATATAGAAAAGGGCAATGCGTCTTCGTCTACTAATTCTTCTGTTTTACTGATAGAAATAATCGGTTCCTCATGTCCATGTTGTTCTGTAACAATTACTGTTTTTTCCACTTTGTCTCCTAATTTCTTTTTGATTACACGTTTTGTTATTTTATTCTTGACTTTTCCCTCTGACGTATCTGTTTCTGTAACTTTTATTTCTTCGGGTAATTCAATAATTTCTGTTGGTTTTTTATTACTTTCCTTAATGTCTGTTTCTTCTCTGACATTTACGGTTGTTATAGGACTTTGACCTTCTTCTTCTATAGTAACAATTTCAGTTATAGTATTTTCTGGTCCATTTTTAGATTTTATTACTCGTTTTGTAGTTTTTACTTTTTTAACGTCACCCACTTCAGTCTTTATTTGTGTTATATTAACCGTTTCTGGAACTTCTTCTATTACAAATGCTTTTTGTAGTTGTTGTGTGTCCTTCAGGTTTTGGGAGATTTCGTCTGTATATTCCTCTGTTTTGTGTACTAATATTACAGGTTGCTTGTCATCCTCTGCTTCAGTTGTAATTTCTGTTGTTTCTATTTTGGGTCCTACTTTCTTTTTTATGATGCGTTTAGTGATTTTCTTTTGTTTTACCTTACCATCTGGTGTTTCTGTCATTTGAAGTATTGTTTGTTCGGGTAATTCGAATGTCTCTGTTGGCCTACTTTCTTCTGTTTGTGATGGTTCTGTTATGTCTGTATGTACATTAGTAGTTCTGTGAATTATTATTGAAGATGTGTCATCTGTTTTCTCGTCTAGTTGTGAAGATTTTGGTTGTGTCGTGTCATCTTGGTTTGATGTGGGTTCTGCTGTCGATTGTACATTCATTTCTGTTATGCGTTTTATTACTTTTGATTTTCTAGACTTACCTTCTGATGATTTTGTTTCTTCAGTAGTTATCTCTTCAAGCACATTTGGGACAACTTTGATGTCCACAGTAACTGGTTTATGTTCTGGAACTATTTCTTCCACTGTATCTATATCATCAGTTGCTGTTAAAACTTCGGCTACTTTTGGTTTAGATTTCTTTTTTCTGACAACTGTTTTATGTTTTGGTATTACGTCATCTATATCTTCAGGTACTATAGTCTCATCCAATGGTTTTTCAGTTACGATTACTATAGATACAGGTGCCTGATCATCCTTTTCTACCGTCGTTATTTCTGTAATTTCCTCTTTGCCATCTTTAATCTTACTTATTTTTCTTTTAGTAGTCTTAACTTTTTTTACATCACCGGTCTCTGTTTTGACTTGCGTTACTTCAACTTGTTCTGGCTGCTCTTCTATGACTTGTGCTTTTTCAGGTTTGTGTTTGTTTATAAAGTCTACTGTAGAGTCATCAGATATTTCTTCAGACTTATGTACATAAATTACTGGTTGTTTTTCATCTTCCTGCTCTGTTGTTATCTCTGTTGTTTCAATCTTTGGTCCTTTTTTCTTTTTAATTATGCGTTTTGTGATTTTCTTTTGTTTTGTACTACCATCTATGTCTTTCTTTTCTTCTACTACAATTTCTTCAGGCAATTCTATGACTTCCTCCGTATCTGTAACTTCTATTATTTCTGGCAATAATTCTTTTATTGTTACAGTTGTGACCGGTGCATCATCATCTTCTTGAATAGTGGTAATTTCTGTGATTTCATTAGAATCACCTTTCTTCTTTCTAATAATTCTTTTTGAAGTTTTTATGTCCTTAGTTTTGCCACTTTCTGTACGAACTCGAGTGACCTCAATTTGTTCTGGAATTTCTTCGATAATTTGGGCTACTTCTGGCTTATACCTCATGGTAAATTCATGGAATGTCTCATCATCGATCACTTCCTCCATTTTACTCACTGAAATAGTCGGCTCCTTATTTTCTTCTTCTTCCGTAGCTATTTCTGTTGTTTCTACTTTAGGACCTACCTTCTTTTTGATTACACGTTTAGTGATTTTCTTTTTCTTTATACCGTCTGGCGTCTTAAATTCTTCAACGATCGTTTCTTCCGGCAATTCTATAATATTAACCACTGGTACTTCTTTATCTGGTGATTCAGTGATTTTGGGAATAATTTCTTCTGCCATTTCTTCTATTTGAACTTGGGTCGGTAGTTTTGGTATAGGCAAAATTTCCTCAGGCATTTCAATGGTACTTTTATCAGAATCTTCAATGACAGCCTCATCCCCATCATATTCTTCGATATTTACTTCATGAGGTATTTTTTGTTGAGGTTGTTTTTTATTATCGTCGTCTAGAGTTTCCTCTATTACAATATCACCTTCAGCAATGTCTCTGTTTCCTTTCTTTTTGGTCTTCCTTAAAATTGTGCGCTTTGTTTTAATTTGTATTGGTTCTCCATTTCCGGGAGCTTGTATAAATTTAGTCACTATCTCTTCAGTTTCTTCAGTGTCAGATGATTTTGGTGAAACCGGTGTACCTTTTGATATTTCTGAAAAAGTATTCTCTGTTTTAGTGTTTGTATGAAATATATTATCATAGAGTAAGTAATGAGCATGTATTTCTTTCTTTTTTATGTCGATATTATCAATATTAATTTTATGTTTTTCATGAGGAACCTTTAATACAAAATATTGGAGCAAATTGTGAATGTTACAATATCTATTACAGTTAAATATAATTAGCGATGACGATAGCCGGCGACTGAACTAGTATTTAGTCTATGATTCGACTATATTATATCTTACGTCATCCACAACAATAATCACTCTAATAACATATATGTAGTATGCCTATGTATTTGTTAACTTATCACAGTTAATCGATTTAAAAAAATCTCAGCGAATTTTAATATGAAGATAAATTGTATAACAATGACTGACATGGGTTATTGTGATTGTAATTGTTATATTTATATTACACATATGACCCTTTAAGCTCTTGTTTTTACATTTACATTCCACATCTTTTGTATTAAGACTATTCCTATATATAAATAAATGGGTAACATCTGTATATAAACTATAATTATCGTGGAACATTTATGTGATCGGTATGAGTATGATGATGGTTGATGATTTTTCCTGTAGTCGAAACTTTCGACGTTATGGCACAAGTAGTAAGCGCTACACTTACTTAGTTTACTATGTCTGTTCATGTTCAATAATCAGAAATTATTTTCTTAAAATATATCGTGTACTAAGAAGTGAAGTTATATTGCATAAAAATCAGCGAATTAGTGTGATAGTATGATATATAAATGTTCAGAATACATCAGCCCTAAGTAAGTTTTCTCTACGTCTGCTTCAAGTCTTCCCAAATAAATTATATATATATAGATTTGATGTAGACAAGTAATGCCTTTGCTATATATGAGTATAGATTGTGATGATTGTTGTTGTTTATTCTTAATATCAAATCAAAAATCATTTATTCATGTAAGACATTTTAGCCGTTTATGAACTTAAAACTTTTTGTATTATTTTTTTTTTAAATCATAAAGAAATTTGAAATAAATAGTATTCTATTGCCTATTTCGAGTAAATTGTAAAAGTATTGTAGCATACCTCATGAATACATATGTAAATATTTGTCAAATAAAGAATAGATATTTACGAAAATCAAGAAATTGTTGAAACAAATAAATAAACTTGAAATTCCATATATGTTCAACTTTTATTGACTATATCATTAAATCTTCAACGTTTATTTCTTTGAATATCGACTTTCATTTTCAATTATAAGTAAAAAAATCACAGATGTCCTTATCTATCTCGACTTTTGATCTCGATGTAATTAATGAGGATTTGAAATGACGAATGAAGATCGTGAATATAATATTTAATTTTAAGCTTACCATATGGAGTTTCTATTTCTTCTACAGTAAATTCAGGTGACTCGATCCTATTTTCTTCTTTTGGAATGTTTTCTTCAAAAATGTCATCAATTTCAACAGTTTTTTTCTTGGATTTTTTAATCTTCTTAATAACGCGCTCTGTATCAGTAATGGGCTTATCTTCACTTAATTTTGTATGTATTTGAGTAATATTTATTTTTTCTAAAGGTTCATCTAGTAGTTTAGCTGTGTCTTGTGAGCGTAATGTATGTTCGAGTGGTGTAGTGGTATCGTCTTTGATTTCTTCGGTAGTGTGTACTGATATGGTATATGGTTTATCGACTTGTTGCTCAACTGTCACGATTTGTTCAGTTTTAGACCCTACCCTTTTTTTACGTTTAACAACTTGATTTTTAATAGGCTTACCATCTTGAGGTTGTAAGGCTTCAACTGGTTTCTCTTCAGTGATTGAACTTGAGTCTTCTACAACTTCATCTAACTCTGAATCTTTTTCCTCAGTAACCGTAATCGTACTAATGGGAGTTTCGCCATCCGTTTCTATTTTTGTGATTTCTGTAACTTCTTTGCTTGGGCCTTTTTTCTTTTTAATGACTCTTTTTGTAGTCTTTATTGACTTAATTTCACCAGTTTTTGTTCGCACTTGAGTAATTTCTACCTTCTCAGGTAATTCTTCAATGACCATAACAGTATCAGGAGTATCTATTTCCGGTGTAAATGGTAAACTAATATCATCCACAAGTTCCTCGATAGTATGGATTGAGACCACAGGCTGTTTATTGTCTTCTTCTTCTGTAGTGATTTCTGTAGTTTCAAGTTTAGGACCTTTTTTCTTTTTTATAATTCTTTTTGTAACTTTTTTATATTTTGGTTTACCTTCTGGAGTTTCAAGAACTTCTATAGTAGTTTCTTCTGGTAATTCCACCGCTTCAATAATTTCTTCCGCTTCTGGCGATTCAGCGATAACACTTACCGTTGTTATAGGTGATTCGCCATCTTTTTCTATGGTTGTGATTTCAGTCACTTCTTTTTTAGGCCCATCTTTTTTCGTTATAACACGTTTAGTTTTCTTAACAGATTTTATGTCTCCTGATTCTGTTCGTATCTGTGTTACTTCCACTTTCTCAGGAATCTCCTCAATAATATTAGCATTTTCGGGTCTTTGTGTTATATCTGTAAAAGATGAAATAGTATCCTCTACGAGGTCTTCTGTAGTATGTACAGATACTATAGGTTCTTTATCATCTATTTGTTCACTAACTATTTCTGTAGTTTCTAATTTAGGTCCTCTCTTTTTCTTGATAACACGTTTAGTAATTTTCTTTTTTGTTACCAAACCTTCAGGTGTCGCTGCCTCTTCTATAGTTGTTTCTTCAGGTAGTTCTATTATTTCAATTGTTTTATCTGGTTTAATATTATCAAGTTGTGAAAGTGTTACGGATGTTTCATATTTTTCGGGAATTTCTTCAATAATTTTAGCTTTTATTGTTTCATGTAAAGTAACAAGTGGTGTAATGGTGTCGTCAATAATGTCTTCTGTTGTGTGTGTTAAAATTTGTTTTTTATTGTCTTCTCCGATAGTTGTTTGTTCTGTTTCAGTTTTAGGCTCTGTTTTCTTTTTAATAACACGCTTAATAATTTTTTTCTTGATTGACTTACCTTCTGGAGATTTTGATTCTTCTGTAATGATTTCCTCTGGGACTTCAATTATATCATATGGCTTCTCTTCTGGCGTTTCTTCTTCCGTTACAGTTACTGTTGTAATAGGTGTATCTCCTTCAGCTTCAACTGTAGTAATCTCCGTGATTTCTTCTTTTTTGGGGCCTTTTTTCTTCTTAATAACTCGTTTTGTTGTTTTTATTGCTTTGGTTTCACCGGTATCAGTACGAATTTGTGTAACTTTAACTTCCTCTGGAATTTCCTGAACAACATTAGCAGTGTCAGATTTTTGCAGTACTTCATTAAAAGGAAAGGCAATATCTTCTGAAATTTCTTCTGTTTTGTGGACAGATACAATAGGTTCTTTGGTTTCACCTTGTTCAGTTATAATTTCTGTTGTTTCTACTTTAGGGCCAATTTTCTTTTTAATGGTACGTTTTACTATTTTCTTTGTTTTAGGAATACCCTCTGGTGTAACAGTTTCTTCGATAAATATTTCTTCCGGCAGTTCGACAGTTTCTATTGGTACTATTTCCTGTACATTAACATCATCTTTTTCAGTCACGGTAACTGTAGTAATAGGTAATTCTCCTTCCACTTCCACAGAAGTAATTTCAGTGACTTCTTCTTTTGGTCCCTTTTTCTTCTTAATTACCCGCTTTGTTGTTTTAATCGCTTTCTTTTCGCCAGTTTCAGTCCGTATTTGTGTAATTTTAATTTCCTCAGGTACTTCTTCAATAGTATGAGCTTTGTGAGGTTCATCTATTATCTGCTCAAATGGTATTGTCATATCTTCGAGAACTTCTTCTGTTTTGTGAACAGATATTATCGGCTCTACTTTTCCATCTACTTCTTCTGTGACAATTTGAGTTGTTTCTACTTTGGGACCGACTTTTTTCTTTATCGTGCGTTTTGAAATCTTTTTAATCTTAGTTTTACCTTCTGGAGTTGAAAATTCTTCTATAGTTTGCTCTTCTGGAAGTTCAATTATTTCTAGCGGTGTAGTTACTTCTGGAACACCATAGTCTTTGTCACTTACTGTGACAGTAGTAATAGGAGTTTCACCCTGCTTTTCTACAGTGGTTATTGTAGTAACTTCTTCTTTAGGACCCTTTTTCTTCTTAATAACTCGTTTTATAGTTTTAACGGATTTAGTTTCACCTGTTTCAGTAGGAACCTCCGCGACATTTACTTCTTCAGGAATTTCTTCTACTATTTTAGCCTTGTCAAAATCGTGTAGATTGCTATTCAGAGGTGTGGTAACTACATCTAATATCTCTTCAGTCTTATGTACAGAAATGATGGGCTCCTTAGTATCATCGTCTTGTTCAGAGATAATTTGAGTTGTTTCTATTTTAGGACCAGTTTTCTTCTTAATAATTCGTTTTGTTATTTTCTTCTGTTTAGTTAACCCATCTGGAGTTTTAGTTTCTTCAACATATGTCTCTTCTGGTAATTCAATTGTTTCTATTGGTATTATTTCTTCTTTTGGTAAGTCATCTTTTTCTGTCACGATTACAGTTGTAATTGGAGATTCATCGTCTTTTTCAATAGTTGTTATTTCAGTGGTTTCTTCCTTAGTCCCCTTTTTCTTTTTGATTACTCTCTTAGTTGTCTTAACAGATTTAATGTCTCCTTCTTCTGTACGCACTTGAGTAACTTGGACTGTTTCTGGAATTTCTTCTATAGGTTTCGCCGTGTCTGTCTTTTTTAATACAGTAAACGGAGTAGTTTCTTCATCTATTAGTTCCTCTGTTTTACTAACTGAAATAATTGGTGCCTCGTTTTCTTGTTGTTCTGTAACAATTTCTGTAGTTTCTACTTTAGATCCTACTTTCTTTTTAATTACACGTTTTGTAACTTTTTTCTGTTTGGGTATACCATCTGGCATTTTAGTTTCTATTACTGCTGTTTCTTCGGGAAGTTCAATAATTTCAATGGATTTATCCTCTTTCTCTTCGGGAAGCTTCTCATCGATAACATTGACTGTGGTTATTGGGGTTTCGCCTTCTTTTTCTATAGTAACTATCTCTGTTATTTCTTTTTTTGGACCTTTCTTCGTTTTTATTACTCGTTTTGTTGTCTTTACAGTTTTTATGTCACCAGTTTCAGTCTTGATTTGCGTTACTTTTACTGCCTCAGGTATTTCTTCTACTACCGATGCTTTTTCAGGTTCATATATATTCTCAAATTCTTCTACTGCAGTATCTGTATATTCTTCCGTCTTTTGAACTGAAACGATAGGTTGACTGTCACCAATTTGTTCAGTTATAATTTCTGTTGTTTCCGTTTTTGGTCCTATTTTCTTCTTAAGGATACGTTTAGTAATTTTCTTTTGTTTTATTTTACCTTCAGGTGTTGTGGTTTCCTTAATTTCAACTTGTTCAGGTAACTCAATCACTTTTATCGGTTGAATTTCTTCTAATTCTGATATTTTTGATTCTGTTACGACTTCATCTTCAATTTCACTGTCAATTGTAGAAACTTTTGGTTGTTTATCATCATCTTCTGAGATATCTGCAGTTGTTTTCTTTTTTACCACACGTTTTTTAATTTTTATTGTCTTTGTTTTACTTTCAGGTAAATCCTCTTCTTCAATTATTTTTTCATTTGGAAGCTCACTAAGTTCATTTTTTTCTGGAATATCGTCTATAAAAACAGCTGTATTATATATTCGCTTTACAATAAATTCTGTTACTGTCTCATCATTATCTGAGAGAGTTATTATTTCTGCTGTTTTCAAATTTTGTTCTTTGTCTTTCTTAACTCGTTTAATAATCTTTTTATGTTTTTTATTAACTTCTTTAATCTCTTCAACTTCTAAAGGTTGATCCAATGATTTTTCAGAAACTGTGACGATAGATATCGGTGCTTGATCGTCTTTTTCCACTGTTGTTATTTCTGTAACTTCTTCTTTCCCGCCTTTCTTCTTACTTATTATTCTTTTAGAAGTTTTTATTTTTTTCACATCACCGCTTTCCGTCTTTACTTGTGTTATTTCAATTGATTCTGGTTGTTCTTCAATGATTTGTGCCTTTTCTGGTTTATATTTGAGTACAAAGTCGATAGCCGAATCATCTGATACTTCTTCAGTCTTATGTACATAAATTACTGGTTGCTTGTCATCTTCCTGCTCAGTTGTAATCTCCGTAGTTTCAATCTTTGGTCCCCTTTTCTTTTTAATTATGCGCTTTGTGGTTTTCTTTTGTTTTGTGCTTCCATCAGACTTTTTCATTTCTTCGACTACTATTTCCTCAGGTAATTCTATTACTTCCTCTGTATCTGTACTTTCTATTGTTTCTGGTAATAATTCTTTTATTTTTACTGTAGTAATAGGAGCTTCGTCATCTTCCTGAATAGTTGTAATTTCTGTGATTTCATTCGCATCACCTTTTTTCTTTCTAATAATTCTTTTCGATGTTTTTATATCCTTAGTTTTACCAGTTTCTGTACGAACTCTGATAACTTCAACTTGTTCAGGAGATTCCTCAATTACTTGAGCTTCTTCAGGTTTGTAGGTTGTTGAAAATTCATCGAATGTCTCATCATCGACTACTTCTTCTATTTTACTTACTGAAATAATTGGCTCTTTATTATCTTCTTCTTCAGTAGCTATTTCCGTTGTTTCTACTTTGGAACCTACCTTCTTTTTGATTACACGTTTAGTAATTTTCTTTTTCTTTATTCCTTCTGGCGTCTTGTATTCTTCGACAACTGTTTCTTCGGGAAGTTCTACTATCCTTACTGCATGCGATTCATCAGCGGGTAATTCAGTAATTTTAGGAAGAACTTCTTCTACAATTTCCTCTATTTCAACCTGAGTTGGTAATTTGGAAATATGTATAGGTTCTTCAGGTAATTCAATTGTACTTTTTTCGGAGTCTTCTATTATAGTCTCATCTCCTTCGTATTCCTCAATATTTACTTCATGACTAATTTTTTGTTCTGATTGTTTTTTATCATCGTCATCGATTCTTTCCTCTATGACTATATCTCCTTCAACAATATCTTTGTTTCCTTTCTTTTTGGTTTTTCTTATAATGGTACGCTTTGTTTTAATTTGTATTGGTTCTCCATTTCCTGGAGCTTGTACAAATTTAGTCACTATCTCTTCAGTTTCTTCAGTGTCAGATGATTTTGGAGAAATTTTTGATTTTTCTGAAAAAGTATTTTATGTTTTAGAGTTTATATTGAAATTCTATCACAGAGTAATGATTATGTGGCTCGTTATTTTCTATCGCATGTGTGTTCATAAACTTAGGCTTCTGAACCCGAATATTATGTAATTTGTTGCTTGTTTTTGTAAAATATCATCACTAGATTTTTTGAACGTTATAATATAACAAAGTGAGTGTTTTTTTTTTATTTGATTTCAAATGAGATTAGTATTAAATACAAAATAACAATAAAAATTTATTAATAGTCCAAATATTGTTTAACGACAATGACGGTAGGTGATAATAATAGTTTTAATTAAATTTGCGACTTGTTTTGGGTAGATAATTTTAATAGAATAAAATAATTTTAAAATTTTCAATTCTCTTATAAATAACTAATTCAATGAATTAGTTATTTATAAGAGAATTGAAAATTTTAATTTTACTGATGAATGCATCAGTATTTTATGTATCTACTGTTTTAAATCTGATGCGATCTTAATATTTTATTATTATCTTAATTGTATTACATTAGTATTCTGTTTTAGACATGATGCTACACTGAATGCTAACCCGAAGGAGCTGTTTCTTTTAATTATTATATTTATTTTGGACTATAGTAGGCGTCGAACCAATATTATTTCAATACATTATTTTAACTTATTATTATTACGGTATTCTAACCATTATGCGGTTATTCTAATCGTTAAAATAACATTTTGAAATATTATAATATTCGTAAAATCTAACATTTATATCAGACTTGTACAAATAATTATCCTTACTTAATATAAATGCAAAGGTAACTGATGTCTGTCTATCTGTTGCTCTTTCATGTCAAAACTACAACATCAATTAAAATAAAATTCGGTACACAGATAGTCTAGACCCTGAGAAACGCGTAGATTTTAATGAGAAAAAGTGTTGTAAGGAGTTAAAATGAGAGATGAAAAGTTGTATGGAAGTATCATTCATCATCAGTTATCGTCATTTTTAAACCTAGAAGCTTTTTTAGGCCGTTTATTAAATATAAAAAAAATATGACATACAAAGTTTGTAAAATATTAACCCTTAAGGGAGTGAAATAAAATAGAGTATAAAATATTTGTATGGAAATATGAAATTTTATTAAGTTACATGTAATTGTCCTATTTCTAAAATAATTTAAAATGCCATCCACTATTCCACACGGACGGACTCGCGGGCGGTCTTTTTATAAAAAGAAAATAATTTAGTCAAGCTAGAAAAACTTTCAGTAAAATTACGTATTTGTAACGGGTTTCAAATTTTTATGACAATGTTATCATATCTAGTGATGACTTTTTTCAAAAACATTTCGTTTTTGGTATCTAGTATTATTTGTTAAGTTTTGTTAATGGAATCCTTTAATTAACAAAAGAAAAAATAAAATAAAAAAATTGGTTGTGATTGTAATACATTCGTTCCAATATAGTATAGTGTAATAAAAAAATATAATTATGATTTTAATTGTTGATTGAGATTTACTATATGACAAAACAATAGTTTATATTGAATTGTCAAATTACTATACAGTTGCTATTTGGGAAACAGCAATTGTATAATAATTTAGTGGTTATGGTATATATTACTCATTACCTTACTACCAAAGCGGGAGTCGAACCCGTTAAATTCGATCATACGAAAATCTAAAAAGTCGTAAATAATTTACATTCTGTTCAGATGACATAAATGTAAAGAATCAGATGAAAGAAATGCGCGACATGTCGCATATATTATCGCGTATTTTCGTTGCAGAGTAAATCGTGCTTAGTATTATAGTTGTGTACGTTTTGGTGTATGTTCTTTTGAAAATAATTATATATTTTTGAATATTGTGTGACATTTGCAACTTACCACTTATTCTTACATCTTGTTCTGAAATCAATACTTCGGACTGTCGCTCGTCAGTGGTAGTGACCTTGCTTGTCATAAATGTAGGTTGAGTTTCAGAGTAAGGTGATATTTGTTCATCAACAAACTCGGATGTTACTTCGAGTTCATTTGTTACGTTCACGCCTTGTCTCAGTTTCTGTTCCTTGGGTTCTTTTATATGTAACTCATTTTCGTTTTGGAGTATAATATTGTCTGTGACTACTAAAGGTATTATACTAGTAGGTGTTATAGTTGAGGTCTTAGTTTGTGTCTCTTGTGTTTGCAATTCATCAACATGAGTTTGTAATATATTTTCTGTGCATTGTACATGTGTTAATGGAGTAACAGATTTATCCGCAGTTACTAGTTTGCTCTCATGTGGTACTAGACTGTCCTGTGTATCTTCATGTGTTACTTCATATACTGTATAACCTTCAGTAGTACTAAATGTTGATAGTGCTTGTTCCAAAGTGCCGCCTTTATCAAATGAAGATTCAATTTCACTTTCATGTACAATTACATCAGTTTGACTAATAGGAAGAATTTCAATAGGTTTTGGTAGAACAGTGGACTCTTTAAATGAAAGTGCATTAATATGTGAAGTGTTTTCTTCGGTTATAATTTCAGTTTGTTCTAGTGGCTTATTATCTAGAACATGTTGTGTGACTTGTCTCAATTTATTACCTTCTGTTGCGATGTCCTTTGATTCCTCGTTCGTTATGTTTTCTGTAACTATATAACTTTTATGTGTTTCAAGATCTAAAGACGCCATGTTTGTATCAGTTTTCAACAATTCTGGCATATCTATAATATTTTCGAGCACTTCTGGTCTTTCACTAGATATTTCTTGTAATATTATATGACTTTCTTCAGCTTTTTCTTTTCGTTCAGGTATATTTTCCAAGAAACTGGCTAGCTTTTCCTCTGTTATGACTTCGGTTTGTTCTAAAGGTTTAATTTCTATAATTTGTTTATCAGCAGTTTTACGTTGGCCTTCATGACTTACCATTGCTTCAGGTATTTCTTGTACATTATTTTCTATGGTAATATAACTTTTATGTAATTCTAATTCATAATTTATCTTACTTGTGTCAGGTTCATAAGTAGTAGTTAAATTTGCAGTACTTTCTATGACTTGTGGTTGGGTGTTAATTATTTCTTTAACAGTTGTGTGTGTTTCCAATGCTTTTTCATCTTTGGGTAAGAATTTCGTGAAAAGTTCGGGTATTTCTTCTGTAATGATTTCTGTTTGTTCTACGGGTTTAAAGTCAACTATATCTTGACTAGCTAGTGATGTTTCTGTCTCATAACTAGTTGTTAACTTTTCAGTACTCTCTATTACTTGTGGTTGAGTACTAATTATTTCTTTAACAGTTGTATGTGTTTTTACAGCCTTTTCATCTTTAGGTAAGAATTTTGTGAATAGTTCAGGATTTTCCTCTGTAATAATTTCTGTTTGTTCGAAAGGTTTGAAATCTATGATATCTTGGGTAGCTAGTGATGTTTCAGTATCATAAGTAGTAAACAATTTTGTAGTACTCTCTATTATTTGAGGTTGGATATTCACTACTTCTTTAACAGTTGTGTGTGTTTGTAATGCTACTTCATCTTTGGGCGAGAATTTTGTAAATAATTCAGGAGTTTCCTCTGTAATAATTTCTGTTTGTTCGACTGGCTTAAAATCTACGATATCTTGATTAGCTAGTGATTTTTCAGGTTCATAAGTAGTTGTTAATTTTGTAGTACTTTCTATGACTTGTGGTTGGGTGTTAATTATTTCTTTAACAGTTGTGTGTGTTTCCAATGCTTTTTCATCTTTGGGTAAGAATTTCGTGAAAAGTTCAGGTATTTCTTCTGTAGTGATTTCTGTTCGTTCTACGGGTTTAAAGTCAACTATATCTTGACTAGCTAGAGATGTTTCTGTCTCATAAGTAGTTGTTAACTTTTCAGTACTCTCTATTACTTGTGGTTGAGTACTAATTATTTCTTTAACAGTTGTATGTGTTTTTACAGCCTTTTCATCTTTGGGTGAGAATTTAGTGAATAATTCTGGAATTTCCTCTGTAATAATTTCTGTTTGTTCAAAAGGTTTAAAATCAATAAAATCTCGATTAGCTAGTGATTTTTCGGGTTCATAAGTAGTCGTTAAATTTGTAGTGCTTTCTATGACTTGTGGTTGAATGTTAACTATTTCTTTAACGGTAGTATGTGTTTGCAAAGCCTTTTCATCTTTGGGTGAGAATTTTGTAAATAGTTCAGGTATTTCCTCTGTAGTAATTTCTGTTTGTTCTACGGGCTTAAAGTCAACAATATCTTGATTAGCGAGTAAGGTTTCAGGCTCAAATGTTGTTGTCAACGTTGTAGTACTTTCTATCACATGTGGTTGGGTATTAACAATTTCTTTAACGGTTGTATGCGTTTGCAATGCTTTTTCATCTTTAGGTGAGAATTTTGTGAACAGTTCAGGGGTTTCCTCTGTAGTAATTTCTGTTTGTTCTACGGGCTTAAAATCAACGATATCTTGACTAGCAAGTAAAGTTTCAGGCTCGAAGGTAGTTGTCAATGTTGTAGTACTTTCTATCACATGTGGTTGGGTATTAACGATTTCTTTAACAGTTGTATGTGTTTGTAATGCCTTTTCATCTTTGGGTGAGAATTTAGTAAATGTCTCAGGAGTTTCCTCTGTAATTATTTCTGTTTGTTCAACAGGCTTAAAGTCAACGATATCTTGATTAGCAAGTGAAGTTTCTGGTTTAAATGTTGTAGTGAATAAGTTAACACTTTCAATTATTTGTTGTTGTTCATTGTTAATGGCTTCTGTTAGAATATCAGATTTTTGTGCTATTTCATCCTTAATGAGTTTATTATTAACTAAATCAGCCCCATCTTCTATTAATATAGTTTCAGTAGTAGTTACATGATGAGCAGTTTTTATGTCAATGTTCTGTTTCGTAGTAATTGGCATAATTTCGGATTTCAATAAGTCTTCTTTTTCTCTTGCCACTGTGTCAGTTATTGTAATGTGTTGTTGTGATTCAATCAGAAAACCAGCTTGTTGAGATTTGACGTCAATAGTAGAATATAATGTGCTTTCTTCTTCACTTGGAATGGTTTCCTTTACACCAATACTAGAATGTAGTGTTATGTTCGGCGTTGGTTGAATTGACTTACCTTCTGGAAATTTGTCTAAAGGTTGGAATACCTCTTCCTTTTCATTTGTCATAATTTCTGAAATATCAATGTAATGCTTGTTTTCGACTTGTGACTTTAATGTCTCTTTTTTCAGTACTAAGCTATTTTCTAGTGGTAATTCAGATTCAGTAATTACTATCTCTGTTATATCAAGTGACTTTTGTTCTTCTACATTACCCTTTGAAGTTTTTTCTTGTGGTTTTTCTCTTCTAAAAGTATCTTCAACCTCTCCAATAAATGGTTCTGATTTTTGAATGGCTTCTTGTATTCCATGAGTTGTAAGTGCATTGATTAAGTTTTTTCCAGAAACATGTAAATCTTCACTTTCGTGAGTCAATATAACTTCTGTATTTAATAATGATTGCTGTTCTTTAAATGACGGGTGTGCGTTTGTGCTTAGTATTTCAAATGTGTCACTTAATTCCTTTTCATTTTCTATTGCTTGAACTTCAGTAATTTGTTTTGCAGATGTTTCTACAAGTTTCTGGGTAGCTGAATATACTTCTTTCTTAAATTCTGAGAAATCAGATTCTTTTTCACCATGTAACACTTCAATATTCTGTATATGTTTTTGCAAATCGTCACGTGTTAATGTTGCTTGCGATGGTTTTAAAGATTTTTCCGTATAATCAGTTACACTACCAGTAGTCAAAATTTCAGTATCGATAGTGCTGTTGAGTGGGACAAATTGCACAGAAGCATCCTGGGTAGGTACAGAAAATTTACCATCAAATTCTTTTTCTTTGTCTATAGTTTCTACACAACTTGTAATAATTGCTTCTGTTTCAGTAAAATCTGGTACAACATTTGATTTTATCTGAGTTCGTTCAGGAATAATAATTTCTTTCTCTGCAGTCACAACTTCAGTTTGTTCGAAAGTATGTGACGTAATAGAAGTAATATTAGATTTCTGTTCAACCATTTTCTCGTTACTAAAATCAGATGTTGTTTGACTGGTAATAATTTCCTCAGTATGAGCAGTTTTCCCATAGATTTCATCTATTTTTTGGGAAGCTGTTTTATATCGCATTTCAAGTTCATTGGCATTTTCTAGGTTTTCCGATTGTGATATAGTCTCTGTTGTCTGCAAGCCATGCCGAGCCAATATTGTAAAATCTGCTTTTTGTTGGTCTGGTGCTAGCGGGACCATAAATATATTTTCACTTTCTATTGTTATTTTTTCGTCGTATTGTGGGGCTTGTAATGTTGTTAATGAGACAGTTGGTTTTGTTTCATTAACATCTTCTTTTGTTGCGAGTATACCTTCTGATGCGTGCACGATTGTTTCTTCTTGAGTAATGGCTTCTTTAGTTAAAGTAGCTTCCTTTGCTTTAACTAATAAAATATCACTTCCCGTTTTAAATGTTCCAGCTGAAATTTCAGGTTTGTTTTCTTCTACAATTATAGCTTGAGCGGAATCTACACTAAATGATGCCGCCGCAGTATTTGGTTTTGTTGTAGACTCTAAAGTAGATTCCTTTTCATTAAATTCTGTAGTACTTACTATTAATTCTTTGTGAGCCACATTTTCAATAGTTGCTGTTTTAGATTTATTAATAAAATCTTCGTTTTCTGTAACACCAACACTGGAATCTACTATTAATTCAGATAAAATTGCTACTGGACGCCCAATAATATCGGTTGTAGCCTGAAAACTTTCTGGGGATATTTTATTGTCATAATCAGATTCCTTTTCATGTTGTATAATTTCGGTAACATTCAAGGTTTCCTCCGTTGGAATAATTTCAGCTTTTATAGTCTTTTTATCTGGTTTAAAATCATTGGCTAAATTGGCTTGGCTATCCAATATCTTATTTTCAGTTATTTGAACTGAAGTCATGGTGTTGGATGTTATGTTAGCTTCTTCCATGTTTGGTTTTAAAATATCTAATTTATTTAGAGCATCCCGCGTGTTTACTTCAGAAACCAGAGCAACTTTGTGATCCGTATCAATATCAACTTTTGCAAAAGTACTAAGCTTTGGTTTATCTCCTTCAAAGCTTTCCTCAGTCATGCTGGATATTATTTCAGTTACGTTCAAACTTTCTCGACCAATAAATGTAGAAATAGCTTTACCCTCAGATGTTTGCTTATCCTCTAATTTTAGTAGCTGCTCTTCTACGTTTGTTTGGAGAATTGTTATTTCTTTATGTAGGTCTTGTTGCTTTGATGCTACTTCTGTTATATTTTGTGGCAAATTCATAAAATCTATTTGATCAGCAGTAGTAACTTCTTGTGATACGGGAGTTTTAAGATGATGTGTTGGCGACGGTTTTGCAGTTGTTAAATCAGGTATTTTATTCAAACTAAGCTTATTTTCAGATTCCGACGACTCGATTTCTGAAACTGTTAATGGGATATTGGGAATTAATGATGCAGTTATATTTTCTGGTTTTCTAGTTGAGTACTCCTCTGATATTTCTTGGTCATGTACCATTGGTGAGGTTATAATTTTGGCACTAGCTGTAATAACAGTTTCTGTAGCCGATTCATCTGTTACTTTATCCACAGTTTTAAGATCGCCCGTTGAAGTCAAATGTAATGTTTCAGCAGTTATTATAGTTTCGATAGCTTTTATGTCTACATCAGCTACAGCAGAAGTTTTGTCATCTTTAACAACAAGGTCTTTTTCTGTCTCATTTACTTGAACTTCTTCAGTAATATGCTTGTCTAATAAAGATATAGATATTTCAGCTTGTAAAGTAGGGGCAAATTTCCCTTCTTCAAATATTGTTTCTGAATCATGCGTGTTTGTTTCTAAGTTGAAAGTGTGTTGAAGTTCATTCACTCCAATGGAAGCTTTTTTGCTAGAAAATGATTCAGGAATAAATTCAGTTTCCTTAATGTGAGAAGTTGTTATAGAATTGCTTAAACTAGTATGTAACAAGAGATCTTTTCCAACAGTAAGCTCAGTAGGCAATTCTGCAACTGGAAGTTCTTCTTCTTTTTCATGAAATTCTTTAATAGATATTACTATACTATCTTTAGATGTAATATCTACATTTGCTTCTTGAGTTGGTGGTAATTTTAAAGCTGACAATGAACCTTCTTTTTCCTGGACGTCGTGCACTTCTGTTACTATTTGATTAGAAACTAGTACATCTTTTCGGGCAGTTTCCGTGGGTACAATCAATTCTGGATAATACTTCCCAGATTTATCTTCTACAAAGACTTCTCCTACTTCAATGGATTCTAATAAATTAAAGTTTAGTTTTGATGTTACTTCTTTTTCTTTTCCAGTTAAATCTACTTCGCTTTCTTTAATTTCATCTGTTACTTCTGAAACGGTTAGTCCTAACAAGGGAGTAAAAGATATTGATGCACTTGATTTTTTAACATGTGTATCTTCTAAGGGTTCCTCATTTACAGAAGTTATATGCTCTGATATATTAAGCGCATCTTTTAAAATCATACCTGTTTTTGCAGTCTCTAAATGTTTTTCTTCTCTTTTTAAGTCACCAACAGCAATATTCGTTAGTATTTCTGATGTTACGAGACTTTCTACAGATATTATACCTTTGTTAGCCTTATTCTCAAGTTTTGATTTGCTTGTATGGTATTCATCCACAGATCCACTTACTTCTATTTCTGTTATCTGCAAAGGCTCTATTTCTGATAGCGATGGCTTAATAAGTATCTTAGTATTTTCTTTTACAAGTAATGGGGTTTCTTTTTCTTGAGTCTGTTGTATATCACTAATAAGCGGATAATTAGTGTCAACTTTAAGGTTTGCAGTTACATCCTCAATTTTACCGGACACAATATGTGTTACTTCGCTAGCAGAAATAACTTCTATTTTATTTTCGTGAATATCTGTGGCTATTGTAGAGATGTAAGGTATGTTTTCATTATCAAGTGATCTAGTTTCATCCTCGTCGTAAACTTCCATTTTTTCTTTAGGGTGAAGTGTTTTCAATTTCGCAGTCTTCTCCATCACGATTTCTTCTTCAATTTCATTTATCTCCGATTCATTTTTCTGCTTCGAATGTTTTTTGCGTTTGGTCTTATCTTTTTCTTTCACATCTGTGAAATCACAGTAAAGTGTGTAATGAAGGAACACAATAGTAATAGGTAAAATATTAACATTACAATAAGCGAACACAGTCGGCACGTGTATTAAAAAGCGATTATTATTTGTTATATGGCTAAAGTGTACTGTCATTTATTTTGCTAGTGTTTACATAGTGTTAATTTAATTAAAAGTATATTATAGTCGAAATTAATACTTACTTGCAATGCGTTATTATACTTGCATCACTAAGTGTTAAAACAGCCCACACTCTTGAAGCACAGTTAACCATGAATGACTTGAAATAACGAGTTTTCTCTTTATAATCTTTTCTCATTTGATTTTGCAGTGCATTTCACTATATTATACCATGACCATATTGTATTTGAAGAAGTACCTTCCTAATGTTTCTACATTGACTGTTATATTTAACATCTGCACCAAATATGTATACATGCATACGGTCATAGTATAATATAGTTTAATGGGCAAATAGCTTTCTTTTTCCAAGTGGATTAGAGAACTATTCAATAATATAGTTCAAATTCTAGCTGCATATGTAAACGCAGCGGATTTAAGTTGACTGCTAAAGTCAAAAGGTTAAAGTGGAAATATATGTAGCTGGTTTATTTTCACAAAAATATATAATTTTTAATTAAATAACACGTAAAGTATGCTTCTTTGCTCTCACCCCCCCACCCCTTTTAATTATATTGATGATCAAATATCGTATATGTTACTATAATATAGCATATGTATTTTATGCAACTAATATGTACTTTATGCAACTAATTGATTAAAATTAACGACAACTTATAGTAATGAATTACTGAATGTTAGTAGCATTACTTCTCTTTTCGAACAGAATGCTAAATGCGTATCAGGAGCCAAAGCATATAATGTATCATAAAGCCTGTTATCAAAGCATGAGTTAAAGCAGTAGCAAAATAGTAAAAATTATACGTATAATAACATTAATAAATCATGTTAACTAAATTATACATTATTAAACATGATTTATGATAATATCGAATAGAAGGACGACCTGTATCCAATAAAGTTTTACACTCACCTTTAGTTTCGCGCTCTTGTATCACTGTTGATGTATCTGTGTAATAAGCATAATAATTGTAAATATAATAAAATCACATTTTATTCTACCAAAAAAGGACTATAATAGAATTAAATTAGATACCTCAATAAACATAAATAAAAAGGATAACAGTAGATAAAACTAACAAATTAATTACGTTGATATCTTATGTCACTAAATTTTAATATAATTAAAATAATGACAAATATTATATTTAGATTGTATACACATATATCACCTTATATATACTATATAAATATGACAGCTGTTTTTGATATAAGTAAAGTTATATTTTATTAATATGAAATATTGTTACGTAAAAATATGCGAAATGAGTTATATAATATTACTAGCTGTCCCGGCAAACGTTGTTTTGCCATATAAATTAATAACGCTATAAAAATATAGGGGTTGATGCTAGAAGGGTGAAAATTTAGGATTACATGTATTTTTGTATGTTGTATCATAAAAAAATAGAAACTAAAAATTTAGTCTAAAAAATAAAAAAAACAAATGTAGGGGTGGACTACCCCTAATATTTAGGGGAATGAAAAATAGATATTGGCCAATTCTTAGACCTACTCAATACGCTCACAAAAATTCATGAGAATCGGTCAAGCCGTTTCGGAGGAGTATGGGAACGAAAACTGTGACACGAGAATTTTATATATAAGATACAGTTGTATTGCATAAGCATTACTCAATGAATTTTCTTAGAGCCGTATTTTAAGAATAGTAGCAAGGTTTTTATATGGTTTAGTTTTGTCATGGTACTATTTTATGGTAAATACAACAAACAATGCTATATTAATTTAATAATTGTACCTAATTAGTAATAATTCCATTACCTTTTATAACTTCCGTAACATGTGTCTCTGCTAAATGTTCAGCTGAAGATTCCACGATAGTCTATAGAAAAGGAAAACAATTGTTTTTGAAACGTAATATAAATATTTCATATCTAATCACATCTCTTTTAAATGTACTGAGTAGATTAAAACCTTACGTCTAAGATATCTTTCTAGGTACCTCCATTTTAAAATATTTCTTTCGGCAAGCTATCCGCTTTTCAAACTATTTTCCGGTTTGAATTTGAACGCATCAGTTTTTTTAGATAATATTTTGAAATCGTATGAACAAACATTGATTTATTTACTCTTTTTACATGAACATTATGTAATAGATTTAATTAATTTTATTTATATACCTGAAATGCTTCTCTCTGTTCCCAGGAACGTGGTTTAAAGTCTTCTGGGTAGAAGTGAGCAATAACTTCTTCAACAGAAGTATGTTTCATCTCTACCATTTTCAAAAACGCACGGAATCCAACCTTTGCAGCAATAATGTCTTCATCTTGAGCGGTTTCCTCAGTAAGTACTTCGGTAATAAGTGCGCCGTGTCCTTGACGCTCTACTAATTGAACTAAAGCCGATTGTGATTGTGGTACACGCAAAGATGGGAAATATTGTGAATCATATAGACTTTCGATTTCCTCAGTTGTTAAACCACTTCGCAACATATATCCAATTTTTGCCAATTCCCGAAGTGGGGATTCTCCGGGACCAAATTCTTTTGCATTAATAACTTCTAACAACTCGTTTATTTCTGCTACTGCTCTCGTATCTTTTTCAACCATTTTTATTATGCCCTTTTGTTTTTCATGTGGAGTTTCTTCAAAGAGTTCAACAGTTTCTTCTTTCGGTTGTTGCGAGGATACTAAGTAGTCGTGTGGTGTTACAACAGGTTCTCCCTTTTCTGGTTTTGGTCTTGATGTTTCTTTTTTATCCACCTTCTTATAAGATGCAATATCCGTGGTTTCCACATGCTCCGCTTCACTTACTATAACTTTAGCTTTCTCTTTATCAATCTTTTTAATTGGTACTGGTTCAACAATTGATTGTACTTCTTCCGTTACCGTAGCAGATTCTACATCTTCTGTTATTTGTTTAGCTTTTTCTTTTTTAACTACCTCCTTTTCTGTTTTCTTTACTTTTTCTAACTTTATTTTCTCTTTGACTTCTTTTACTTTCTTTATTTTTTCTCCTTCATCAAATACTTGTAGTTTAGCTTTAGTTAATGCCATACCAATTTCACTAACGGCTTTACATGTGTAAGTTCCTTCTAACTCCTTCGAAGCTTTTCTTACAGTGCATGTAGTACGATTATCTATATTTTCAACTATATACCGCTCATCAGTTCTTATAACTTTATCATCCTTATACCACAATATTTCTGTAAATAAATATATAGACTCATATTATTAGAACATAACACTTTATACCAGTTATTACTTTTACATGTGAGTGAAGTGACTTCGTGTAGGTAGTAACATATCCACTACCTTAGTTTGTGAAGTCTTTATTTGGAACAATTTACAACTTAAGTGCATAAAATCATATGGTTGGTACACTATGTATTGACCATGTCATATGCAGTGAATGCGACGGCAAAACTCGTGCGCTGCCACTCACACTGAGGTTATAAATATAGGCGCTAGTGTTGCGCCAGCAGTTAGCGGACAGACGACATTAACGCACCCCTGCATTAGACAGTAATTAAGGTAAACGTTACAAATTGCTAATGACTCCAATTATGTTTCTATGAACAAATTTACTGACTTATTGATATTTAAATATCTAAGCATGTATAATCAGAAAACAATATACTTAAACAATTTTCGCAATAATTCAATTCTTATCAAGTTCTGATACGTCAAATATAGAGACAAAATCAATACCTGGAGTTGGGTTGCCGCTATAGACAGCTTCAAATACCACAGCTTCCTCTACATGAACTCGTTCACCCATTATATCCTTTACAAATGTTGGGACAGATTGCGTTGCTGTGAATTATAATTGTTTGTAATTAAGATGTTATATCAATTTGGGAACTAAATTATACTTTCAAATCAAGAGGGCGTAATTTTGGGAAATATGGCACCTACAACTTTAATCGTATATTTATTAATGAAATAAGAGATGGCATTGTCTAGATGCTTTATTTATTGTTGTTGTCACCATGAAACGTCACACATATGTCATTGCGCATCATGAATTGCAATAACTATAATATCGTGTCAATTGGCTTATAAAACCTGCAAGTACATAAATATACAATACAACATTTTTTTGCAATTAGTTGTTTAACTTATGTTGTAAATATAACATCGTCCGTCCGTCTCTTTGCATTATTTATATTGTAACCCACTGGCTGATTCGGGCAGAAATTTGGTGCATGTGACGCTAGAAATAGTTCAATAATATCATAAGAGGATGTGATAAACTAATTAGAACACAATTCTATATTTCTGTAATAACACAATGCAACCTTACCTACTGGTTTTGAGCAGATTTTACGCGATTATTATATGAGACTTATATATAACAAATAATAATTTTTAAATGACTTCATCCAAATAACTTATTTTAAAAAATCTTTGAGAAAAATATTTACCTGTATCTATCTCAATTCATTGTGAATTAATAATACAATGGATGTAATTAAATTGTTACCTTTTAGAGCAGCCTGCAATTCTTCCATATGAGTAACCCATTCAGGCTTTCTGTATTCCTTTGTACCAATGATACCTTTAAACATTACAAATATTTTACTAATTGAATTCATCATAATTTTTAAAAATACCCTTTATTTTACAACTGCTATAACTTTTTCAATTAAACTGTGTTCCGTATTTTACACTTAATGTCTATAAAACTCAAGATTTATGAAAACAAAATACTTTATGTCGTATGAAATAATTAGTGTAAGTAATAAATCCATATTTGCGTATATTTTGCATCATATACGAATTGTGATGTGTAGAACGGATGTAAATGAAAATAAAAAAATGATAAATTATTTTGTATATAAACTGCTGTAGTGGTAAAACGTGTTTTGTGAATTCATATTGGGGGCGTTCTCTATAAGTTAAACATTATCACTTTTCAGGATAGGATTAGGGTTTTAATTCTACACATGTATAATATAATACGATGAATATTCCAGGCACAGGAGGCAGATAAACTGAAATCATAACACATAAAATAGGTAATTAAAGATCAGTACGAAATATTACGTATATAAAGTTTTATATGTATAGAAAACGCATATACAATTTTAAAGCATGACACATTGTGTGTCATTTGAATGGCAAATACTGATGGTACCTAGGCAGTAATCATCGCCCATATACATGAACAGGACTACGGACTTCACAATATTAATTGACTCCCTTCCTCGCTTTTCAATCTAAAGATCGCTGAAATAAGTGAAACTGTTCCTCCGTAGAAAATTTTTTTTAGAAGCTACATCGGTAATCGGTAATAATTCAAATTTAGTGATGCATCATTTCATAGACTGAATTCGTAATAAAATTGTATAAACGTATTCGTTTCAATAATTTCTAGTTGTATGTACACAACTAACACAAACTCACTTTCTACAGACAAAGCAGCGATTGTAGCTGTTACTCCCAATGGATTAAATGCTTCAAATATTATTTCTCCCGTATCGTCTTGGTACACTTCAGGGATAATCAAAATAGATGTTCCATCTTCCATCTCCTCTATCTGATATTCTTGAGACTGTATAATTTCAACACCTTGTTTCATCCATCTTATTTGAGGTTTCGGAACACCTATAGCTTTGGCTTCCAATCTAAAGTCAAATAATATAATTCCTATTATTATTAATCCAATTTATTAAATATTTATAATATAATACACTATAATTTAAAATATGGGTTAATTCTAAGATGCTACACTTTAATTATTATGTATATATATATATATATGTATATACACTTCTTAATAGAAGCAAATATAAGAATAATATAATTTAATCAATATTACATTTAAATTTTTTTATGTGTTTCTGTATTTTATTACAAAGTAATAATTTGGATACCATATCGTGATGATTTGATGGAAACGGAATAGTGTTCCACGAAAATTATACATTTCATAAACTAATACTGGAACTCAAAAGTAATATATAATAAAAACAAACCTCGTTAATTGTCCTTCGGTAGTAGTTACTACAGTTGGCAATGCCTTTACAATGCGTGGTGCAAACTCTTCTATGTCACTAGTTTTCTGTAAAGAAATGTAAGTTTTTTTCATTTAATTTACTTGCTATAACCCGAACTTTGCCCATAGATAAATTAACTATTATCATAACTATAATTTGAATTCTATTACTCCATCCGTACAAAAATTAATATTTAGCTAAAAGAAGAGAAAAATAGTACTTACGTCATCGCTTAATATATCTTCTTCTGAAGCGCTCGCCACGTATTCATATGCTAGAAACATAAAATAATTCATTAAAATAATTGGTAAATAAATACTTATATAACCCTTTTAAAATAAAATGCACATTTCCTTGACTTTTCTTCCATGTTTTTAATTTAATACTGTATACAATTCTATTCTATTTGGATATAGAGTAATATGGATCTATTTTCAAGGAATTATGCACTCATAATGCTATAAGTAACGCAGTTAACATTCAAAAAGCTCTAATGCAAGCATTGTTTCTAAACCGAAGTTTATTATATTTGATACCATAACAATCATTTTATGATTTCTTTCCTAATGCGACATTGTAAGTTCAGTCAAAAGTGCTTCAAATCATGTTCAAATCGTGTTTTTATAAGCAGCGGTGGATGAACAATATGACTGACACAACGTTCTTTTGCTATAGAAGTTACACCAAGTATTTTTAACAATCTTATGATACCTAAAAACACAACAACTTCAAAGCTTCTATTAATTGATAACGAAGGTCGTCCTTATTAATATAAAACTTTAAGTACCTCTACAGATGCATGGCAAGTGTATGGAGCATATGTGTAATATGAGTTAAAAATTGTTTTGATAAAATTGAGTGCAAAATAAAGATTCTCTATGTATTCCGTAGATACATGCAATACATGCAATCATGAAACTGGAACTACTCGCTACCTTCAACATTTACTATACATTCGCTGTTACAACTGCCGTATTCATTTGTAGCTACGCACGTATATTTCCCTGTCATTTCTGGAAAGGCTTCTCTGATATACAATTCGCATAAACCTGATTCTTGTCTTGCAATTGTTATGTCTCTCGCTTTTTGAATAGACTCCTCATTACGATACCAATCAATTTTTGGCCAAGGCTCTCCTATAATTTCACATGTCAGTGTTATCGGTTCTCCATCCATTACCGTAATAGAACTTAAAGATTTTACAACGGTTGGCGCTTCCCCATTTTGTTCCTTTTCATGCTTTGCTAGTAAAAGTGAAGCTGAACTTGAAACAGATCCCGCAAAATTTTCGGCTCTACAAGTAATAATTCCTACTAATTCTTTGCTTATATCTTCAATGCAAAGGCATGATATGTTATCTTTTGTTGTAACATATATATTATTGATTTTATTTTCCTTAACATACGAAGTAACTTCTTTTGTATCAATAAACCATTGAAATGAAGCACTTGGATTAGAAACGACCTCTGTTTCTAACAATACTATATCGCCTACATAAACTTCTTTGGGACGAAGCGGTCTTATAAAAACAGGTGGCGTTATTTGACTTTCATCTGAATCTTTAAGTAATTTAATAGAACTTGCAGATTTAGCAATCATGTTATTTCTTTCAACGACCACTTCATACTTTCCAACTTGTTTCTTATCTGCATTAGTTATTCTCAAGCGCGATGCACCATTTTCAGTTACTATGCAACAATTATCATTTGTGTCAAGAAGTTGATTATTACGATACCATTTAATTTTATTATCACCTTCTGCATCAAATGTAACCACAATCTCAAAATCACTGTTTTCTTTTACAGTTTTTGCCATTATCGGTTTAATAATGATTGGTCCCACTTCTGTAAAACATTTATTAGTTAATGTGTATATATTCTTCCTCGAATTAATATTTCATTGTATGTTAGAAATATATAATTTTAATTCTAATTTTATATGAAAAGTGATTGCGGAATTTCTTGTACAATGTAACCTACTCTAAAAGGCATACGCAGTAATTATAAACAAATATATATGTGAAATGTTACACATTAGTATGTAGTGCAAGAGCCATGGTTTACATTTGACTGCCGTGTATATTTATAATTATATAACCCAATTAAACATAAATAAAAACTAACTAGCTTTGAAGAACAAATAAAATATATATTTACATTTCATAGGTTTGTTTTGCATAATTATAACTTTGATAATTATAAGTACAAAAAAACATAAAATAATCTAATACTCACACTCTATTTTACGTAATATAATTAAATAAATAAAAAAATATAAGTACCTATGTGATTGTAGTTTATATGTCAAAAAGATGTTGTGTCCTCTATTCAGCCATGCATCTGTTTGCATTTTATGCGGGACATTTATTGTAAGATTAATTACATCTTCAAAAGGAAATTGACCAAATAAAAAGAAACTTACCTTTGTCATGTCCCTTTTTCATTTTCTTAACTTCTTTCTTGTGTTTCGTAACTATTGTCGTAATTTCTTCTGTTTCCTCAACCGTTGGTTCTATTTTATCTGGCTGATCAATAGAAATCTCTTCAATCACTATTTCTTCTTCTGAAGATTTTTGTTTTTTAGTCTTTTTCTTAGTCTTCTCTACTTTTTCTACTTTAGCCATTATAGGCTCTGTGACAATTTCTTCAGGTTTTTCTTCTTCAGGCTCTTTAGGCTTCGGAATAGGTTTTAGTATAACTTCTTCCTTCGGTTCCTCTTCCTTTGGTCGCCTTTTACCTGTTGGCCATTTAACTTCTTCAGGTTGAACCTCTTCTACAGGTTTCTGTTTCTTCAGAGGTTTTAGTTGCACTTCTTCTGGTTTTTCTTCTACAGCCGCTTTAGATTTCGGAATAGGTTTTAGTACAACTTCTTCCTTTGGTTCCTCTTCCTTTGGTCGCCTTTTACCTGTTGGCCATTTAACATCTTCAGGTTGAACCTCTTCTACAGGTTTTTGTTTCTTCACTGGTTTTAGTTGAACTTCTTCTGGTTTTTCTTCTTCAGGAGCTTTAGGCTTCGGAATAGGTTTTAGTACAACTTCTTCCTTCGGCTCCTCTTCCTTTGGTCGTCTTTTGCCTGTTGGCCATTTAACTTCTTCAGGTTGAACCTCTTCTACAGGTTTTTGTTTCTTCACAGGTTTCAGTTGTACTTCTTCCGGTTTTTCTTCTTCAGGCGCCTTAGGTTTCGGAACAGGTTTTAGTACAACTTCTTCCTTCGGTTCCTCTTCCTTTGGTCGCCTTTTACCTGTTGGCCATTTAATTTCTTCAGGTTGAACCTCTTCCACAGGTTTCTGTTTCTTCACAGGTTTTAGGTGCACTTCTTCTAGTTTTTCTTCTTCAGGAGCTTTAGGTTTCGGAATAGGTTTTAGTGTAATTTCTTCCTTCGGTTCCTCTTCCTTTGGTCGCCTTTTACCTGTCGGCCATTTAACTTCTTCAGGTTGAACCTCTTCCACAGGTTTTTGTTTCTTCACAGGTTTTAGTTGCACTTCTTCTGGTTTTTCTTCTTCAGGCGGCTTAGGTTTCGGAATAGGTTTTAGTACAACTTCTTCCTTCGGTTCCTCTTCCTTTGGTCGCCTTTTACCTGTTGGCCATTTAACTTCTTCAGGTTGAACCTCTTCTACAGGTTTTTGTTTCTTCACAGGTTTCAGTTGTACTTCTTCCGGTTTTTCTTCTTCAGGCGCCTTAGGTTTCGGAATAGGTTTTAGTACAACTTCTTCCTTCGGTTCCTCTTCCTTTGGTCGCCTTTTACCTGTTGGCCATTTAACTTCTTCAGGTTGAACCTCTTCTACAGGTTTTTGTTTCTTCACAGGTTTCAGTTGAACTTCTTCTGGTTTTTCTTCTTCAGGAGCTTTAGGCTTCGGAATAGGTTTTAGTACAACTTCTTCCTTCGGTTCCTCTTCCTTTGGTCGCCTTTTACCTGTTGGCCATTTAACTTCTTCAGGTTGAACCTCCTCTACAGGTTTTTGTTTCTTCACAGGTTTCAGTTGAACTTCTTCTGGTTTTTCTTCTTCAGGAGCTTTAGGCTTCGGAATAGGTTTTAGTACAACTTCTTCCTTCGGTTCCTCTTCCTTTGGTCGTCTTTTACCTGTTGGCCATTTAACTTCTTCAGGTTGAATGTCTTCCACAGGTTTTTGTTTCTTTATAGGTTTTAGTTGCACTTCTTCTGGTTTTTCCTCTTCAGGAGCTTTGGGCTTCGGAATTGGTTTTAGTATAACTTCTTCCTTCGGTTCATCTTCCTTTGGTCGCCTTTTACCTGTTGGCCATTTAACTTCTTCAGGTTGAACCTCTTCCACAGGTTTCTGTTTCTTCACAGGTTTTAGTTGCACTTCTTCTAGTTTTTCTTCTTCAGGAGCTTTAGGTTTCGGAATAGGTTTTAGTGTAACTTCTTCCTTCGGTTCCTCTTCCTTTGTTCGCCTTTTACCTGTCGGCCATTTAACTTCTTCAGGTTGAACCTCTTCCACAGGTTTTTGTTTCTTTACAGGTTTTAGTTGCACTTCTTCTGGTTTTTCTTCTTCAGGCGCCTTAGTTTTCGGAATAGGTTTTAGTACAACTTCTTCCTTCGGTTCCTTTTCCTTTGGTCGCCTTTTACCTGTTGGCCATTTAACTTCTTCAGGTTGAACCTCTTCTACAGGTTTTTGTTTCGTCACAGGTTTCAGTTGTACTTCTTCCGGTTTTTCTTCTTCAGGAGCTTTAGGCTTCGGAATAGGTTTTAGTACAACTTCTTCCTTCGGTTCCTCTTCCTGTGGCCGTCTTTTGCCTGTTGGCCATTTAACTTCTTCAGGTTGAACCTCTTCTACAGGTTTTTGTTTCTTCACTGGTTTTAGTTGAACTTCTTCCGGTTTTTCTTTTTCAGGAGCTTTGGGCTTCGGAATAGGTTTTAGTACAACTTCTTCCTTCGGTTCATCTTCCTTTGGTCGCCTTTTACCTGTTGGCCATTTAACTTCTTCAGGTTGAATCTCTTCTACAGGTTTTTGTTTCTTCACTGGTTTCAGTTGAACTTCTTCTGGTTTTTCTTCTTCAGGCGCCTTAGGTTTCGGAATAGGTTTTAGTATAACTTCTTCCTTCAGTTCCTCTTCCTTTAGTCGCCTTTTACCTGTTGGCCATTTGACTTCTTCATATTGAACCTCTTCCACAGGTTTTTGTTTTTTCACAGGTTTTAATTGCACTTCGTCTGGTTTTTCTTCTTCAGAAGCTTTAGACTTCGGAATAGGTTTTAGTACAACTTCTTCCTTCGGCTCTTCTTCTTTTGGTCGTCTTTTGCCAGTTCTCCAACTTACTTCTTTGGACTGAGTCTCTTCTAGGGGCTTTTGTTTTATATCTGTTTGGAATTGTACTTCTTCTGGTTTTTGTACTTCAGGTGCTTTTGGTTTAGGAATGGGTTTTAGAATAATTTCATCCTTTGGTTCTTCTTCTTTTGGCCGCCTTTTGCCTGTTGGCCATTTAACTTCTTCAGGTTGTATTTCTTCTACAGGTTTCTGTTTCTTTATTGGTTTCAAATTAACTTCCTCGAGTTTTTCTTCTGTTTTTGCTTGTGCTTTTTGTTTAGGAATAGGTTTGAGTACTACTTCTTCTTTTGGTTCCTCTTCTTTCGGTTGCCTTTTACCGGTTCGCCAACTTACTTCTTCAGACTTTACCTCTTCTGTAGTTTTTTCTTTTACTACTGGTTTGAACTGAACTTCCTCTACTTTTTCATCTTCGGGAGCTTTAGGTTTGGAAATAGGCTTTAAGATAACTTCTTCCTTCGGCTCCTCTTCTTTTGGTCGTCTTTTACCTGTTCTCCAACTTACTTGTTCAGGTTGAGTTTCTTCTACAGGTTTTTGTTCTTCAGATGCTTTCGGTTTTGGAATGGGTTTGAGTATGACTTCCTCCTTTGGTTCTTCTTCTTTTGGACGTCGTTTTCCAGTTGGCCATTTTACTTCATCTGGTTGAGTTTCGTCTACAACTTTTTGTTTCTTCACGGGTTTTAATACAATTTCTTCAAGTTTTTCTTCTGTTATTGATGCTTTCTGTTTAGGAATAGGTTTAAGTACAACTTCTTCTTTTAGTTCCTCTTCTTTTGGTCGCCTTTTACCAGTTCGCCAGCTAACTTCTTCGGATTGTATCTCTTCCACGGATTTTTGTTTTAATACTGGTTTGAGCTGTAATTCTTCTGGTATTTGTTCTTGCAATTTTTCTACTTTAGGTTTCGTAATCGGTTTTAGATTAACTTCATCCTTTAGATCTTCTTCTTTTATATGTCTCTTACCAGATAACCATTTCAGCTCTTCTGGTTGACTGTCTTGAATAGGTTTTTGTTGCTGCCTAAACTTTTGTTGTTCTGGTTTCTGTGGTTCATAAGAAACGTCAGTATCTTCAGTAATTTTTAAAATTACTGTATCTTCTTCACGTGTTAATGATTCTTCAATAACCTCTATAGTTTCTAACTTTTGAATGGAACTTTTCCTTACTTGTTTCAGAGTGACATCTTCTAATTTTTCTTTTACAATTGGTATTTTTTCTACTTTTGTTGGTCGTAGTTTGATATTTTCTTGATTCCATGGAGTGGTTTCTTTCCTTTCTTCTAATATAGTAGTTTGCGGTTTTCTCTCCTCAACAGATGGTTTCCTCCAGTGAACAGATGGTACTTGTTCATCTATAACCTCATTCTTTGATTCAGTAATGTCTACAGCTTCAGACTTTTCTGGTTGTCTAGGCTTTCGCCAATGTTTTATTTCTAAATTCTTTGTCGATTCATCTAATACTTCAGACCTATTTACGTCTAATATAGATGTGTCTTCTGTTAGCAGTTGTGTTTCAATTGATTTAGGTTTATCTTCCTGTCTAGGTTTTCTCCAATGTTTAACTTCAAGACTTTTTTGCTCATCTATCGACTCAGATTTAATTATATCAATCATTTCTGAATCTTCTGTATCTACTTTCTTCTCTAAGAAAGATGGTTTTTCACTGCGTGGTTTTCTCCAAGATTTAGTTTCCAGTATTTCTTTAGTAGTTTTTTCATCTGAAACTTCATTTGTTTGTAATTTTAATATACTGCTGTCATCAGTAATTACTTTTTTATCTAGTTTTGGTTTTCTCCAGTGTTTTACTTCAGAAATTTCTTGATGGCTAATTTCTTCGCTAATTTTATCAGATTCAATAGTCTCTTGACTCTGTATAGACAAAATATTGGATTCCTCTGAACTAACGGTTTGTTGAATAGTTTTTTGATCTTGACGGGGTTTCCTCCAATGTTTAACCTCCAATTTGTCTTCTGTTGTCACGTCTACTGTATCTGTTTGACTTCTTCTACGCCACGGTACTGTTGTGGTCCGTTTACTTGATTCCACTTCTTGTAGGTTTTGTACTTTTAAAATATTTATATCTTCTGTAGTTTGGTATGACGTACTGCTGGATGATATGTTATTTTCTTTCGAACTGTAAATATCAACTTCTGTTTTTTCTTGAAGGTTCTTTTGAGAACTGAATTTTCTGGATCCTGCAATAAATAAGAATATGTCTGTTAAAGTAAATTAAGATTAAATATTCGCAAGTCAGATACTAAATTATGTAAATGATTGGATTTAGCAAAGTACCCTCCTTATCCTTAGATAAAAATAACAAGCAGTTTAATTCTGTCTTTAATAACTTTTAATAAACAATACACAAATAAATATTGTGCTATATGCTTTCTGGCTTGTATCATAACTGCTTATAGATTCATAATTGGGTCATGGCACCCAGCGAAACTTCTAATTATAATTAGTTTTTATATAGTTTTATAATAAAGCTGTCAAGCAAATTTAAAGTAAATAAGCACCTTATTGAACAAGAAATATTTTGTAAGGCAACTTGTCTTACAAAATTTTCCCTGGTCTATTCATATAAAAATATAATGCATAAGAAATAATAACTACTATTTGCTCGCTAGTAGAATATTTTGATATATACTTTTGAACGTAATGATTGTAAATTGAATGACAACTAAAAATATTAACAGTTATACATAAACTGATTATTTTTCTTTTTATAAATACAGTTATACTACATACATATTAATCATTTATTGATTTTGTTTCACCTTATGAATCTTGGCATTGTTTTAAATTATGCTCATCAGCTCTGAGTTGGATTTTTTATTTATGTAAATTTCAGCTCACTTTCAGCTCTTAGATGATCAGGTTTAAAGCTGATAAGACATAGATTATCGATCTCGTGATACTCTTTATGTCAAATTTCATTACGATTCATTTATCTCTTTTCTCTACAAAAGGTCACAGACAGACGTACACGCATTTTCAACATTACCAATAGTAAGTATCTATAAATATATGAAAGTTGCCAAATATTAGATTGATTAAATGTTTAATTGACGGCCTAGGTGGTCTAGTAGAATAGAAGACCGATTTACTGATGATGCTCGCGGGTTCGATTTCTCGCTTATTCAACAAATTATAATATCATAATATTACAAACTATATTGATGGTGGCTAATCAATAGGATTTATAAGCGCACTGACCTATTATAGCCGCCGAGCCAGAGGCTAATTTCATCAATTAGTTTCTCCCGGTCGCAAACTTCTAAGATGGTTAAGATAGTTGTATTATGAATCCTAGACGTCAGCTGCGTTCTCGAGGGTAAAATCAAAAACGGCACCCTCGCAGACTTGTAAAGAAATTTCCGTCCGGTTCTAATTGCCATCGAGTCTACAGAATTCTTCAAGATCAGTCACTGGTTAACGTGGCCTGCTGTTGGCTCACGGGCCATTACAATTTTTTCCATTTATATCAAACTTGTACCACACTTATGGGCTGTTAGTAAATTTCTTATTTTGAATATTATGGTATCTAAAGATTTATATGATTTACCAAACATTCTAGGTAGGCAGTTGCTTTAGTTACGATATTCGTTACGGTTTTATTTGATAAATTTTAGGAACAATTACCATCTTTGCCATTTTATACAACTTGTTTGTAAAGTGAACTTTTCACCCAGTTCCAATATGTATGTAATACCTACCTAAACGCTGCTAATAAGGTATCACAGACTGTGATGTACAAAGATGTACTGTCACAGAATGTACAAAGTTTTTGCTTATATATATATATATAAGCAAAAACGTTGTTCTCCTTTTTACGAATATTACGTGAATTGAGGAGTATGTAATTTTGCAAACTCATAATTTATAGAGAGAATGCGTGTCGAATGCATGCATAACTATTAATAAAAAATATATTAAATCAATAAACATTACACACACTACCATGTATCTTATACACACACGCATATTATACTCTTTTGTTTATTATTAAAGTCTGTGGTCAAATTGAGACTTTGAATTCAACCATAATTAATATAAACTAATTATGGTTGAATTGCGACCACTCGGTGACCATTTGTTTATATAATGTCACATTAATGAATTAATTACAGCGCTGTTGCCAAAAATCATTTGATAAATAGCTATGATCGCGCGATCAGGTGGTCGCGTATTTGGTAATATAAATGCGAATTTTTGTCTGCCTGTTTGTTACCTTTTCATGGCGAAACGACTAAAGAGATAGTAATGAAAATTTTTGTGAAATACATTGTAGTATAAGGACTGACATAGGTTACCTGAAGGTAAATATATCTAAGGGAATATATATATATATATGTAATAAAAATGGGACTCATGCCTATCTTTATGTGGAAATTAGTCGTATATGTACCTATATATGTCTGAGAAAAACTTTATCAAACTGATTGAACCCAAAACAATGATGTTATCTATTAGCATTTTTGTCTGTATGTCAGTTTGCCTCTACATTTGTGAGCGCTAATGCGAGAAAGCGCCCATTTTGTCACTAATGTAATTTTCAATTAAAGCTTGGTGTTTGCTTCATTTTAACAAATTATAAAGTATTATTATTTATTATTGTTTTAAATACCACGGGATTTACCGTGACGGGGACGTAACAGGGATTCTCAATTCTTGAAGAAGACGAATTCTCGTAGATAAAAAAAACGTAGAACATAGACGATTAGATCTGTAAAACATAAATTTACAACAGACGGCTCCTACTGTGATGTATGAATCTAATTTAATGAGATTTTCAGAAAATTTATACATAATTTTAAAATTAGGATGAATTCTAAAAAACAGCTGTATTCACAACATTAATACTACATTTAAAGATAAACTTTCTGTTTTTAAGTATCGTATATAGGATAGGAGTCCAACGTGTTAGGGAACTAATTCACCTCCATCTCTAGGAGTGATACTCTTTATATATAAAAATTACGTGTCACGTTGTTGTTCGCGATGGACTCCTAAACTACTGAATCGATTGCAAATTTGATTTGCACATTGTATGCGATTTCATCCAACTTGAAAGATAGGATAGCTTACATCTCAATTTATAGTCGCAATATTATTTTAGTTAGCCAGTAGTTAGCCACAGCTAACTACTGGCCGGGTCTGCTAGTAGTATAATAAATTTTGGACAATTTATACAGTGCCATTTAGTCCCGAGTTAAGTAAAGCTTGTTTTATGGTGTAGTTGTATATAGGTACTAAACAACTGATAGAAATATTCCATTCATTCATAATTTAAGAGCCGCGCTTTTGTCGGTGGAGTTCTTGCCATTTTAACTTCCATAAAATACTTATATATATTTCTCCTGTAAAATATATAATATAAAATATATTAATTCTCATGTCTATATCGTTTAAGGAATCCAACCCGCGACCACTGTATTGTACAGCAATTTATAATTGGATAAATATTTAAGTGGTAACAATATCTTCAGTAAGTTGACATTACATATGTTTTATATTTTTGATAACAGAATAAAAAAACATCAAATTATGAAGTGACACCTGCTCCTTCGTTTATCATTTTAAAAATTAAGTCTATATAAAATAATTTAGATACTTAAGATTTTTGGCAATAAATAAGCAAAAATGTACTGGAAAGCTTTACCCCATACTGCTCTACAACGCAACTCATAAAATTTTCAAATGATTAATAGTGATCAGAGAACAAAACAAGGATAGTGAATTGAGATAATTCTTGTACAAGTTTATAATCTGTTTAATTTTAATTTAATTTTTATTAACTTATTACTAATATCCTTAAATATACTGACTACCAAACTTGTACTATGAATACGAAAGTGTATATAACTATTTATTACCTATACACCACTAAACGATAAACGGATCTTAATAAAGGACATAATGTATGATTGTATCCACATTGAAGAACTATATAATTTGAACAGAATGGCAAGCAATCTGATGGCCCATGTGATAGTTTTAACTGTACATTACATTATTATGACAATCTTAATAACACTCATGCATTGCCATTCCATAATAATAAGATGCTATTCCTCTTATCATGTAACTTCACTGTCGAATCGCAGCCTTCAATTAAAACACAGCTTACAAATCACGTTACAGGGCTGAATTAGATGAGATACCAGTATCAGTCTAATATACAAGCAAACAAATCACGGCCAACATACTACTAACTATTATTTCATAATACACTAACGACCAGCTCTGGCTACACATGGGTGCATGGCAAATCTTGGAACTTCTATGCTTTTACTATTTTATATAGTGGCTACCTTGTGCAAGTCATAATTTTTTATTACTATCCCTACCAACTACATATACATTTATTACCATAAGATATTACTTATATATCAGTATTTTTTTTATTTCCCAGTAACGTTCAGACCAATAACGTTCAGAAATTCGATGTCACGAGTAGAAGCTAGTTAACAATTATAATTGATTTCTTTTTATATTAAATGTATCTTACACCTTTCCATTACTTACTTAGGATTAATACGTAGACAATACATATTTAGTTCAATTCAGTTTTATGGGGTATAGAAACAACTTGTAATTGTTATCTAAAATAAGTTTTATTTGTTACAGGAATGGGAGCAAAAACTTCTATGTTTTTAATACCTTATTGTTTAATAAAACTTTGTATAAAAGGATACAATGAACTAATGAATATAATTTGTACAAAGGATATCCCATAAGAAGGATTTATTACAGTCAATCTTTCAATGACTGAGAGGAACACGTTCTAGTCTCTGCTGTAAAATATAAAGTTATAGTAACTGATTACCGCCGCACAATAGCACCTGCAACACCAGGGGAATTACAGGTAAGTCGTTGGAATTGCAGGGTGAAATATGCTCTTTTGTTGGAAGTCTCAATATTATTACAGTGATTATTTTCAATTGATTTTAGAAGTGTGGTTCACGAAATAAATAAGAAGATTTTTATAAAGACACATAATGGAGATGCAAATAATATTCAAGAGCTCGCTAAATAATGATGAAAACAAGAAGGTAAATTTAATTTATTTAAAAAAAGGCTTATAAAAGTACTGACCGCAAATGCTTGTTATACTGTAAAATAATTTTTAGCAGACGTAATAATTTTTAAGAGCTAAATAGACACTACAGCAGACTTAGTTTCAGAAAATTAA